GTCTAAAACTTGCACTAAAAGAATATTCTATAGGCACGAGAAGATATCTATATATATAGGAAGTATGCTTATATACACATTATAAGGCATTTAGAAGAACAGCACATCCCCATCCTTCCAGCCCAAATCCTTTAAGATAGAGTGAACACTCTTCTCAAGTGGTCCAGGTCCGCAAATAAGTACTAAATCTTCGCCATTGGTGCTCTTACAAGAGCCTATTTCCCTCTCGAGGAGCTCCCTATTTATCCGGCCCCTGAGGCCAGCCCACGACGGCTCAGGTTGACTAAGCGTATACAACAAGCGGCACTTAGAGTCGTTGCCGACGACCATATTGTCGATATCAGCCTTGCAGAGGATATCCTGTTCGATACGGTTACCATCAATGACCAGGCACGTCGTAGGGTCCTCCCGATCCGTTAGCACGGCGCGAAGAACTTGGAATATCGGTGTGATTCCAGACCCGCCGCAGATCATGATGAACCGGTTGACCTTCCGCTGTTGCCCCTGAATCGAACATAGGCCCCGGCCGAGGTATTCAAATTTTCCTACCGGGCCTTTAAAGTCGACAAAGTGGCCGATAGGGATTGCGTCTAACGCCTGCGTCATTTTGCCACCTTTTCTTCGCGGTGTGTCGTAATAAATCTTGACGAGAACGTGTAATCTTCCTTTCTTCGTATTCTCCGAAATAGGTGTGTATGATCGTATGATAGCCTCACGTGTAACTGGGTCGCGCAATCGCATCATCAAGTGCTGGCCTATAGGAAGGCCTGAAGTCTGGTTGGCATGCTCAAGATCGAAAGTAAAGATCTTGGTATCATCTGATATCTTCGTTTTGGTAGATAGAATAGCTTTCGTCCACGTCTTAGATTGTAAGAATGTTGCTCGTGGTGCTGATGCTGGATCGGGGGCTACATCTCCATCAGCTAAAGCAGTCCGCGAAGACTTATCGAGTGAGCCGATGTGATAATCCACAAGCATCGCCTTGGCATTTTCGCTGTCTATCAATACGTAAGCTTTAATCTTCAATTTTGATAATGGCTTGCAGACTTACGAATGGCAAGGAACTCTTCGCTAGCATCCTGTCCGGCGGCACCGATGATCGAAGCCGCTCCTCCAGGATGCCCTTCCAGGAATTTCGTCCCATCGTAAACCTGGCCGTTGACCACAAACCATGGTTCGGTTTCGCTATCATGTTTCTTCAGCTCGCCGATATCAATTACTCGAGTTACATGCTTATTGGTCATGCAAATATCTTTAGTCTGCTCTTCTTCGGTAGCACTCTCTTCCTCGCCAGATATCCTTTCTCCCCAGTACCCATTAGAAGGATTTCCTCCGTTCTTCTTAACTCGTTCCATCCAACCACCTGCAATCAACGCCGGCTGGGTTGGATGCTCAAATCGTAGCGAATGGTACTCCTTATGTATAACGACTCGGAACCACGGGTTATTCATCATGCCCAGAACACTCCAGTACATATCCCGCGGTTGCACCATCATGGATTCATCCATAGCCCGTACCAAAATATCATCCGCTGTTTGCAGTTGCGATACTGGGATATCCAAGTACCAAAAACACCAACAGAAGCAGGCTTCCCTCCAAGACATGTCTAGTCGTCCACCAAACAGCTCTTCCCCCTCAGGCGCAAGCCGATATTCATCTTCAGGGTACGAAATATTAGCAAGCATCCAAGATTTCCCCTTGTCGAGGGTTATTTCGACCCTGGTAACTCTCTTGCCTCCTCCGGCGTAAGCATAGCCGCGAACTCGATAGCTTTGAATGTTCCTCATCAATGACAGTTTTTCTTCGTGTGCTGGATAGCAAGTGGCACTGTTTGTGTTTAGATCGTAGATAGCATAACGTTCGTCTCTCCAAGCGTCCGGCATGTCGGCACTCATCTCAGGGGTGATCATTGTGGGTAACACTCTATTGTCATAGATATGATACCAATTATCACTAGGCGCTGCTGTAATGATGATCCTCTTTAACCACTTTACACTCCTGCCTCCGATCTGTCCTGGAACAATGACCCGAAGAGGTTTCCCATGGTCAGGGGGAAGCAGTTCGCCGTTCATCTTATGGGCAACCATGATTCCACGATTAGGATCCATAGCCCAATTCATTTTGACACATGTCCCATAGTAGCCATTGGGCAACCTATCCGCTCCTTCGAGGCATACATACTTCGCCCCGCGCTTTGGTCTTGCTGCTTTTAGTAGATCGCCAATCACAACTCCAGTCCATAGCGCTGTCGATAAACCCGCCGCTCCCCAAGAGAACCCCTTTGTTTTCCTTACCATGTTCTGCTCCTTTCTCCTGTTGCCTGCGCATACAAGAGTAACCGGGTAGGTTACTTGCTCGTATTCTCGGATAAGTTGTGTAAGGCTCATTTTAATAGGTGTTTCCACCATGCCTTCTATCGTAAACTCCCAGTCCATGATCTCCGAGTCTTCTACTCGAGGCACTGCTCCATGGTTGCGGACGTAATGGAGATCTTTTGTTGTTATAAAACCCTCGTTGAAGAGCTCACTTAATGGCGCCTCGACATTGAAGGGATGGACGCCTGTAAGGCGGATTAACCGAGGATCTCTAACAACATGATGATCTGGAGTCCTAAGATCCTCCTCCAACACGTTATTATCAGATCTGCTTCGCGGTGGGAGAGGGTATATTCGATAAATTTCAGGATCCGATTCGTCGACATCGTGTGGCAGCGTCTGGAGCTCAAAATCACTACTGGTACTTGACTCTCTTCTCGAGCTACTTTGCGTCGCCGGTGGAGACGGGGGATATCGAAGTAGATGCGCTGTAGGTGGTCGCTGGTTCTCGACAGGTATATTTAAAATTTCCATTGTATGTAGTGAAAAGTGAGTTGGGGTTAACACAGAGATATTAGAACGCTGATGTTGGTTATATGATATATGTCATCATGCATGCAAAGCTCCTACGTAAGACAAGATATTCCTACACTGGGCTTCAAATTTTCCGAGAAAGGGGTAATATGACCCGACGCTTAAAACTAGAGATGGATGAAACTAAATTTCGTAAATGAAGAGCAATACAAAAATAAGTAAAGAGCGATAGTAGTCGATCAAGATATGCTTATCCATTTTAAGGCATCGTGTCCATAATGACGAACGAGAGTGACTGACCATCAGACCACCAGATCGACTACTTGATCAAGAATTTCTATCCCCGGTTCGCGATTAGGGGCGCAAGAGAGCAACTCCGACTTTTTACCATCCATTAATATGCAGACAACCGCCTCGGAGACGGGCCGGCCAGAAACCGTGACAATAACCGTATAGTAATGATGTATCGTCAGAACCTAGAAGTGGCTTACACATTCTGTGCGGCACTGCAGATAGGAGTGTTTCGAGCACCTCCAGGTTAGTTATCGGGTCCGGGATATTTGAAGCGAGGAGATGCATAAGTCAGTCGAGGAAATCCCCGCGGATGTGTTCAACAGAGATATTTGACGCAGCCTTGGCCTTATCAGAAGCAATTGGCTTTCCTTAGCAGTATTGACGATGACAGCGAATCATGGCCAATGATAAGGGTGACAACTTTGGCAGTCAGCGGAGATATGAAAATCGCCTAGACTGGACGGGTAGACTGGGTTACCTAGGCATCACCTCGTGCCCCATCAAAACTATCCGCTAGCTTGTGTAGAATAAGAAGCCTTTAAAACGAAGGGGATAAGATCCTTTGTGCCTTACCCACATTGGATTCCTAGCGCAGGATTTTGGTCCAACACACCAGAGTTATCTATCAGGTGGTGGCGGTGACGTGATGACAACAGCGATACTTCGTAAACAGGAGCGAATAAGCCGATGAACCAACATGGTGTATTAATAAAAGAGGTGAGGAGGCGCGAAGATCAAGAACCGAAAGCCCCATTTTATCGGCATTCGCTCCGAAAAAAAAAACATTCGGATAATCGACCTGGAGTTTTATAGATTAAGTTGGGTGGTTTTAAGGAGGTTGATTTCCGCCTGTATACAGAAAACATGGAAGACAGGTGTTTTGTCCTCGCTTCAGAAGAATCCATCGTAAACAGACTCAGTTTATCCACTTGCGGGATATCATGGTGGTTAGTTGTCCTTATAGAAATTAGCATAGCAATCCCTTAAAAATAGTATTAATTTAAATATCATTAGTAAAGCCGAACTCCTTGAATAAGTGATCAAGCTGTTGAATATTACGTATGTATTAAACCCTAGAACATCGCGTCATATTACCATCTCGGAGTAATGAAGGTCAAGAAAGGCTATAAGGGGTGTGCCTTTTAATAAAGTAGTTGAACAAAATAAAGAATGAAAGATGTAGATGATAGGGGTCAAGTAGAGAGAGTCAACTTTAGAATTGAAGATTAAAGATGCGTGAACTTCAAATGAGATGTATGCCCCATGCATGAACTTTAGGTAGGTGCCTACATACATACCTGGTCTTGCCTTACATATATGCACATAATTGATGTATTATCAACGTCAATAGGCATGATTTGCATGCATGGATATGTGATGTAGATTATGTAGGTAGGTGCTTACCACGTTGATTGAACTTGAAGCTTTTGGCTCTCTTGATTGAAGGCAGGTACCTAATGAACGTGCATTTAGGTACGTCTTATTCTAGGCCTATTAGGGAATATTCATGGATACCTTTCTAGGCTGTTTAGGGCATCAGACAGCCCTAATTGTGCAACAACGTTCCTGCATCTTTGCGTTCTTGCGTCCTTGCGTCGGGTGTCCCTCCCTGCTTGTCTTACCTTAGGTAGGTACTTTTAAGTTGTATGGAAGTTTAAGCCTTGGCATGAGCTTACTGTGGGGACACTGGCTGAGTGGGCAAGCTGTACACGAGGCTGAACTCTCAAGCATCTACATACTGCAAGCTCTGCCCCGCCAAAGTTACCTAGGTACTCTCTAAAGCAACCAAAACGGCCTGTGATTCCCCGAGATTTTCGCGGAACCCAAAGAAAGTACAGTGCGCCACTCTTTCATTGGAGGATTTGGAACGACATCATTCACAGATACGCCTCTATTCATCACTAAGTCTTAGTTCTTTGACTTTCACCGTCGCAACGCTACAAATCTTTCAACAAACTGCATTGACTATACAATCTTCCCGTCTAAATTCTGAACTGTTCTTTTCAGGCCCGACCCACTCTATAAAGAGCAACTGTTTCCTAAAGCGCAATCTACAATTTATCCCGGCAATTGCTTTGCTTCCTTTGCGCAGGGCAGACTTGTGCTGACTTGTCTACCGATGCCCACCAAGCCTAATTCCCCGCGTCGCTTCCTCTTCCGGGGGCGATATATCCCTTAGCAGGATTACCGCTGTAGCGAATGTAGCAATTGGGTCGTTAAGCAATTCAAATACTACGAAAGGCTGTCCGATTGTCCGACATGGACCGCCCGCGAAAACGTTAGTCTTGTCTTTACATCATCACACTGACTATTATATGTCCCGACTAACACTTGATTTCTAGGCGAGTTGCTCTCGCTCAACCAGCGTGCATGGGATGGCGAACTAGGTATTGTTTGCTTCCGAACTCACTAATTGTAAGACTACTAACGTCAGGTAGATGTCCTCCCCGTTAGCCCGCCTCTCGACCCTTCTCTAAGGAAAAATACTGCTTTTATAAAGCGATTGCGAACTGCTATCACTCCTGCGACCTTGAACACGTTCCTGCAAGATATACGGACCCTGAGTCTCACCAAATATTTATCCGAGATTATCTCAGCCTGCTACGAAGGACTAAGCAAGCTTAAGACCCCCGGGGAAATCGATGCAGCTGTCGAGATTGTTAGCGCCCTCCATCAACGATTTGGCCCTTCCGAGTTCACCGAGTATTTAGGATGGCTGCTTGGCAAGGGAATGGCTACGCCAGATAAGAGCCTATTAAAGTCACTAGCCCCTGAGGTTCGCGAAAAGGAAGAGAAGGAACGTCTTGTCCGACAACGAGCTCTTCTAAGAGTGATTACCGAACTATGGCTTGTGGGTGTCCTACGAACCCTTGACGATGTTAAACCAGATGATGCTACACGTAGTGCCAACGGAAAGAATGCCGAGTTGAAGATTAAATCGACCAGTTCTGCTAAGGGTGGTGGGGCTGAGCCATTTCCTCTTGAAGTACTTAAGGATCTTCTAGGCTATGATCGAGAGCATGTGAATTTGCCCCTTTTAGTTATTTTCGTAAAATCATTTGGTTGGGATATCCTAGGAGTCAAATCCGCCGGATCAGAAGGCTGCAAGACTGTGGAAGAAGATGGTGCCACTAAATCTACAGAAAACAACCCTGAGCGAACCGAAGGTCAAGAGGGAGCTGGCGAAGCCGATTCTGACGACCCTCCATTTGCTAGCTCCGAGCTACGTGAGCGATTCAGAAATATCCTAAAACGCTATTTTGATGATGTCAAGGCCCATCTCGTGCGAGATCAAAAAAACATTGTTACGCAGCGCGGCAGGAACTCGGAAGCATACGTCAAGTCCGGGGAAGTATTCGAGGATCGCCAAGCCAATTTTGAGCGACAGCTAAAAGCTCAAGAACGCCTAGTCAGCAATGCTCAGGTAATAGCCGATGCAATTGGTGCCGAGATGCCAGATCTAAAGGAAACTGGTGATGGCTTCTCGGCCACCAATGGTGCTATTGGCTTAGTCAAGACCGGCGAGTATCTTCGCGGACAGAGTGAAGGTGCAGGTATCTGGGAAGATGAGGATGAGCGCCGCTTCTACGAAAACTTAGTGGATCTGAAAGGCAAGGTACCTGGTATACTGCTTGAGGATGGCAAGAAAAAGAAATCCGATACGGACGAGCAGGTTGGCAAGAGAGCTGAATCTACTGAGGCCACAGAGCCATCTAAGCCTTCGGAAATAAACGACGATCAGTCAACCGCGATCGCCAATAAGACCATTGGCGCACAGGTAGACGTACTATTAACTCGACTATCAGAGCTTACGCATAAGGATGTAGTCGATCAAGTGGCTATCGACTTCTGTTTCCTAAACTCCAAGGCATCCAGAAACCGCCTTATCAAGGGGCTTACCGAAGTACCCAAGGGTCGAACGGATCTCCTGCCGTTTTGGTCCCGCCTAATAGCTACGCTTGGCCGATATATGCCTGACGTCCCTAAAGGTGTAGTGGAGTATCTTGATGCGGAGTTTCGCAGCCTCCAGCGGCGAAAGGAGAAGGATTTTCTCGGACAAGTGCGATTGAGCAATATTCGATACTTGGCTGAGCTCACAAAATACGGTATCGTGCCTGAGCATGTCGTTTTTCATTGCTTGAAAGTCAGCCTTGACGATTTCTCCAGGATGAATATCGAAATTATCTGCAACCTCCTGGAGAACTGTGGCAGATATCTGCTCCGCAACGCTGATACCTCGCCTCGCATGGCAACCTTCTTAGAGACGCTGCAGCGCAAGAAGTCTGTGCAGCATATCGGTCAGCCAGAGCGTATGCTCATTGAGAATGCAATATATTATGTCGATCCACCGGAGAGAGCTTCGATTCAGCAAAAGGAGCGAACTCCTACCGAGTTGTTCATCCGCAAACTCATTTATGTAGACTTGACGAAGCGTAATTATACCAAGGTCCTTAAGCAGATCCGCCGACTCCATTGGGAAGAATCTGAGGTACGAAGGGAAATTTATATTCTTGCGAAGAACATTTGTTAACTCGTGGAACAGGTAGTAGCTATCCTCACGAAGGTGTTTTCAAGGCCCGCCAAGGTCAAGTACGGCAGTATCCATATCCTGGCAATACTGCTTAGCGCCATCTACCGCTATCACCCAGATTTTACGGTTACGGTGATCGATAATGTTGTCGAATCTGTGATATTCGGGCTGGAACAGAATGACTTCAAGTTCAACCAGAGACGCATTGCAGAAGTGAAGTACTTGGGTGAGCTCTATAACTACCGGATGTTAGAGCACCCCGTAATCTTCGACACAATGTATAAAATTATGACTTTTGGTTACAGTAAGTAACACCTGCGAGTGCAAATAATACGGAACCAACTAACTTCGTTTAGACGGCGTACCTGTCCCAGGCCGGTTTAACCCTTTCGATTTACCTGATGACTACTTCAGAATTCGCTTGGTAGCTACGATGCTTGAGACTTGTGGCATGTTCTTCAACCGAGGCGCTGCAGGGAAGAAGCTCGACTACTTCTTATCATTTTTACAGGTTTGTATATCCCAGCATCATTAAAGACAGGTCAAGTTAATAGCCTCATAGTACTACATATACACAAAGCAGCCTCTCCCCATGGACATTGAGTTCATTGTCCAGGACACTTTCTCTCTCACTAGACCGCAGTGGAAGCTGGCAACCACTCTAGAGGAAGCCACCAAAGCGTTCCAACTTGCAGTAGCGCAGGACCAGAAGAACGCCGGCCTAGATAAGAACGTTGATCAAGACGAGGCCTCTAGTGATGCTTCGTCTGAAGATGAGGGCGATGGTGGTGAAGGTGATGGTGATGGTGACATCGTGCTCCCAGAGGCTGACGGGGATGACTCAGAACTCGACGACGACGATGATGTTTTTGAGGTATATCCCTCCAATTCTACTCTTTGTAACTATTGGGGAGTTTCCGCTAACCATTCCTGGTTTGGTCAGGACGCGGAGACCCAGTTGCACTCTCCTCAGGACGAGTCAGAAGAGGAGGCCATAGTAGTGACGAGGAAAGCCGAAGAGGTTGACCCCGAAGACGAAGCGGATTTCGAACGTGAGTACGCAAAGATGATGGCTGAGAGTTTAGAATCCCGTAAATTCGACCGTAAACCGTTATTCGATGTTCCGTTACCAGTCCGGCCCAAAACTCGCGATGTTTCCTCGACTACAGACACAGACGGTGCAAATGGAGAGAGTGCACCCAGCACAATGGCCTTCTCTCTGTTAACAAAGAAAGGCAATCGTCAACAGGTATATATTATTCTATTATTAACCCGCTTCTAAATACTCTAGGTACTAATGCTCACAGACACGAACTGTCGCACTTCCTTCGGACTCGACCTTTGCAGTTGCAATGAAGACGCAGCAGCAAGCGGAACGGGAGGAGCAGCAACGCATAAAAAACCTGGTGCTAAATTATGACCTTCGCGAGAATGAAGATCCTGATGGTGATACTCTTTTGACCCCGCTCAATGCCAACAGAAATATTCACACTTCTATTCATTCAGGTCACGACAAGCCGTCTTCGTACTACACCGGCCGCTCAGATAAGTCCGGCAGAGAGCGTGGCGGACAACGCGTCCGTAGGTTACAACTCAGTGATGTTGACTGGTATGAAAACTCCAAAGACCAGAAGGTCGAACAAAATGATTCAAACCACAAGGGCTCACTTGCTGGTACTGTCTCTGGAAGGGAATCAGCTCCAGACCGAGTGGATGGAAGCAGTATGAGCAAGCGTCATAATTCCTCAACAGATTCCCGATCCCGCCGACCAAATCGGCGAGGTCGTGGAAAGCGCTGATGACTTACAAGATACCCAAGATACCTATGAATGAACGCTGATCAATACGGCTATTCTTCACGAATTTAGGACTTGATTTTCGCCATTGATCGATCCGAACGAATCATACACTACTCATTTGAGCATTGCGGTAGGGAGATTTGATGTCTCCTGGTTATGCACATGTCTCATGCGGAAGTTACAATCTTCGGTGGGAGCATAATATATTCCTCGACGCAAGACTTGAGGCGGAAGTCTCATAATCTCAGGCCATGTTAGTCTCATAATAGAGGCGCCCATCACGACGAACCTGTCGATGTTAATGAAGTTAACATGTCCAAGTCGCCGACAACAAGGCCGACAAGGGGAGGAGACAGCCCGAGGACTTGAGGATGCAGACCAGCAAAGGGGTCGGGGAAGTAGTTGTTGCTTTGATGGCCACCCGGCCCTTCCCGGGTGGTCCGTTTTTTTGGCACGAACCAATCAGGTTCTAATGCCCAACTTCGTCCCGCAAGTCATCTTACGATGGACAACAAACGTGCGGATAGACTGGCGAACTTGCAGATTGCTCCTATGGCGCTAGCCATCGCGCTGCTTTTTGTTCTATGTATGCTGATTTATAGCTAAAGTCACTCATTTCACACTGACTTGAAATCTGCAACATGACGCAGGTGATTTATGTATATTCTTCACTCGCGATTACAACTTAGTACTTAGTAGGTAAGACTGCCATTGAGGCTCGGTGTAAATGCCATGATGAGCCTTATATAAATCGATGTTTTCCGTACTATTGTTACTATTGTTACTATTGTTACTATCTCATGATCTTCTCAAGTGAAATTAGTGACTAATTTTAAAATGCATCGTTGGGTCTTAGTGCATTCTCTGACCTCTTCACACTCAGACAGCATATCGACAGGGGCTAGGTAATAGAATGCCTACAGTATCGTCTACATACATAACATTGAATTGATTAATAGGATTATTGTTCATTTACTGAACATTAGAGCTAGATCCCCCTGAGACAGACAGACAGACAGACATCAAAGTCTCTTCAGCTTCTATTATCGATTCATGAAAACTGTAAAGAGATACGGCCAAATTTGTACGTTTTCCTCAGCTTCTACGTTGGGGTTGCACAACATAGGGGCATTCCTGACTGGGCATGACGGCGGCTCGTATTTAAGGCTTGGCGACGCAGCTCTTGCAGCTGGAATCGATAGGTTAGAGACCAAATAGTGATGGCCGGAAATCGTGCAGATTTGTTATTGGAACTAGAAACCATTGAACCACAAACCTGAGCCAAAGCACGTCATGCAAGCGACATTTTAGGATCGCGTTCCCTTCCACCTTTACCCGAGAAGTCTAGGAGTCTTAGAAGTCGGAAAGGTGTCGCATGGTCAGTCAGAAAATTATTATTGGGTTTCTGAGCACTTTTGACTGCAGCAGAATGCATCGTATTTGCTTGGCAACATCCATCACGTCAAGTCTCAACCAACCTATTCCTGTTCCCCCTTTCCTTTCCTGTCTGTTTTTCACGCCTGTAGTTTTGAGTCACCGACTGAAGGACAAAGCGGCAAGCCTGGTCGTTTAATTCCCACCAATTGCGCAGGTCTGGCTATTTTGCAAATCGGGCATCAGACCCTAGCCCTATGCATGCGTACAGGAAGATGAAAAATACCAAGGCCGGCAGCTGTTTCTACATAGCCATAGCTAGGGCCCGTGGCGAACTTTTTCAAGACACCGAAGGTTTTCTTTTTCTCCGGCCAGAGGGGGCCCACGCACTCGGGACAACGCGATCACGAACTTGGCTACATGGAATTGCAAATAGCTGCATATGCTCTATTTGATAGTCTCGCTTGCACCCGGACGCCACAAATATATATTGTCTTACGACTAGTAGGTAGTTTTCGTTAGTCACTCTGGTCGACACTTGACAGGACCGACGGGCTACGAACCATCGAGCGGGATGTCGGATAAACCGGTTGATGTCGGTTGGTTAGGAAGCCGTGCTGGGGGGGGCTAGGATCTCGCAGCCATGGGACGGCAGGTAATTAACCCATTGAGATGCCACCGCATGCTCCCCAGAAAGTTTTATATTGGCGAGACCTTTTGTTTTCTTTCGGTTTGGTCGTTTTTTCTCTTCGCCCCTTCGCGACTGCTACCCTCTGCAATATTAATTTATTGCTCTCGTGGATGTGATATTGCAGCTTACGTGTGCGTGCATGGATCTCGGATGGAACCTTACAAGAGATCTAGGCAATGAGATGCGAAGGGGGAGAGTGAATGTTGTATCGAGATGGTGTATTTACATATATACATGTAGGTATAGCTCTATATATAAGTACCTTACATATATGTATAACTATATGTAGGTACTAAGCAATATACTACGTAGGTAGGTTCATCTTCCAAGGTAGGATACATAACATAATAGAGTTGATATATGTAGGAAGGTTCATCGCACATCGGAGATCTCGGCTCCACCCCGCAGCCCCGAACCTTACGTGGTTTTGACATGTCCTCCTTTAGTCTTTAGTTCAGGTTATGACAGTGCTCCCTTAGCTCCCTTAGCTCCCCCCTTCAGCGCTTAGTAAAGTTTCGTTTTGCACTTTCCGCTCGTGCATGGTGGGGTCTGAGCACGGCATGTAGTAACGTGGCAGGTTAACTTTTACCCTTGCAAGGAAACATTTAAGGATGGGTTCGCTTAGATCGGCCATTAGCGCTCCCCCATCCTGCTCCCTGTGTCCTTTTTAAGCCGCGTGTGACGTTTTAACCATTTACATAGTATTTCCCTTTAGCGCCGGGGTTTAACGTTTCCTTTCTATTCTATCGTATAGTTACCCTATACCGTATACTCATGTAAGTCGTTACCTGCCTTCTGCCATGAAACAATCGTGTAACAGCTTCAAACCGAATTCTACAGTCCGTGATATCCCGTGCTCCCGTACGACACTCGTATTGAGAGTACCTAACGTATCTCAATTCTTCCAACTCGTTGGATCCACCCTAACCCATCGATCGGATAATTCAAATGCAACTAATAAGTTGGGTTAACTAGCCTCGTAATACATACAGCACAGCACGCCTTGTGTTCTATAAACAGCATTGTGGGGAGAAAAAAAAGAAACAAGCAAACTGAAATATTAATTGAAATATTAATTGCTTGCTAAACGGCCCGGTACGCAGCTACGATATTGACGGGCCAGCACCAGCACTACTGGCTAAAGTGATCGAGTATATCTTTAATCCGCTTATTTGCAGAAAGACCACATACTTTACAGCTTACGCCTTATGGCGTTTTTTTTTTCCTGTCATCTTTTTCTATTTTCCTCTTCACTCTCATTCTCAACGCGGTCGTGGTTGTTGTGAGTACATCTCATATACCTGCGATTCGAAAGAACACTCTACATTGTAGGTACATACACACATACATTAGGTACATATATACATGTTAGCGTGTAGGTGTAAGTACAATATTCACATGTAACTATTAGCTTTAGCTTCAATGTTTCAATATTCAGAGGCAGGTACAAGTGTATCATATGATCCAATAGTTACAAGTAATCACGTATGTAAGATGTAGGTAGGTACGTCCAAGTATAAACATACATACCTTTTAAGTTTATTACCGGTTTTACTCTCCTTCTTTCTCTAACCGATTTAACTTTATCTCGATTTCTATAACATTGCTAAGACTTCTTTCTCTTCTTATTCTTATGTTTACGTAAATATCCATAGCCGCCTAATACGCAAATGCTCCGAGGCGATTTCATCTGCCGTGTATGGGGTTAATGGGATCAACGGTAAGCTTGCTATATCCCTGCAGTTCGTTCGGCTCTCCAGACGTTTTCTATCACCATTTTCCTTCTTCCTCAGTTGCGGTCGACGCGGCCTACGATGGAAGCATCCGACCTAGCTAGGTTTAGAGTCCAGAGGCCAGACATCGAATACTCATCGTCACACTCTCTTACGCAACCGCCTTCTAGCCAACTTCACTATCTTCCGTATCATACCCTGCGAGTCGAGGAATATCTAGACCAAGCGGCACGCCGGGGGTAGTGTCCCATACCTGCAGTTCGCCTGCAGTTCGCCTGCAGGTCCCGCTGACCACCGGCCATCGTACCCTTCCGCCAAGCTCCCAGTCCAGATCGGAGCCATCGCCCAACTAAATATACATAAGAGCTTACTGACCTTATAACCCAGCTATCCGTATTCCTTGCCCGGTAAGCGCTCATTATCCATTTAAACCGCTTCGACGCCTAGTACCTAAGCTACTCTACTTGGTATCGTCGATGAGGACAGCGACTATATTCGTTCATTCCCACTTACCATAAGTCCTTCATTCGTCCACCTATATGTAACTTCTATTCTATACACTAGCGCCAATTCGAAACAGTACCAGAAACTTCTTCTGTATACATGATGGGAACTTTCTTGATATATTAATCATCGTGCTACACCGGACTTCTCAAGTGCTGCTCGGATTTGAATAGCAATATTGCGATCCGAGAAGACACCGGAGGTAGCGAGTGGACAGGACAGCTCAGCCGCTTGCTACGCATTCCCAAGCCCATCTCTATTGTCTACGAGTTACCGTGTCACTCGCCTTGCCCGTTGGAACCAATTACCTAGTCAGCCCACCCCTCAACCAACAATAGGAGGCGCCGCTACCTCATCTCGAGGTTTAGGATACACCATATATCATAACCAGACCGTCACAACACACCCCTCGTTATACGGGATATACAAACGCAGCTTACCTCGTGTCTTTTTTAAACTGCCACAGAACAAGGCGAGGGAACCCCCTTGCGTCCTGCTGCGGGTAGCCGCAAATAAACATTGTGGTGTAACCACAACCTGTCACTACTGAGCTTTTTTCTTCGAAAGTGATAACGATGCTTGCATGAGAAGCGAGCCACACCCAAAGCCCTTATCCGAACCTGAAAACCAGGCGTGACGGAATTCATTTATCTTACAAAATCCCCCTGCCATTTCTCATTCCTCGGCCTAGAACCGTTCGACAACCTACACGATCAATTCTATGATGGCGCGAGACATCACGGAAACATGGCCGGTCCACGAGGTAAGAAGCTTTGCACCTAGTACAAAATTATTAGTTGTTCGGGCAGTGTGCTAATAGTCATTTTCAGATAATCTACACCGCGATCGTGGGCGTTCTCATGTTAGCGGCCCTTCTCGAGTGGTTTCTGTGGTTATCTGCATTTCTGTATTGCCTGGTCAAAGTTTTCCAAAAGGCAGAGCACTGGACAATTAGGGTGCTAGCGATTGCTGTCGGTTTCTTGTTCACCGGGCTTCGGTATGTGTATAGAACCCCCGATTTTACTGTCGCTAACGAAACAATAGTTTTATCTTCTTGCCTATCATGGTCGTCACTCTACCTCTCCCTAGCCAGATAACCCAGTACTGGCCGCCCAACATGGTCGACATTCTTCAGTGGTTCGCGTTCTGGAGTTTTGCGGGATTACTAACCGTTCCGTGGCTTTTCTGCGTTTACCAGCTTGTCACCCATCAACTCGGGAGGAGGAAACGTGTTAAAGAAGTATTGGATGAGGTATCCGCACCCAAAGTCGTCATTGTTATGCCTTGCTACAAGGAGGAGCCGGATATCCTCGTTACAGCTATCAACTCCGTCGTGGACTGCGATTACCCCCCTTCGTGCATTCACGTATTTCTCTCGTTCGATGGAGACCAGGAGGACGAATTGTATCTCAACACGATCGAGAAACTTGGTGTTCCTCTTACGTTAGAATCGTACCCTAAGAGTATTGATGTTTCATACCGATCTGCTCGAATTACGGTCTCACGTTTTCCTCACGGCGGAAAGCGCCACTGTCAAAAGTCGACATTTAAACTCATCGACAAAGTTTATAAAGAGTACCTCAAGCGAAACGACAACCTATTCATTCTATTCATCGACTCGGATTGCATACTAGATAGGGTCTGTCTGCAAAATTTCGTATACGACATGGAACTTAGCCCGGGGAACAGCAGGGACATGTTAGCCATGACGGGTGTCATTACCTCGACGACGAGGAAGCATAGTATCATCACCTTGCTCCAAGATATGGAATACATCCACGGCCAGCTGTTTGAAAGGACTGTAGAGTCGGGGTGTGGTGCGGTCACTTGCTTACCGGGAGCTCTGACTATGTTGCGATTCTCAGCATTCCGAAGAATGGCCAAATACTACTTTGCCGACAAAGCTGAACAGTGCGAGGACCTATTTGACTTCGCGAAAAGCCATTTGGGCGAAGACCGATGGCTTACGCATCTTTTCATGATTGGAGCCAAGAAGCGGTACCAGATTCAGATGTGTACTTCGGCGTTTTGCAAAACGGAAGCAGTGCAGACCGTTAAGTCGCTGATTAAGCAACGGCGAAGATGGTTTCTTGGGTTCATCACGAACGAAGTCTGCATGTTGACCGACTGGCGTCTCTGGAAGCGATACCCAATCTTGCTCGTGGTGCGATTCATGCAGAATACGATACGAACGACGGCTTTGCTCTTCTTCATCATGATGCTCTCGATAATGACGACAACTATGAGGATTGATCAGCTTCCCGTCGGATTCATTGCTATTTCCCTCGGCCTGAACTGGCTGATGATGATTTACTTTGGCTTAAAGCTGAAGCGATTCAAGATTTGGCTCTACCCAATAATGTTCATCCTTAACCCCTTTTTCAATTGGTACTATATGGTCTACGGCATATTTACTGCTGGCCAGAGAACTTGGGGCGGACCCCGTGCGGACGCTGCTACTGCCGATGCGAATACGACGGTGCAGCAAGCTGTCGAGCAGGCTGAGCAGACAGGAGACGATCTCAACGTCGTTCCGGAGACCTTCATCCCAGCAGCCGAAGTGCAAAGACAGAAGAGCAAAGGTAAAAAGACGGGTACCGTTCAAAGATCCAAAAGCAACGTGCTGCCTCCGGAGAAGATCGAGGGTAAATTTGCGGCCCCCGAGAAAAAGGCAAACGGATTCTACGCATACCCAGAAGAGTCGACGTTCAGCTTCAATACCCCAGAGGGCTCCAGCTCACGTTACGTTCTTCACGGTCGTGATTCGATAGAAAGTTTCTTAACTATTGGAAACAACTCGATCTATTTGCCTCGGAGGGTGGAAAGTATTATGGGAGATGAGGACCGGAAGAAGTACCAAATGGCACAAGCCAGCCAGTATAATCAGTTTATTGAGAATTCAAAGAAGTTTGCTATACCTCCACCAGGTCAAGTATACGAATTCTCCGATATTGAACTTGAAAAAAGAGGCTGGGACGTTAAGGTACCGGAAGGCGGCCAATCCGAACGCTATAAGGACGATAGCAACGATAGCAGCCCCGAATCCTCTTCGTCTCGCGCACCTTCGCCCGGTCCTTTGTCATCCTTACTATCTGGTCAAGATTCGTCACGAATTCCGGCTCGGGGTCCTGGTGTACCCGGAGGGCATCATCAACGGCGTAATAGGAATGGGGGGAGTCCTCTCGGGCAGGATATCTCAACACACACGCCTACGGCCAATGCTGATGAGGATGAAGAAGAGAGACCTAGTTCGGGGCGCAAGAAGTCGCGTAGACCGAATGGACATAAATAGGGGATAATCTCAATATTATAAATTATCACATTTAGAAATAGGCCTCGGCGGACGGGTTGCATAATGGTGGCAGTTTTGGAACTTACACGATAGAAGGCGTTTAACCGGGAGACAGTAAATAATTTACAGCGCTGTATAAGAAGGTAGGCTGCATGCGCGTTTTTGGAAGCATATTCTTTAATTACTTGCCACATTTTATTGTTCATAACGCCCTCGTAGTATCGTTCTCGTCTGTTGGTATACGTATAAGGTGAGATGATAAGTTACCTTGGTACCTACCTAAGGTAGGCACTTACCTAGGTTAGGAGGTAGTTATCAAAATAAAGAAAGTTATACTAAATTTGGACTTTAGTATCTTGGTCGTGACATCTTGTTTGTCTTCTTATGGGAACTTTGTGTTTATCCCATGTGACTGTTGATTATAGGTACCTAACCTCTATATGTGAGCTTCATATACATCACGAGTCTATAAGTGCATGGCAGCTGCGTTACAGCTGATTCCTTGAATTCGCACATGTTTCGCATGTAGGGGTGGATGTAAAAAACTCACGTGTCGGGAAACACCTAGTAGGGTAGTTAGCGTGACTGCCGCCAGCTGACAGCGGTAGTATGCCCCTGACAAAACCAGCAAAGGATAAACTGATTAGGCAGTTGATTACGCCAAACTCGAATGTGCCTTCGTAAGTAGAATGTGGAATCTGCAACATTTTGAAACATCTCTCAAGTCTATTGATTTTCTAACACCCGAACCTCGAGCGAATAACTTAACCTCCATAACCTCCATAACCTCCACATTTTGTTATACCATCTTTGCCTTCTTCAACCGCCAACATGGACAATTTTAAGGCTTTTGGTAGCAGCTTGAGGTACGCTACACAGCTACACATCCGATACCACATATAATACCGTTATGAAGGTATCTGCATTATGCGGGCTATAGGTAGATGCTGATATCATGCTAGCTCTATTGGCTCCCAGATTACCCCCTTCGCCTCTCGTACTTTTCAGTACACTAAGGAGCAGCTTGGCCAGGCCGAGGATAAGGTATGTTTTTGATGCTCAGGTGGGGGTGTTGACGATTGTGGCTAACAATAATTGCCCTATAGACCCAACTTCCTCCTGATTATATCGATCTTGAAAAGCGAGTGGATGCCCTAAAGCAAGTCCATCAGAAGATGCTTGCAGTGACGTACGTATACATGTTGTAATGCGCCAAATACGCAATGCGGCTAACGTACTTGGATTTACCATAGCTCGCAATACTCGCACGAACCTTACGATTACCCTAACAACCTCAAGGAGAGCTTTTCGGACCTTGGCCGTACCGTCAGCGAGAAGGTTCAGCTCCTCTCTGCTGCTACCACCCCCGCCGAAGCTCAGGCCGCCTTGACTGCACCCCCCACCGCAAAGCCCCAGCCCAAGACTTTCTCCCACGCCATCGCCCGAGCCAGCTTAGCAAGCTCTCAGATTCTGCACCAGCAACACACCGGCGCCGGCGAGGACCCTCTCGCGACTGCGCTCGAGAAGTATGCGCTGGTTAGCGAGCGACTGGGCGAGGCCCGCCTTGCGCAGGACGCCCAGATCCAGAGCCATTACCTGGCCGGCTGGAACACTACCCTGAACACCAACCTGATGTTCGCAACCCGTGCGCGCAAGAACGTCGAGAAGGCGCGCTTGACCCTCGACTCGGTCAAGGCCCGTGTTAAGGGAAATACCTGGAAGATCGGACAACAGCCGCGCGAGGATCACCACGCCGAGGAGCTGAGCGCCGAGGCCCAGGAGGAGATTGAGAAGGCCGAGGACGAATTCGTCACTCAGACCGAAGAGGCTGTGAGCGTCATGAAAAACGTAAGTTGCACCTGGGCTGTTGCTTTCGCGGGGTTTTAACTAAATTGAATTCGCAGGTTCTGGATACTCCTGAGCCTCTTCGCAACCTTGCCGAGCTCGTTGCTGCCCAGCTCGAGTACCACAAGAAGGCCGCCGAGATCTTGAGCGAGCTTTCTCCTATCATTGAGGGTCTGCAGGTTGAGCAGGAGGTCAGTTAATGGTGTCACTTTTGAACCCTTATCTACGTTAGAGCTAACATGTCATTGCAGGCCAACTACCGCAAGAGCCGCGAGAGTGCTTCGTAGATGATTGATACCCGCAAACCTCATAAACACGACGGAAGATATCCATTGTAGGGCTTTGCAAAAACCGACTGGGACCGGGCTACTCTAAAAGCCTACAAGGACGGTGGCAGATCTGTCAGGATTCTATTTACTTTTACTTTTTTTTTTTTTGCTGCTTGATCTGACATGTTGCGTGTTTGAGCAAGTGTGATATAGACGAGAGTGAAGCAGTCAAAAAAATTCCCTAGCGGAATTCCTTGATGCCTTGTTTTCTGCTTCCGTTTGGAAGACGATGAATTGAGACGGTTTTGCAAATATGAAGGTTGTACATGTGATACTCGTGGCTTCGTAATGTGACGATGTGACGATGTGAGGACTATACTCGTTCCCTATTTTATTTTTTGATGGAATCGCGGTGGACAGATTATTATTCTCGCAATGGTAGGTCAACTAGCAGTTCAGATCATATGGGATACAACTGGGTGTTGTTGGTATGATAAGTTATTATGAGTGACTTATTCTACCCAGATACATAGGTACCTAGGTATATGTTGTATCCCGTAAAAACTAGACGATTTGCGAAATGAAAATGATTGCACGACAATATAGAACTTGAATAGTTTATTTAATATGTTCAGAATAATAGGTAGGGTTTAGTTATGATGAGGGCGTAGTTAGTTCTAGTAATAAGGCGGGCTATTATCAGCAGGTAGTCTACGTAAATAACACGCGAAAGACGGTCGGTCCGAAATCAAATGAAGACTGAATTAGTATTCTAATCTAGCCGTCAATGGAATGGAAATCAAAATAATCAAGTTCTACGCAACTACGGACGGTACATCAATGCGAACTCCCTCTGCTTCCAATCAAGGCCATCTTCCTCATGGCGATGCGCAAGGCACCGCTCACAACGAAAACGAGATTTTTCTTTTCGCAAAGAGAAGAGAACAAAAATTGCGCCCGCTACGATCCACGAGGGATAATAGAAGAGGGTCGACTCCGCGCTGTGCGATGCAGGTCTTCCCCCTTAAGGGCCCTCATGCTTGAGCGAGGGTCCTTCGAACAAGGTAAGTATGAAGAAGAAAAAGGGAAAAGAAAATCCTAAGAGCGGGAGGGGAGACGTTTCTTTTGTACTGGGAATTTGGGCGGTGAGGGGTGGTTGGGGGCGGCAGAATTATTAGTGGGGTGGGTACGGATTATGTATGTACCTATGCACATACCTGGGGAGGAGGAGGTAGGTGCGGGCGCTTTGCTGCAAGAGCGATGGGAAAGTCCTGGCAGAATGGCCCAAAGTGTGCTGGAAGTTGAACCCAAACGCTAACCGGATTTGGTAGGAGGGATGCTGGTCCCAAACTCATGTGCTTTGGGCTCAACTTTTCTACTTTATCACTGCCATGTTCATCAATGTAAACCAATATTTCTACATATTACCTTACAATTAAATTGCACGATTGGAAAAGCATAGTCAGTTACTAAATACTAATTGATTAGCTGTTAAGTGAAATAGAAGAAATAAAGCGAGGAGAGAAAAGGTAAGCCGAACCGGTAATTGTTTAGGGATTTCATACGACGAGGTGCGTTGCGAGATAAAGGATGTAAAGGATGTGATGCGCTATAATTATAGGGGATTTAGCGTATGCAGCGCCTTTATCTTAGGGATTTGAAGCACTCAGAAATCAGAGCAACTACATACTTGAAGTATCGAACCCGTAAATTGCCTGTTCAGGTTAGCGTTTGGGATCAACTTCCAATGTGCTTTGGGGCCAAAGCAAGAGCGCAGCAGGTTAGGAGTACTTACATACAATAATTCGATAAATCTCATTGGACAATATCATGTGACCCCGAGCTCTGACGTTTTCGAGCTTCTAAACCTCTCACAAGAAATACCGAGGTGCTTTACACCAGAAAACCGAATTCTGTTAATTGGGCCGACTTCCCTTCCAATTAATACCCCATTTCGTCGAAGCAGCCAACGACAACTGCGCACGATGCGGCGGACACTCGGACTCCTCGCGGCCATCAAGCCCGCGCGTTACCTCGAGGCCGGCACCCCGACGGGCCTCACGGGCCTCTTCACCCACAGCTCGCCGCGCTCGACCCTGCTATACCTCTACACGCGCACGCTCGAGAAGCTGCAAGACGTCCCGGAGTCGTCGCTCTACCGCCAGTCCGTCGAGGCCCTAACCAAACACCGACTGGCCATCGTCGAGGCCGCCGAGCCCCCGGGGTACGCCGAGTGGGCGGTGCGCGCGCGCAAGATCGCCGAGGCGAACCCGGCTCGCTTCGGCGTGGCGACGGCCGGCACCAAGACGTCTGCCGAGGGGTCCTTTGCGCTGCAGGTCGAGTCGGGCGGCAAGCTGTTCGTGCACCGCTCGGAGCCGGCGCCGAGGGACGACCGGTACGAGGAGTGGAATGGGGAGAGGGACGAGGGGCCTGGCTCGGAGGGCCTGAAGGGGGCGGAGGAGCGCGGAGAGCATGAGATGCTGTTTACGCGCGAGCCGACGGATCGCCCGAATGATAAGGTTCAGTGGGAGCCGGAGCCGCAGTTAACTGCTGATCAGTGAGTTGCCGTGTCCACTTACTCTCATGTCTTAGCCCGGGTCAATTTTATATTATATATATATGTATATATACATACAGATTAGGCGAGGAGGCATTGCTGACGATAGGGCAATAGGATCGAGGAAATCGAGAGCAAGATCGGAGGTGGGCTGATCGAGGAGGTGGTGCGAGTGGCCGAGGACGAGTTACGACTTGTGGATATCATGCAAGAAAACAAGGTGTAAGTTTATTACTCTCTTCCCCTTTCTTTGACTTGAGGGAACTACGAACTGCAGTGTAGCTGACTGCGACGGCAGATGGGAGGAGCTAGAGGAGAAGCCTGCCGAGGGCCAGTGGACCTACTTCGAGCGCGGCTAGCAATAGATGGATCTGCATCGCCGAGATTCTGCTCCGCTGTGGAAGTTCCGTAAATTGCTTCCGTGGCGGTGTACCGCGGGGCAGGTGTACGGTAGATAAAAGCATGTACATACGGAAGACGGTTTACGTTATCAAACGCTTTTGACTTTTGATGCTGTCACCGCATGAATTAGAGATCAATGTCGTGTTTACCGTCTGAACGTGGGAAAGCTGTGTTGTTGCATTTACTTTTGGTTGAATCTTCTCTTACCGAGCCTGGCTTATCGAAGAATCTCAATATGTTATGATTTATTGGAGATGGTAAGACTTTGAATTATTCGAGCTTCATATGATGAATACCCCGTAGGTTTGAACCCGTAGTCATCGACATGCCTCTAGAATGGAAGAGGGGAAAGGACGTATAAACAGCTACCACATAAGGCAGGATTTCCTTGAGACCCATAGCACAATATATAACTAAGTACCTAATAAAATTAAAATATTATTATAATTAAAAAGGAGATAGTGAAAGGCGACGGCGATGGTGATGATTGGGAATAGCAAGCGCTAATGCATGGGCGGCTCGGCCCGCGAAGGTTCTGATCGAATGTTCTGATAGCACAGAAGCTCGGAAATATTGGAGCTGACTTTGAGGAACTTTGAGGAACACAACGTTAACATTCTTCTCCAGGACAACCAAAAGTTTCTTAATTACCACCGATTAAAAAGCATTATAATTCAGGACATCTCCTAATGCCCATGTCTATATAACAGTGTCTATATAACAGTAAAAGAAAACATCATGGGACCTTTCGCTCTCCCGGTGCCAAACTATCGCCTCGGTGCACATCATCGCATAAACAAACCTAAGAAAAAAGATGAGAGCCAAGAAAATGAGGAGGAAGTTTGGGTCGAATCCGAATGGGACACGCCCTCCTCGCGTCTCCCCTCAGACTCTATCAACCCCCTTAGCCACACGCCAGATACCCTTCGGCAATTCGCCGTTGCTGGACTGTCGCCCACAGAGGAGATACCGTCCAAGGCAAACCCCTTGTTCCCGCACAAGCCGATCCAGCCCGAGCGCAAGGGCCACAGGAAGCGCGATGTCGACAAAGACAATGAAAATGCTACCGAGAAGCGGGATAAGGCCGTTACGTCAAAGCAGCACTCGGAGCGCCTACAGCATCTAAGCACGTTAACAGCGATCCTGCACCGCTGTCTCGGCGAGGGCGACATCCTGCGTGCGAAGCGTGCCTTCGGGTTACTGGTGCAGACCAAGGACGTAGATATCCGCCAGGCCGGGCTATGGGCTATAGGCTCCGAGATCCTCATGCGGGATGGCGAGTCAGAAGAAGGCCAACTCAGATATAAGCAGGGACGGGACAACGAACTACGTCGCTGGGGCTCCGCCGCCAACGTCGACAAAGTAAGATCCTACTTCGAAACCCTCATCCAGCAACACCCGCACGACCCGCACCGGCCACAACTCACCAGCGCGCTGGACTTCTGGCCCGCGCTCTTCGGCATCGAGGTGTACAACATCGATGCGGAAATGCGGGCTGCGACGCATCGTCTCCAGCGGCAACAAGAACAAGAACAAGATCCAGGCCACGAAGAAGAAGAAGAAGAAGAAGACGAAGACGAAGACGAGGGGGGGTATGGATTTGACGTGGACATGGCGTATTCGGACGAGACGTTTGAATCGCAGCGAGAGCTCCAAGCCCAAAGACGACGGCAGGCGACCTACGCGGCGCGCGACGAGATCCGCACGCGCGCGCTGGTTGCCGCCGAGGCAGTCGCCAAGCAGATGGACCAGGTGATGGAAAACGCGCCGTACGGCGCGCACCGCGGACTGTTGCGGCTGCGGGCGCATCTAGCGCTGTTCGTGGGGGATTTGTGTCTGCCGGCGCGGCTTGTCGTCGACGGTAGCCGCGTGTCGGGGGAAGAGAGGGGGAAGCGGACGGGGAAAGGCAAGGGCAGGAGTGGCGAGGATGGGCTGCGGGCGCGTGCCGAGACGGCGGAGGACCATGCTGCGCTGGCGAGGAGGGGGGACGAGCAGGGGAGGGCGAGGATGTTGTTTCGGAAGGTGTTGGATGGGGGAGGGGGAGGGGAGCCGGAGGGGGAAGGGGGGGCGGATAGTTGGGTGCGGGAGTTTGTGGATGAGGGCGAGGATGAGGAGGTGGATGGGAGGGATGGTGGGTGGTAGTAGTTATGGTTGTTGTTGTTATTGTTATTGTTGTTGTCGTCTCTTACAAGACTCGAGAGTAGATACCCCGAGCAATATAAACCACAAACACTCCCTACAGAGGTTTCACGACACGTCTGCCTTCAATCTTGTATCAAAGTTTGGTGTCGAGTAGACAAGTTATAAGACTAGACGGCATCAGACACTTTGATCATTATTCCTATATCACCCTACCTTAATCCATTCCGCTAAACTCCTCCCAAGATCTGTGTCTAAGTACCCCCAAAAGACAATACGCATAGCTTATCTTAGAATACCTCGTGATAGACGGCTATAACCACGCCACGATTCATTTTGATCATACCACGAGACCTAGAATACAAGGAAGCAGGCACGATATTCGAAGAGGGAAAAAAAAAAGATATAGAATCCTTGTAAAATACCGCACGCCAACCCATGCAAATCCACATCATAACCGACTTCCTGACTTCCTGGCTTCCTGGCTTCCTGGCTTAACCGGCCTATCCCGTTTCTATTACACGCACGGCGTCTAGCTGATGAAACAAAGGCATCCCAGCCCGACGTAGAACACGAATAGGGGGTAAACAGCGATTCCGACGCGGTTCTTAACGACGCCGCTCCCGCCCAGGATACTAATGCCCGCGGCCATCGACCAGGCCACCAAGACGAGGTAGACGGGGATTCGAGGGATCATGGGCAGGCCGAGGGCCGACATGAGGGAGGCGAGGACCAGCGGGAACAGGGTGTATCCGATGATGCACACGCTCTGCGCGAAGGAGCTGTCACGTATCTGTTAGCACCTACGGCTATCCCAACAGTTGTTACAGGAATAGGGGAACAAGGAGAAGAAGGAGACGAAGAAGGAGACGAAGAAGGAGACGAAGAAGGAGACGAAGAAGATACTCACATATTCCCCCCCAACAACTTAATCTGCAACGTAACCACCGCCTCGCCAATCCACACAATCGCAAAAACCCCACTAAACACCACATCCTTCTGCCCCTCGGCCGAGCAATAACTCAGCAGCGCCGACAGCACCAGACAGAACACCAACGGGCCCCAGAGGTCCCAGTCGCGCAGCCCGGGGCTCATGCTATTCTGGCTGAGCAGGCTCTCCGGATCCAAGACCCTGCCGGCCAGGCTGGTCAGCTCGTCGCGGGCGCCGGCCAGCCCGGCGCCGCGCAGGTTCGCGTACGCGCCGCGCAGGCCGTCGGCGCTCTCGAACATGGTGCCGCCGAACAGGTACCGCGGGTACAGCACCTCGCGCATCTTGGACCACACGGCCAGCAGGTCGCGGCGCAGCGTGTCCCACACCGACTCGTCGATGGTGTTCTGCGGCGCGCGCCGGTCTTCGCCGGGGATCATGCGCGACGAGAGGAAGGACTCGTTGTTGGGGGCGCGGGACGACGACGACGAGGCGATGTTGCCGGTGAGAGGCTCGCGCTGGGACTGTGCGTTGGAGAGGGGGTCGTCGAAGTCGTTGAGGTCCGCTGGGTTTGTGTTAGTTACCAGTTGCCAGTTACCAGTTACTAGTTACCAGTCATAACAATAGCATAGAAGGAAACCATGGATTTTAGCTGTGGCATAGCTCAACTTACCGTCGTCGGGATCGATCAGGTCGTCGTCTTCGATCTGGGGACTGTCATAGTGGTGGTGGCTGGACGTTGCCATTTTAGGCGGTAGGTGCTGAATGTATAGCACAGCAGGCTATTCCCCGAATGCTGCAATGTCTTCTTCAATAATTTCTCTATTGTTTTCTGTCGAAATCGAGAGGCAAGAACCCTGAGCTCGTTGCGTCTAAAGTCGTCGATTACATGTAGTTGGTTGATTGATTCGTCTTAGAGCTTCAGGTACCGCCAGCTGAGGTACCACCGTGTCAATTCTATCTAAGTCAATTTTAAGTAAGTCAATTCTAAGTCTAAGCTATATGTGGTCCAAGCTCCCAATGTGGGTCTATAATTCATGGATGTACATTGTATGTAGTACATATGGACTTCGTTCCTACCACCTAAACGCATGCACCAAGTATGCATGTACGTAATGCAGACAGCAGATACTTACCTACCTACCTTAGGTACATATGTATCAACCACAAATTTCCATGGTTCAACTCTGTTTCACTCAATGTGCTGCTCCTGGCATTCTGGCATTTTGCAAAAAGAAGATTAAAAGAAGATTCAAGCAAGACAGGTATCACTCTCAACGGATAATCGAGCCGTTCGACCGGTTCGATCCCCCAACAACACTCCACCTATATAACGATACCGATCCCGATCCCGTTGTGTCATTACAGCTGCATGAGGAAAGTCACATATAGAAATCCAACCCGAGAAACTAATTTCAACAAATATTGCATTATTCTTTGCTAATTATATGCGACAACATACATCCAGCGCGGGTATCTCGAAATTTTTTCTGCGCTTGTTGTTCGTTCTTCAGAGCCTGGATCTCTGTACTATAGATGTTCTCTCATCTTTCAACATCCGCCGTAACAATCGTGAAAACCCCCTTTGTAATATCTCCCTCGAAATTACCCCATATGCAGATACCGTCTCTCATGTGAACCAGGTGTCGCATAATATGATAGCCTACTAAATATGCGCCACCCTAGCTCAATACCTCTTGATGATTATTCCAGAACGCCTTAGCCGGGCCGGAGAACCAGACCTACGCTAGTGGTAACCGCTTCAATAATACGCAAAATTCCAAAAAAAATAAATACTCTGGGTCCTTGACCCTACGACCACATGTTTCTGTAATCTCGTGAGCTATCTCTAAATTCGTGTGCCTGCGTCGTGTGTATTGCCTGATTATTCGCATGCTGTCTAGAATACGAAGCCGACGCTTCCGCCCACGGTTCCGCCGAGTGCTGATTGAATCCAGATGATGGAGGTTGACACGGCAGTTGTGTTTGAGGATACGGGTGCCAGGATTCGATCCCAGGCGTGTACGGCCTTGGGCGCGGCCACCCCGGTAGACTTGAGTAGCCAGGACTCCTATTGTCATATTTTGTTAAAGTAGGACCGTAACCTCTCTGTGATACTTCGGCATTAAAGCCAGGCACGTAACCTCCATCCGGAGGCATGTTTGATTCGATCAGACGACCTTCAGGTGGAGAATGTCCTCCCCAATGTTGGGATGGTTGCGATTCAAAGCCAATATGCGGCGGCATCGGTGCTTTAGAATCCGACGTTGGTAATTCGTCGTGGGGTTGCGAGCTCTCTCTCGGTACTCCGCGGCCGTACGCTGCATAATTCCCGTTGATGCCTACAAGCGCCCATGCAAATACGGCCACGTCTCGGATCGACTTCATGAGCTGTTCGACTGGCGGCCCTCCCGCTGCCTTTACATGCTCCCGTAGAGGCATGTACTGTGGCAGAAGGGGCGGCCGGAACGTGTAGAAATGTTCCGGGGGGTAATAAGGCCGGATGGGTTGCTCGCTCCAAGGCGCAGCAAAGAGGCCATTCTCAAAATCGACAGGAAGTAAAGGCGGATGGAGAGAAGGGATTGGTGGTCGAGCTTTTCTCAGCACAACCACGAGTCCGTCCGAAGTGCATGACACAACGGCTTCGAGCTCAAATGTAGGAATTGGGTTTCGGTTCCTCCTCCGTCGCCCATTTGCCCGCATAGCCGAATTCGGAATCTGGTGACAGGCTACTTCTGACGTTTGATATGGCCGAGTAAAAGCTTGAGGTTCTCCATCAGCGAGAACGGCAGCTTTAGAGAGCTCTGGGCTAACGCTAGCCTCGGTCTTTATCTTAATGCCGCAACTTTCGTCGAGGTCAACGTCCATAGCGTTTTCAGCATGAACGTGACCATCTAACTTCTCATCGCCACCCTTAGATAGCTCATCATCTTGCTCACCCCCTATCTCCTCTTCGTCTTCTTCATCGTCTTCGTCATCCTCATCTTCGAAATCTTCGTCTCTTCGGGGATCACGATACCAAAAGCGAAGATAGGCAATAGAGTCGTTGGCCTTGGCGCTTTCTAAACACTTAATGGCGTCTGCTAGACAGTTCTCCGCAATGCACTCGTAGAAGCTTTTATCCTTAATTTGATCCGGTCTTACGCCAAGAATCGAAGAAACGGCGTTGGTTGCGAACATCACCGACAAGGTCCTAGTGAACCTGTTGAGTATGAGAGCGGCACGTGGCTCCCTCTCCATAGGCTGCATCTTGAATTTAGGCGATAGATGCTCAAGCATATGATACCGGGGGTCTCTCGGCGAAGATGAGAATATTCGCCGGATATGGGGTGCTTCTATCGCTCGTCCTGGGTGACCGTTAGTAGCTGGCACGACCTAATCTACGACGTGATAAGGCATCTGGAACATACTCTTACTTCTTTCACCACGTCTATAGATACTTGTGCAAGCCACCAAAACATCGTGAACTATCGTAAAGCAACACTCGCAGCTTACCCATTGGCCATTGCTCGACATAATCCGGGCGTAGTGTAAAACTGCGGCTTTGTCGAGAAGAACGCCCCTGCTGTGTACGGAGCGTGCGAATGGGACCTCGTCCGGATGGAAGTAATCGAAGCATGATTTGCCTTGTACAGCTTGCGGCTGGTACCCTAGAATATCGACGATGGACTCAGAAACAAAGAGGATGTTGGCGTCGGGCGACAGGTCTGTAGAGTAATAATTATTAGTCGCGGCTCAGCTAGTTGAATATGAACGGCGCAAGGCGGAGCGTGTTGCCTTGGAAGATGGTGTCTCCGTCATGCCCGAGCATCAGGGGTACTAACTGTGGATAGTCATAAAAGTCTGCTCCATTTGATTCGATGTCCACTACTGGAGGATGCTACTGCTGTTCAACGAAAAGATCCAACTTCGACCCATAAGCCAAGACTTTTTAAGAGTCAAACAGCACCAGCTAAATGCTTGTTTCGGAGGGCGCCAACAAAAACCCGGGGACGAGCAGGACGTCGTGTCCCACCAGAGCTCTAGAAGCAAATCTAATGGGATGGCAAGTTCCGAAATTCGTGCTTCGCGACTGAATTAGTAGTCGGCTGTTTAGGACAGTTGCGGAAAGGCTCAAGTGGACGAGCCAACGAGGTGTCTCTGGATAGCCGAGTATTGTATGACCAAGATCCCGCTGTCACCGTCGGATAGGTGGATAAGTCATACAAGCTGGCCCTAGAACAGGTTTCGTGTAATGTTCAGGAAGAGAATGGCGAGATTGAGGCGGTCGTCTCGCGCGGAAAGACGGTAGTAAGAAGCCGTCAAATGTCTTCTACGCACGTCGCAGTAACTTGCCAACTAAGAGGGACGTTGATTGTGGTGTCACAACGGCCTTTAGTCTCTCGGCTCGGTGCAGAGGTGAACAAGGACCGGCATACGCAATGCAAGGAAGCAATGGTAGCCACTGAGTAAGTGTACCGATTATGGGGAACGGGGCGGACAGCGGTAACCAGACGGGACATCCAGAACGACCAGCTTTGTCATATAGCGAGCGTAGGGCTGGAGCTAATAAGAGGCCTATATTACTCGAGCATCTAAAGGTAACAAGAAGTCTAAAAGTTGTTGGACGTGTTGGACGTGTTTGACGGAGTTCGGGTGACGGGTGACGGGTGACGAGTAGCGGGGATAATAAGTCCAGGTCTAATATTCTGATATAACGATCGGTCCCGTTCTTCTCGGGCTTGGGTTTGCGAAGTGGAGGGTGAAAATGAACAAACGAAGGGTCGATTTGTAATTAGTCTAAAGGATACTGAGGGATATACCATATGTTTGAACAGCCGTTAGTGGGTTAATGGGTGTAGCTGCGAGAGAAGAGCGTAGGCAAGGTTAGAAGTCCGGCATCAAAACACATCGGGTTGAATTCGAAGAAGGTTGCTGTGTTGTCTTTAAGGCTCTTACGCCAGATTTGCAGGACGCAATCCCATTTGCCAATGCTACCGGCAAAGCAGGAAAGCCGGTCTAAGGCAAGGTCTAAGGTAGCTACGACTTGACAAAATATAGTTTCGCTAATGTATAGTTTAGTACTTATATGTAAGTGAAGTGCTCGGCAATGCAGGTAGCGTAACGGCATTCTCTAGCTGCGTTCAAGTCCAAGCTATGTTGAAAAAGGGCTGCTTCCACCTTGGATGATACTTGCCATAATAGTGTGCCTAGGTACTTAATACTTGACTTATGAGGTACCTAGGTATATGTATGTACTTACATATGTAGGTATGTACCTTCCTTACACCTGGCTTCCATTTTTACCTAACTTTTACTACAATATATGTACATTCCATTACTGCATTTACTAACATTTACTAGCATTTACATATTACCACACCATGCATCCAATTCCCATAGGTAACCCCATGTATTCCACATGTTATGTATGTTACAGATGCCCAACTTTCCCGCCTGTTTCGCACCCGTGCGTTCCGTCCAAACTTCAACTCGGCGCCCAGTTTATTTGCAGGGGTCCCTCATGAGCGAACCCCTGAAAGGGAATATAACTTACCGTTTCCTTCTCAAAGTCTAGGCTCTGACAAGAGAATCCACGACTTTTCTATCATGTACCGTAGGTAGCCTGTATTTGGGCCATATTGTTGTTGCCTTGTGCTACGGGGATAAGTGTACATAGGTACATACATAGTGTTCTAGGTATTATATTTTTAACTATAGGTTAGGTTAGGTACTTTCCCATTTCCCATTTCCCATTTCCTATTTCCCATTAGCAGTCCAGATGCACGCACGTAAACCGAACTTTTCTATTAGGATTTGTTTACGTAGTGATCGACAGTTGCCCACGAAAAGCAAAGACACTAAGCATATCAGTAATTGTTGCGGATCATGTACATACGAATATCCCTGTCTGACCCCATATGATACATGTAGTATACATACTATGTACCTAACAGTTCAATATCTTCAACTGTACAATTACATATGTATCATGCATGCTGACAGGAAGTTAGGAAAGCACTACGTCCCAAGGCACCTTTATGTAGGTACATTATGCATGTACACCTATAGCATTAAATTTTAGGCGGATTCTTGGTCTAATCGGCATCCATTCCACACAACGGAACTTGCAGCCAACTCACACGTCATAAATTTAGTTTATAATAAACATTTGATTAACAAGAGAGAGTTCGCTATTTTTTATTCCTATTATACGTGTAAATATATTATGTCTTAATGTCTATGTATGAGTTTCCCTTTTTACAAGCTACAAGCTAAACCCTTTTACTATTTTGTCATATTAGGTATTTGTTCAAGCCTTCGATTTCGCGCGAGACTCAAAATGATATCAGAATAAGTAGGGATCTTCAGTACAATTCGGGAATGGCTTGCAAGATAGAGGCTCGCCGCAAGGATCCAGTGGAATTGATAACCATTTCTACCTGTTCTTAGGTACCTAGATACCTAGGTACACTTAACAAGGGCTGAACCAACGTTAAAGATGTGGTTTTTGTTTGGTTATCAAGTTTATGAAGGGACTTTAGTACGGCGCAGCTGAGCTTAGATAGAAGATAACCAAGTTTAGTGCGTTCGAAGCCTGCAAAATCTAAACGATCCCGAATAGGTGGACCGGGTCCCTGGGATCTGCTGCTAGGATTTATTTTAGCCTAGGATTGAAGATAGCTTCGAGGTTTTCCCGCTCGGCAATTTGTCGGTATTTCACGTAGAAATGTTGTCGAGTTGTCGAAGACTCTTGATGTCTTAATGTAGTACGGTATTGCTATACATGGTTGCTATACATAGTTGCTATATTTCATAACTGTCTTCAGTTACCGGCTCCATCGCGAACAAAGCTCTTAGGTGGTGGGTATATGTACATACTGATAGAGAAGGTGATCATATCATGATCCTATTTGCATAATAGCAACTTAAGTTTTTGTGGTTAGCGAATAGACAGGATTGCTTACTACGGAAGTGCGGAGAAAGCATCTAATTGACAAATTCATATTATGTAGATTTTGAATATCAAAAGATACGGCCTAAGGACAATAATCGAGAACACGCTCAAGTTACCGAATTCCACTTGTGATTGTAAAGACCTGAAATCTCTTACAAGATCGAATCCAGTAGACAGGGGTAATATATATTAAGAGTTCCCATCAGAGTTTGTGATTTTGAGTTGCCCTGAACGGTCTTGCTCATCGGCGAGCACTGATTGGGCCTTGCAATCTGGTTTATTTCCCCTAGGAGGCAATGTGGCCGTAGTTCATCCCTTGATGGCGTTGCCTATACCTACATCTACATGCTATAGAATTATCATGTACCTGCGTCAGTCCTGATGGCTTGCTTAATCACGTCCGCACGTAGAATCAGTCTAACTAAAACATATCTGCTTTCCACGCTTGCCGGGATATAAATTTAGTAGTTATGGGGATATTCTATAAGGGCGCTGCCAAGTCGGAAAAACCCCGTAACGGTATTATCATCAGCATCAGCCGTGCCTATCAACACAAACTGCAAGTCGTAAACACCAAATAAGGGCAAAATCCAAGAGGAAGCTATGCCGTATACCGTGGCACTATTATGCTATTTGCATGACACAACATCGTCATCTCTCCCAACGAAACAACGAAATAGAATGGCTTGCATTCGAGTGTAGCGATTTTTATGCACTACATACATCTACATACATCTACATACATCTACATACATCATCTGAAAATTCATAGGCTGCGCAATTACAACATTTACAACCTGTTGCATGTGAATACAGAAATATAGTCCATCGCATTATCAGTCAGCATGACTGAATGCTGAATGCTGAACACCGAGTCGCGCATGTAACTCTTCGCTTTTCGTTCATGGGGGTGTGTCAATGAGTATATTCGCCTTGCTAGGGTCCCCTTTCAATACTACGGGCCACTAAGTTAAGCGGAGTCTAGGATTCCTTATCCAGTTTCTTAGGCTTCATCGCAAAGCCAGCAGCTGAACGGCTTAGGGCGAACGACAATTGGACTAGAATTGGGTACTCCAGGTTGGAGACAAATAAACCTTGGAGGTACCCTGGCATACAAGCAGTCGAACGGCCGTATTGATGGAGCTCGTTCGAAACGACATCCAGAAAGAATTTCAAAAGTTCCAGTAATCATGGGGGTCTGTGCAAGGTTTGCATGTACTGCGTTAGGTACATGTATCCAACCATATGTACTATGTAGAAGTTCCCAATCCAACCAAGTGGGTATCTAGGTTCTAGGTGCATAACGTAGAGAGGCAGGTACCCTTTTTCATTAAACCATTAAACCATTAAACCATTAAACCATTAAACCATTAAACCATTAAACCATTAAACCATATTGAACAAGAAGCATAGGGCAGTCGAGAGCCAAGCCAGACCCCGTATTACGGGGAGGTCCACATTGCTCCATTTTATCCATTTTAAGGGTAGGCCAGAATAATATGGTAAGCTCCAGCCACAACCTTGTCTAGCGTTGACTTAGTCTACGGTGCGGCTTAGTTACGGCGCAAAGACCCTCAATGCAGCCTCTCTTCGTTCTGGAATAATTGATTACTGAACAAAAATACCCTGAACGAGGGTACCATTATCTTAAATCCACAATAGTTCGAGAAGCTATTCAGGATTTGATTATTGGTAATCCGATCGCTCCGAAGATGTCAAGGTAGTCGAGCATCGAGGTTTCACGATCCACGATCAAACGATCAACAATCACGAATTCAACCGGCTCTCACGAAATTCGCGTATCCACACACACACTCAGTCAACACCTAGCCGCACCTTGGGAACGACCCCTGAATGGTTCAATCCCAGCTTCACTTTCAATCATTCGGCCCTGCCTTCTCACTACTCTCATAACAACCCGGCCCCGCTCCTAAGACCGAGCCTATCAACTTGAAAGATAAGTATGCAAGATACTCTTTCGAGATGCCATCCGCGACCAACAGTGACGAGTGGGACCTCCCACGCGTGAAGGCCTCCATCGGTTTCGAGGTAAGGCTTCCCGAAGCCGATATGTCTCGGACTCGGCCTGGGTGTGGGGGTATAAACTAATTCTTACCTCGTAGGATGATTCCCAGAGCTTGGCATCAGATGACCAAGACACAGGTAAGGCATCTCTTCGACGCTCTAGAGGACGTCCTAACCCCTACCAGAATTCTTTGACGTGAAGTTCTACCCATACGGGGACGTCACACACGATCCAGTTTTCGCCGCAGTTAGCAAGAAGCATGTCGTAATATATCGACTCTCCAGCAAGATTACACCTCCTTACGAGCTTGTTCAGCTCTTTAGGGACGATGATGTGAGTTCCGCTGCAACTTATGTTGCCGCCATTGTAGCTTATAAAAATGTAGAAAGATGCATTAAACTGTAGTTGCACTTGGACTAAGGACCCCGAAACCGAAGTACCGTATCTATGTGTAGCTGGCAGGGACGCCAAAATCAAGGTCTACGACGTTGTTCAGGGTAAGCTAGTAAAGGTCAGATATACGTTTATACACGATCGTAGCTATTCCCCGGCTAATATCATATAGGTCCTCGTAGGCCACGGAGGAGTGAGTTTAAAAGCAAGCTTGTTAGAATACCAGACTGACAAGACGTGGAGGAAATCAATGACCTTGCCACATGCCCAACAAATTTCCTCCTGATTGCATCCGCGTCGGAAGACACTACCGTTCGAATATGGAGTCTCGATCCTGCGCACTCTAAGCAACCATGTGTTTGCCTGCTTGCTGGTGAAGGTCACTCATCGGGACTGTTAACGGTGGTATGTCTCCAAACGCCGCACCAGTGGCCCCCTTGAATATTAACCCCTCTTAGGCATTTCACAATGGTGGCCGTTATGTTCTCTCTGCTGGGCATGACAACGTTATCTGTCTGGTAAGAGATTTCACATCAGATTTTAGCAATACATGTGAACTTAGGTAGTTTTATTAACATATTATAGTGGACGCTCCCTGACTTGCCTCCTGAACCTAGTGGCAAAACCCCTTCGAAGCCAATAGTAATACATTACCCTCATTTCTTCACTTCGGAGGTGCACAGCGGTATTGTAGACTGGTAAGTCACCTTATAAAACTGTCGAGAAAACTCTAATAAGATTAAGTGTGGCTTTCTTTGGTGATCTCATTCTCTCACGAGCCTGCCACGAGGATATAATTGTGCTGTGGCGAATTGAGGGATTCTCATCTCACGATCCTCCCCCTGAAATGTCCGAGGCGCCAACTACGAGCGACACAGAACGCCTGACCCGTTCTGCCTTTTCTCCTGCGACAGCATCAGCATGTCCACCTCAGTATACTCGCCTATTAGAGTTTTGGACACCTCATTGTGGTCACCAATTCTACCTTCGCTTCAAGCTCTTTCACGACAAAGACAAGCATCCGGTCCTAGCATTTGGCAATGCGAAGGCTATGATTTTCTTCTGGGATTTGGCACGCCTGGGAAGTTATCACGACTTCATCGGCGAAGTTCGAGATCCTACTCGTGATAAGACTCAGCCAATCCAACGTCCGGGGTGGTTAGCGCCCATTCAGCATAGACACAAGGGCGATGCCGTTAGTAAGCTTAGGGATGCTGCTAGCGACAGAGAGTCGGTCGCGTCAGGACGCACTGGTAGCGTAGACGTCGAAACGCACCTTGATGTCAATACAAATTACTCGCAAGAGACGTTGGAGCAGTGGGAATTAAAGTACGACATGACACGTGTCGAGGAACCCATCAGAGCGCATTCGCAGAGCAACGTTACTGTTAAGGACTTCGTTGGACGCCAGGTTGCTTGGAGCACCGGCGGCGAGTGGTGTGTCGTTGTTGGCAGCAAGAATTTAGCCATCATCCTGGAGCGATGGCATAAAAAAGATAAAATGGAAGATAAAGAAAAGAAGCCAAGCCAAGAACGACCGAATTAAGGGTTGGATATTGCTCTAATTAATCGAAATGCCTCTTATATATACTAGCAATATATTGAGTTACGGCCATTTAATTTTGGTTATGCCTGATCGAGTTTGCATAGCAGTAAAGGAGCGTATAAATTATAACATGCTAGTCTCGACTAACTTGAAGGAGTGACAGTATTGATAACTCATTAGTATGCTTCCCCTTAAGCTTTTCCTTTAGATTTTTCGACCGTGTATCGTGCCAGTCCAGGCCATGTAAATAACCCTAATAATCAATTTATAGTATAACCATATTGCCTGGTAGCCCCCAGAGCCCCCAGAGCCCCCGGCCTCATGCTGCACGCCGATATTAAACGCAGTACGGTAGATCGTTGATGTACTCGCATACGGTGCCCTCCGGGCAGTCTCCACCATCCTGCGCGGAATTGTCAGCTGAGAAGAAAAGGGAGAAGCATTTGTAGTTAGTATTGCTTACGAGAAAACTCCCGTCAACATTGCAGACGAGCCAGCCCGAGAAGTCGAACTTGCAGATGTAGGCTGGAGGCGTGCATAGCTCGGTGTCTTCGGGATCAACCCCGTAAGCAAGGGCTGCCGTGACGAAGGTTAGGACTGCGAGGAACTTCATTTTGGAGTTGAGAAGCGAGATTTTTAAGTGAGTATTAGATGTCTAGATATTGAATGTAGGAGGGTTTGTTGACAGGAGAGCAATAATTTTCTCTTGTCCGGCCTCTTTCTTATACGATATCAGAGCTGTACGAACGGACCCTTTCAATATACATCGCGAAGCAGCTACCTCAACGCAATTCAGCACTCGTTATTTTCAGAGTTCGCCATGGTGGATAACGTCGTCATCTGGCGTAGTGAGCGAAAGAGAAGGTAGCTAATACTTCGGGATGTGTTTTGACGATTGAACCACCAAGGTGACCAGTTGTGCGTAACTCTATCCTAGATGATTCCATGTGAAATTATCCTACTTACAACCTCGGGCCTGGATCTAAGATTAGAATAGACGGGCAAGGACCGTTAGGTCACGATTAGCATCACGATACAAGGTGAGTAAATAGTAGCCAGACTAAGCAGTGAAACACCTCCACGCAAGCCAGTAATTACCAACAGAGTAAGCAGTGAGATTTTGTTCTATTGCATTAGTTACCGACGCGCTTCAAGCATACCCAGTCCGGACACTTGAGCCCAATAACACGCGTAGGACCCCTGTTTCATGTGATCAATGTTATGAGGCTCGCTCTAGCCTTCAGCCCTATTGTCATGAACAGTCGGCACGGGGATATAACTTTCCTAGCCCGTCATAGGCCAACCAGAACGCCGGGAATAGGTCTAAGCGTCTTTGAGTTGAGCGCTGTTTACGGCGCTTTGACTAGATCGCAAACGTCACCGGCTTTAGCCATGTAGACACGGAGCGTTCATAGTGGAAGTTTATGCCTAGCTCCGGACTCCACGTCGTTGACGTGCGGTCGGACTCCTGTCACATTACTAGCGGAACCTACATTTGCTTTGGGATCATACAGGACTTGACTAATCTAGCATTTAACGTGGAACTAGCTGTCGCCAAACCACTCTTTGCTTCTCATCTTGACTAAACAGCAAATATTTCCTCAGTTCTCCGTGGCACGTTGCATTTGATAGTTGAACGCGTTAAGTTATGAAGAAAGTCTCATAGCTTGTTCTCACTCGTCCAAACTTCGGAATCTAAAATGTTAAAGAAATGGGAGTTGATGATCGAGCAAAGTTCAACTTCAATGCCGACCAAACACCTCCGGTCTCACGTACTTGTACACCGGATCCCCAAATTTCATCACACCCTAGCGATACGTCAACGCAACTGATGAGTCTATGTGTATCTCTCGGCCAGAATCACTCACATCGAATTGGTAAACGTTGGTATTTAGACCATTACGCTTTTAAGGGGGTACAGCGATATAGCTGGTGCTGCTAGGTTCTTAATCGCAGAGAGAGGTTTCGTAGCCCGAATACATATACCAAGTTCGAACTTAGTATTCGTAACTTGAGAGTGTATTTGAGTGTGAATTTTGCTCGGAACTCGATTGTACATTCCTGCTTGAGGACAATATCACGAACGTAACTTTTTTAAATTACTTTTGAATACAGCCATAGAGACTCAGGTGAAAGCATCATCATTCATTGTAGGAGGGGCTTGGTTGATTAATTCTAGCCGTGCCTGATCAATTAGGATCAGGCAAGGCCCAAATCTGCTGGGCTTTAGAACAAGTGAGTACGGGTGAAAAAATAAATAGAGAAATGTCATTGGCTCACGGGAGTATGTATAATTTCCTCTTCGCTGAGTACACGGTCAGAATTATGAACTTTTGGAAGGGTGATATCTTCCAACAATAAAGCTCGGTACACATATAGGTATTCCTGTAAGAGATCATATACTACATAGAACATGCTTAACAGTATATGCTCTCAAAAACAAACATCTTGCGTGAATTCATGGGTGATAGGATTGTGTCTAGTTTCTAGGTTAGCTATGTCGAGCTGAACAATTCAACTGTCCAGCGGTTATTAATTATATAAAATTACCTTTTTTATGAGCGTAATATTTAGATACGAAAAGAAGCCTTAAAATATTCTACGTTTTATCTAATAATTGTGCAATACTCAAAAGGACCCTGTTTATATCGCCTTATAATGGTGATATAGCATTCCATTACGATCGTCATTCAAAATATATACCCAAGACTATATACATACACTCAAAGGCTCTAGTAGAATAATTCACCATACCTACTCCCGAGAAGTCATATATGATCCCAAGTTTAATAGATAAACACGTCACAGAAAATACATTCATCTCCTCGATGTGTATAGCGTATAGCTGTAGTATAATAGTTCGCGGAAAGAAGCTGGAATCGGTTTATCTTTTCGCTTGTCTTTATGTTCATAATTTCTATCTTGCATATATGCAGGTATAGAATACATTGAGTTAGAAGAACGTGGGGTTGTCAAACGCAACCCCACAGAGAATTGATTGCGCAGTCTTGGCATATTAGTTTTACTGACCTTCTTAAAGAATGAATAATTAACCTAGGTAGGTACCTATATTAACAACTACTACCGTAAATGGATAAAAATATATATCGTAATATTTGAGAGAAATTATTGCATCCATTTATTACCCTTTCTTTTTCTTAATGACCCTTTCCGTAGTTATTTTAAATATAACCAACATCTAATATCATGCTTGGAGGGGAATGCCAAGACTGCGCAATCCATTCTCGCGGCAGGGCTGCCCCACCACGCCCCACCAGCACGCACAGATTTTATAAATGTAAAACTCAACCGAATCATCACAACGGCACCACGGGGTTGTTAAGACCATGTGGTTAGGGCTTGTGGTTTAGTGGTATAATACTCCCTTAGCATGGGAGTGGTCCGGGGTTCGATTCCCCGCGAGTCCAACTTTGGAGGTTAAATTCCTCCTATACCATATCTTTTTTTCTTTCTTTTTTCTCGTTCGGTAACGTTGATCAAACTCTTGAAATATGTATCCTCTAGTTTTACTTGAGAAGTATAAACGAGCACCTAAATTTACAACGTTTTTCCTCCTCTAAAGATTGAGTCATACGTAATCTCTTTTACACAATTTGCTGTATGATGATTACGGGACACGATGATTATTACTGTGCCTGATCTGCACAACTATCCTACGTAAGATTTATATGCTGTCCAAGTCAAAATAGCATTCCGCTGTGGTACACACATGAGAACATACATGAGGCTATACTTGTTGACAATAATGACTATCGTATGACAACGTGCGCTGGACTCGACAGTGACGACAATCTTGTTTGCATATTGACATGGGGGTTTCTACTTGTGATTGTTTTTGACAAAGCGGGCAAGCACCTCTCGTAGGACTGACAGTACGTGCAATCATTGCAATCGAATATAGCAGTGCTTGGACTATATTCAATGATAGCGAGCTTGGTCCTAAGCGCACACAAGTGTAGGGTATAGAACGTTGGCTAAATTGAACATTTTATAGAGGATGACTAGATGTATTACATGCTACGTAATTCGCCGCGTGTTGACGATGAGTTGCGCTGCGATAGGATCTAAATACCATGAATAACAACAACTTTACTACTTACACGTATTATGACGGGAGGATAAAAATAGGGTCACTAAAAGCTAGAATCACTAGCAAGTATTGTACCTACTAAGACTGGGCAAGTAAGCGACATTCGCTGTAATCGCGCGGTAGAAACGGTAGAAACGGTAGAGGCACGTCGGGCGTCTAAAGACAGAAATAGGAAGTCCAGAAGTCCAGAGGCCTTCGTTTCATGTTTCAGGCGTTCCAGCGTCCCTGACAAGAAGCTTAAATTGTATTAATAGCCAATCAAATATGATCTTTGTCTTGCTACGTAGCATTTTTAGATCACCGACATGGGAAGCCCCTGTTACCCCTCGATACCCCTGAAAATCCGTTCGGCGACTAACAAAGATTTGATAGGCTGTCTTGAGCTTCCGCTTTCTCAACCACATGTTCTTAGAGGCCGTCGAAATTCTTTCACAGTACGGCGTAAAGTTGTTATGTCGATCGATGGCCTTTCTTTTTCTTTTTCTAGATGATGGATATAGAGTATTATCGGATTGGTGCTGAGTTACTTGTATTAGTTAGGTACCTAACACAGTCGATCTAGCAAAATATATGGCTCTAGGCCTCTCAAACGAACATGTCAACCAATCAATCCTTAACCTAGATTACAGCCATGTCGGCCTATGGTGCCGCTGTCTGCTGATGAATACCAGGGCATACCTACTTCCTATTGCGAGTGCCAATAAACGCGATACGCTACGTACGTGGTAATACAACTCCCCTTTGTGTGGCTATGGATCGCCTCTTGGCCACGATTCCTACGAGATCCGAATAAAAGCTTATTGTCTCCCCACTTACATATTGTGATGGTCTGTCGCGGACAAGTTCCTTATTCCAAGTCACTGTCCATCCTTTCTTTGGTGTCTCTTGTTCAGTCAGCGTTGATTGTTCTTTCTTTCTATTTTCCTTCCTCATCGTTCCTTTCTTGACTTGTTGTAGATTTAGACAATCACTTGCAGATATTTTGCTATTTTGTTACTCTCGACCTACAAGACGACTTCGTCATCGCTTCCTCCATTCACTTCTTTTGCCTCTTAAGATTACCTCACTCCCTTACACCTAGTGTTCCCCTTCACCATCAAGAATTGGAAGTACAAGGGATTACAAGACGACACCTGCAATTTCCCAATATTCATACAAATTGAGTTTGCTGCGCGATACGCTTCTTTTCAGCAACCTACATAAACATGTTCATGAAATCGGTCAACACCGCCGCTGCGCTGGCAGCGGCAGCGGCATTCGTAGCGCCGAAAGACCTCGATATTAAAGACCCAAGTAAGTAGTTACAATATCTTCATATATATAACACTAGATGGTACATACTAATTGGTTTTCTAGCCTCTATACGCGGTGTGGCTAGTACACTTGCGTATGGGCTCATGTCATATTACTCCGGAAATGTGACGAACACCCCAGAGGTATGAGATACTACGATCCCCAATCCTGTATTCTTTGAGTTGGTGCTAACATATTGCCCTATAGAGCATTGCAGTTTTCCCTGAACCATATTGTAAGACTTGCTGATACACCTTCTGATATCTTACTCCTCGAATTGCTGCTGACTGAATTAAATAGACTGGTGGGAAGCAGGTGCAGCCTGGGGGGCCATGCTGGATTATTCCCATTACACGGGTGATTCTAGCTACGATGAAGTTATTACGCAGGCCTTACTATCTCAAGTCGGACCCAAATTTGACTTCATGATGCCATTGCACTTTGGTTCCGAAGGAAATGATGACCAGGCTTTCTGGTCTTTCTCTATTCTTAACGCTGCTGAGCGGAATTTTCCCCAGCCTGACGACAGTATCCCCCCTTGGCTCGATATCGCAGAAAACATCTGGAACACGATGGTTGTGAGGTGGAATACGACTAACTGCGGAGGTGGACTTCTTTGGCAAATCTTCGAGGATAACCCGAACGGCATGAAATACAAGAACAGCGTTTCCAACGGCGGTTTCTTCCAATTGTCGGCACGTCTTGCACGAGCAACCGGCAATGACACGTATTTCGAGTGGGCGAAGAAAGTATGGGATTGGTCTGAGAAGATTGGTTTCATAGACCAGGACTACAACGTTTACGACGGTGCCGGCATCGAGGACGATTGCGCTAAGACCAACAAACTGTCTTTCTCATATTCGCAGGGAATTTACATGTATGGAGCCTCAGTCCTTTACAACTACACAAACGGCGACAAGACGTGGGGAACCCGCACAACCGGCCTCCTGAAAGCAGCAGACTCTTACTTCAGCCCCTATCCGAACGCGACTAACATCATGTTCGAGCACGCCTGCGAACCGTACGAGCTCTGCAATACTGATATGAAATCATTCAAGGGCTACCTTTCGCGCTTCATGTGGGCGACGTCGCGAATGATGCCTTCCACAGTAAACCAAGTTCAATCTTTGCTGAGTACCTCCGCCGTCGCAGCTGGTAAAGCTTGCTCTGGAGGGCAAAATGGTACTGTATGTGGACAGAAGTGGTATACTGGTGGTTTCGACGGGGTGACAGGACTGGGCCAGCAGTTGACGGCATTGGAAACGGTTCAGGGACTTCTCTCCCAGCAGGCGCTTCCTCCGTTCAAGGCCGGTGAGATCAAGCACGTCAAGGGCACAGGCAAGGTGCCACCGAAGCCGGCTGGCAAGTAATTGATCCTCGCGCACTTGCTCGCTACCCTGTCAAAACTTGACCAGAAGCATATTTCTAGGCCTTGCATGATGGGATGGTTTTGGATACACTAGATGGGGCATAAGCATAGTAGTTGGCGTTTGGGTTTCCCTACTTTCGGCCACTTAATTGAGAGGCGGTTTGATATCAATTTAGAGATACACAAACACTTGGAGAAAAGCTTTGATTCGTTCTGCAATAGATTCCATATTCAAGAACAGATGCATTATTATTGGATAATTCGAGGTTAGTCTCTTCAATCTTGAATAAATATTAATTTTTATAAACTCTTATAGATTCACAGATTTGTCATGAATGAAATACGCCTATCGTTGACTTCAGTAAATGACTAATAAAGCTGAGATGCATAAACTAGTATAATATGCATTCATGTGTAGAAAAAGGGGTACAAAAGACCCACCCAAATGTGGGGATGGTAACCCTCCGATCGGCAGCCCGATTTAATGTTGTAATAATATGACCTACGGACAATACTAAACATTAGGTACTAAAGATGCTAGTAAAATAAAATAAAATAAAATCCTCAAGACAAGATTACCTAGACCCATGCGGTGACTCAACTACCATCTATAAAATAAGCTAAGAAATAAGAAACTAACAGTTCGGCCTATTTGTACAAGTAACTTTCTTGTATCTACCAAAAAAGCCAAGTGTTTTTGTTTTGAGCTCTTTGGTTTTATAGTCTGGACTATCATGTCTCCTTTCAATCTCGAGACCTGTGCAAGGTCCAATATTCTAGCATTGGAACCGTACCGCTGTGCGCGAGAGTAAGACTCAATCAAAACTTATCCATTGACAGACGAACACTTACATCCATTATAGCGATTACAAGGACGACGGTACAAACATTCTTCTTGACGCTAATGAGAATGCCATTGGACCGTCTTTGACAGCGGATGCTGTATCAGCTGTATCGGCTGTATCGAAGGGCTCTGGGGTCGAGATAGACTTCCTAGGACTACACAGATATCCAGACCCGCACCAAAGGGATCTAAAGCAGCTGCTCTGCAACCTGCGGAACACTCACCACCACACAGACAAAAACATAACACCGGACAACCTGTTTGTCGGCGTTGGCAGCGATGAGGCTATCGATGCGCTGCTGAGATGCTTCTGTGTTCCCGGTCGGGACCGCATCTTGGTATGTCCTCCGACGTACGGCATGTACTCCGTATCAGCACAGGTCAACGATGTTGGACTGGTCAAAGTTCCTCTTTTGCCAGCGCCGACGTTTGGAGTTGACGTAGCTAAAGTGCTAGAGGCGCTCTCGACGGAGCAGAATATTAAGCTTATCTACCTGTGCTCACCGGGAAACCCGACCGGCTCGTTACTGGCCAAGGAAGATATAAAGCAGATTTTGGAGCACCCAACGTGGAACGGTATAGTAGTCGTTGATGAGGCGTACGTCGACTTTGCGCCTGAAGGTACTTCGCTGGCGGAATGGGTTGCGGAATGGCCTAACCTGGTCGTTATGCAGACGCTCTCAAAGGCGTTCGGCATGGCGGGCATCAGGCTCGGAGCAGCGTTCGCAGCGCCCCCGGTCGCGCAACTCCTCAACAATATTAAAGCACCATACAATATCTCCAGCCCGACTAGCGCGTTGGCGTCGTACGTCGCTTCGGACGAGGGCCTGGCGACGATGCGCGCAAATAGGGAGAAGATTGTGCAACAAAGAGAGAGGTTACTCAAGGAACTACCTAAAGTTAAGGGTATTGGACGGCTGCGCGGCGGAACGAGCAGTAACTTTCTGCTTTTCGAGATGTTGAACGCGGAGGGAAAGCCGGATAATGTGACGGCGCTGGCGGTGTACGAGACGCTGGCGGAGAATAAAGGCGTCGTGGTGCGGTTCAGGGGTAAGGAGCACGGGTGTCTGGGATGTTTACGGATCACGGTCGGGACGGAAGACGAGGTCACTCGATTCCTAAAAGCTATAGAACAGGCGCTTGCCGAGATCAACGGGCACAAGACGGAGGAGGTACCGGCAGACGAGGCGAAAAGAGAGACTAAGGCGAATGGTGTTGTGGCATAGACGGTTGAGTGGTTAAGACATAAAAAGGTCTAGATAAATGAAAAGGGGGTTCTACATTTAGGAGAGGGGGGCTGTTTCATGGTTGAGTTTTACATACTTCATAAAAACTAGACAAAATTCTATGGCTATGATAAAATAGAGAAGTCATGTATCTTAAACATTTCTATTTCCCATACCCTACCCAATGGTTTGGGCGAAGTGAGTGAAGTTTGGCTTAATTGCATAAGTGCCTGTGGAATTGTAATTTGTACTGGCTAAGACCCAATCAAATGGGCACTAACTTTTGTAAATTGCATATACCGACGTAATTCTTGCTTGTGAATTCCATAGGTTTCCTCTCTCACTCGAAAGTAAAAAATCTATGAAGTTTATGACATCTGCAGCCCTATTACGCTGTCATTCTATCCGAAAATATTTCCGAGAGAAAACAAAAAGAACTTCTCATAATAAATTGGAAACAAGGAGGTAGCGACTCAAAATGCACATTGAAGAAATCTCAGATGAGGTTGCGGAACGCCTCAAGCTCTCTCAGGCTGAGGGCGAAAAATCACAGCTGCAAGAGCAAGAAACTGCACAATCACCATCACAAGATGCCTCAATACCCACACCAGCTGCTGTATTTCCAGAGCCGGAGCCCGTCAATAAGAAGTCTATAGACGAGATTGTCGCGGACCTGAAGAAGACACCCTTTTTCATGACGGAGCTGGAAGAGAACGACCAAACCGAGGCATTCAAGGCGCTTGCGTATGAGGGTACTCCTTTGGAGAACGGCTCCGATTTCAAGGAGCGCGGCAACGAGTGTTTCCGCGAGAAGCGTTGGGCCGACGCCAAAGAATTCTATACGAAAGGCGTGCTAATACTTGCGACCGAGGAGCGCAAGCGTGCCAGGGGTGAGCACGATCCCGAGGTAAAGGAGGAAGAGGTCAAGGAGCAAAAACGAGTACTAGAGTCCCTATACATCAACCGCGCGGCTTGCCATCTGGAGCTGAAAAACTACCGCAGCTGCTGGCTAGATTGCGCCGCGGCCCTGCGTCTCAACGACACGAACCTCAAGGCGTACTATCGGTCGGCCAGGGCATTCCTAGCCGTGGGCCGCATCGCCGAAGCAGACGACGCGTGCGCGCGGGGCCTAGCGCTCGACGAGAACAACGGCCCGCTGAAAGCAGTGGCGCGCGACATCGTCAAGAAGCACGAGGAAGCGACGGCGAAGCAGAGGAAAGAAAGCGAGAGGCTGGCGAGGGAGAAGCGGCGGGAAATGCTCGTCAGGGCGGCCCTCAAGAGCCGCGAGATCAAAACGCGGACGACGGCCCGGCCGCCCGAGATGGAGGACGCGGGCGTCAGACTGGTGCCGGACCCGGACGATCCGCGCAGCGCCCTTAGCTTCCCGACGGTGCTGCTGTATCCGGCGCACCTCGAGTCCGACTTCATCAAGGCGTTCGAGGAGACGGCGACGCTGGCGGAGCATCTGGGGTACGTGTTTCCGCTGCCGTGGGACGCGGCGCGCGAGTATACGCCCGACGGCGTCGAGTGCTACATGGAGACGGCGGCCGGCGGGCTGGTCAAGGTCGGCAAGAAAGTGCCGCTGCTGAAGATGCTGGCGGGGGGCAAGGTCGAGGTCGTGGATGAGGTGGTGAGGGTCTTTGTGCTGCCCAAGGCTCGGGCGGCGGGGTGGGTGGTGGATTTTAAGGAGAAGAGGAGGGCGGAGAGGGGTGGGGGGTAGGGGGTTTGTAGGAGGTGTTTGTTGGGATGAGGAGATGGGTAGATGGGAGGGGAATATAATAAAAGGGGATCTCTGTTCAAGCGTCTACCTACCTTAGGTAGTTAAAGTGTTGTTCGAGATTGTCTGTATATCTGTACTGATATCCCCGTATAGGAGTAGTACTACCAGGACTCATTCAAAGTATTGTCTTGTCTTTTGCTCTTTCGCATTTGACTAAACACATCACAGGATAATCCATAGATAGGTTAGGTTACGTAGGTACCTAGGTAGGTAAAACGATCGCTTGTCTAGATACACTGTAGAACGCCGCCGCCGCCGCCGCCGCCATGCTCCATTTTGGCCGCCAATACTCCAGGTCCTTCCCCCAATGTTAGCCCATCCGATTTGACGCGTCTATCCCAGAAAACGAAGTTGTCTAGCCGCCTCCCCCCCCAAACTATCTACGCCAACGTCCCTTCCCCCCCCCCTGTGCTCGTCTTCAACGTAGCTGGGGCAAGTTGTTGTCTTGGCTTTCCTAGCTACATCGAGTTCGACCTCACCCGCTTAACCCGCGGAAAGGACCCGTCGCGCGGCGAACTCGTGCCCGACGTCGTTGTGCTGCTGCTGCCGCCGGTAATGCCTCGCGAGTCTCCGACGCTGAGGTTCATCAGGAGTAGCGCTGCGTTCTTGTCCGCGCCTCCCACCACTGGGGAGTCACTTGGCGATGCCTGTTTTATCTTGCTGCTGCTGCTGCTGTTGTTGTTGCGGGGCTTCTCCGCCGCAGTCTTGTTCGCCGCGGATATCTTCGCCAAGGCGTTGCCGTGGGTCTCGTATTCGGCCTCCACGTGCTCGGCCGATCGCTTGCTGCCGCCCCGCCATGGCTGCGGGTGGGGATGCGAGGTCCGGGGCGATAGGGGGTACGGTTGTATATGCGTTTCTGTGGTGAAGCGCGGGACGGCGCTGAGCCAGGGGCTTGGGCCGGGCGGGGCGTAGTGCCGTGGTGACACTACGTTGGCGGGCGTCCATCCGCTGCTCGTGGGCCGGAGAGATGGGGCTGCTACTACTGATGGCGGCGGTGGTGGCTGGATGGGGGAGTATGGGTAGCGATTGCGGTGGCCGGGCTCCGAGGTTATAGGAGACGTGTCACTGTCCGGGTCCGTGGTATACGGGCTACTAGGGGTTGCGAGAGCCTTCGGGATTGGACGGCGGCGGTAGTATGAGTGGCTATGGCTGTGTCTGACTTCGTCGTAAGGATTCCGGAATAAAGGCCGTCGATCCTGGGCCGGGCTGGCTGGGCCGTTATTGCTGGCAGAGGCGGCCGAGTTGCTACATAATCTGCGGAAATGCTCTGCTTCTCTGGTAGATTGGACTACGGTAGCTGGATCGATGACCATGCGGCTGTACTCTGGCGCTTCCGAAGGCGTGCAGCGGGAGGGGAAGTCGGGGCCGAAAATGGGTATCAGGGCCCCTGCGATATTGTGGCAGAAGGTTGCGCATACGGCTTTGGCGCAGTAGTATGGCATCCAGTAACCTTTTTAGCGAAGGAAATGTAAGTTCATGCTTGGAAAGGGGGGTTTATGTATTAGCACGTACCCTGAGCCATGATAGAACCCCCCGTGATGCTGTGCGTTATGTCCTTGAGCCCGGGGTTTAAGTTCAGCATCTTGGCCGGTGTCGTCTACGATTTTGGTTAGTTCTTAGTTTTAAAACGAGTTCCTTATCCGTTGAAGCCGGGGGGCGAGCTGACCTTGGGGTATTTACAGCACTTAAAGAAAGGGGTCATGCGGACGAGGCCGACATTGTAATCCCACATGACGGTGTATTCGGTCTCGTCCCCGGGCACTTTGAAAGTATACTGGAAAACTACGTTCGGGTCAACAAAATCGATTACTGCATCTCGGGGGATTATGCGTTTTTTTTTGTTTTATTCTGGTTCTTTACCTTCGAAGCTTTCTCGGCCTGTCTTCTGGAAAAAATCCTTCTTCCCGCTGTTGTAGGGGATGTGCCGGGAATGGTCCTGTATGTTCCCGAAGAAACGGACGCGAAATTGCCGGACTTGGCGGAGCGAAGCCTCGTCTAGATTCTCGAATGGGGGGAAATTGACAGCTCCCTTAGGTCTACTCGTAGGCAAAAGAGCCGCAGTCTTCGGTATCTTCTGCTTGGCCATTCTGTGATCATCTAAAAGACCCAGCTCGTCTGGGAGAGAAGCCGTTGGGGATGAAGACGAGGCTGGGCTTGGAGGAAACCTGTTGATTGGTGGCCCTGGAGGGGCGGGATTAAGAAGAGACGCCAGTGACAGCATGGCGGTGAGAAGCAGTGGGGACAAGATGTCTCGAATACGGATAGAGTACTGATGCAAGCAAAGTTGTGGATGGCTATCTACGAAAAGGTCCGTGGGAAGAGCTAGGTAAGGAGACTCAAGACAGACAGTGCTTGCAGCGGCAAGTCAGAAAGGAGAGAGGAAACCAAGTCCTTTTGAACTTGGCAAACAGACGAACTATTGAAGCACGCCCTCGCGAGACGGCGAGCCCATGCTGGTACAAGGGGACCGAGATTGCTTCCTTTCTTGACTGTACCCAGTCATGCAGCTCTCTGCAGAGCACTTGAGCGGTGTCCAGTGCTGCCTTGGCGATCGTGGTATTCGGTGCAGCGTTCTTTGTTGAAGATGTCTTGGAATCGACCTGTGAGAGCAGAGGAGCTCGTTTGTGTATACCCACCGCTCCTTAGAAGATCGAGGTTAAAGCCACCAAAGTGAGAGATGACGAGAGGTAGGCCACGCGAGGGAGAGAGGGGACGAGCGAAGCAGTTCTAAGTTACCTTGTACGTATCAACGAGGGCGGATCGGGGACGATTAATGATTAAAACGGGGACGACAGGAAACCGTCAACCGGCAGGGCAGCGTGGTAGGTGATTAGTTTCGGAGGCAGAGAACTCAGATTACTAGAGAGAGGTGCGTTCGATTCCGGAGCCTTGCCGACGAAGATAGTCCCAGGCGGTACCAGATGTATCACGTCGATCCGTGGATTATAGGACAGCATCGAGGTAAGGTAGGTTTCAACACATCTCACCAGTTCTGACTCCGGCCCAAAAGGGGCGACCACAGGCGACCGCATGACGCATCGGACCTGTAGCTAGAGACAGCAAATGAGTTTGACACAGCAAATACTTCAGCACAGAGACCCCAAACAAGGACCAGGCTTGTTTGGGAATTCATATGGGAGTTTTGACAGAAAGCAACCTCACGGGAAGCTGCAGATAGTGCCGTCCAAGTTACTAGGGCTAGGCGGTTTCTCAAGAGGGTAGAACAAAGAAAGGCCAGTGATAAGCATATTGAGCCCTAGACAACGATTGCTAGACTCGACACACGTGTACCCAGTGCCTCCCATCCTGTAGGAGGGTAGGCCTAGGATGTCACGGCGGAACATGTCACCCACGCCATTCTTTGCTGTTCTTCTATTTAAGACAGAGAGCGAGAAGAAGTCTTGGGCTTGACCGCCGCAAAGGCGATTCACTTGGTGGAGAGTTCTGTGCCTATCCGGGGACCACGTAAGGACTCTTTCTCTCGGTTGAAAGAATTCCCTGAGCATTTCGAGAAGCAACTGAAGCACCACAAGGGGCTTCCCGTCGGCAATGGGTGTCGTGAATGCGGAGATTACAGCTGTCACCACATACATATATAGCTTATGCTTTCTACGAGAGTCAGGCCGTCTACGGGTAATAATACTTCCCAGGGCAACACAGAGGCGGATCTCGTATCAATATTGCCCCATCGAGGTATATATGGACCGTGTCGTCAATAGTCTATTGAATAGAGAATAGGGATCAACACATTGGCTGTAAGGAGTTCTTGCGTAACTTGAATACATGTGACAAGCCTCGCAGAAGGGACGCCTAGTTGGATGAATGGGCTTGAAAGATGATTACGGCGTACCTGGACGACTTGACGAGAAGAACGAGAAGATTAGTTACCCCTCTTCATTTGATTCCGCGATCATAGACCAGACTGGCTAGTAATTGTCTGTTCACCTTACAAGCACGCCCGGAAGCCCAGTAGTAGTAGCTGAGCGGTCGGTAGGCTACCTTCGTGGGACACCTAAGGCTCGAGTCATAGCCCCCCCTGGACCTGTCTCTCAACAAGTTGTGGTTCTGACTACACTAGAACCTGCGGCTTTCCGATATGCTACCAGACTCTACAGTACCAAGCAGATTGCATGGCATGATCGCAAATGCGAATCTAACAAACAGGTATAGTAAGGAGATAGTATACAGTATTAAATACCTAGGAGTAGTGGTATTAAGCAAGGGCAAGCAATGGTATAACTGCCTACTCAGCGAAGAGAAAACTCCATGTCTGCTATGTATATTCACGCTTGCGACGTTCTTGTACTGCCGAAAGGCCATGTCAGGGCTGGAGTGCCCCACCGGTTCCGGTAGACGGGAACGTGGAAAGGGTATCCTGGCTACCATTATAGGAGACTTTGAATAGACGCGGAAGATGGAACCGGCGGCAAAGAAGGCAGATGGCATGGACTAAACGATCCTGCCTCGTCGGATTTTCTCGCCTGCTGTACTTCCCAAAGAGGGTAAGCTTGAGGCTCATCAAGGCCGGTTCGGGTAAGATAGTGGAAGGATTCAGGGCGATGATTGCCATGCTGTCTGCAGTGGTACGGCGTAGGATGGCAGGAGAAGTGGCTCCGCGATTCTCATCATGCGTGGTGCGACTTTGGCAACAAAAAAGCTACGGGGACGTACAGTTCGACTTCGGGAAATTTACGTCTCGTTACATTTTGGGAAACATTGCTAAGTGGAATCACACGACGCATGCACGGCGGAGAATTACGCACCAATTGCTTGCCGTGTTTCTTCCCTTTCATAAGACCCTCTTGGATGACGGGCCATGTGCTCTGGTAGGACGAAGAGGTTAGCCGGGTAGGGAAGAGACTACCCGGTCTTAACGTAGATAGATACTTCTAGCTTGCATGAGTGTATGTAGATGAGGTTGTAAATGTACCTAGTCAACCTATCATCATCAGAGCCCCAGGCCACCATGACCTTCTTGGTGATTGATTATTGCTTTGACGAGACTAATACATAGAAAAGAAGACGGGCGATAAGCATCCGATTGAGATTTTATATAAATAGTAGCTAGCTTCTAATAATAGCTATAGTAGTAGTAATTCATTATGAGGTACTCTGGTATCTAAAGGTAGTAGATCACGAATACTTCACGAAGTTGGCAAGCTGGTACGAAAATGTGATTGATATGAGAGGTCAACTCATTTGCATGTACCTACGTATCTTACGTACTGTTCCATAGGAGATAGTCTATCATCTGTGGCTGGCTTGATGTGGCTCGTGAATGTAACCTAGGTAGTGGATGACCTAGGTTAGTCCTTTGGATGTTTGCTACCTCTTGAGCTCCTGCCGATGTTTAGCCATGCCGGACGCGTTTGAGCAACTGCCATTTTTCAGCCGTACTCCGGTACGAAAATACATAGGTAGTATTACCACAACACTAAGTTCGCTAGCCTGTAACCGGAGCCCCACTTCGTCGAGGGACGCGACGCCTAGTTATCAAATGAAAATAAATTGTTTACATGCATCAACCATCAACACGACAACTGCTAGGACGAGGCTGCTTTCCCTGTAACAACCCCCCTCTCTCATTACAAAAGGAGAAGTTTCAAAACAACTGGTATTCCCGTGATATTGACCCTTAACTTTTTTTTTTTCTTTTCGTGAAATCCCTGTGCAGTTCTGGTCAATTGCGGCGCTCTTTTTATAATTCGATGATATTGAGTAAACCCCTATCCTCCCTCACGTCATTCACGTCGCGTGTGAACGTATCACACCAAACACATTCATCATGGACTCCGACATTATGGAGGACTCGGCCTTTGACGACTTCGATAACGAGTCAGATGGCTTCTCTCCAGAGCCGGTATGAGAAACAATACTCTTGTCTTGCTTTTTTTTTTTACTAAAAAAAATCAAAACAACATACTTACCTTTTATCTCTACATATTCAGTACTAACCTCGCGCTCCTACAGAAACCTAAGGCCAAGGCGCCTGTAAAGAAGGCAGCGGCAAAACCTGCAGCGAAGGCTGCATCAAAAAAAATGGTTCAGACAACCCTAAAGACGACTAAGACTGCTCCTAAGAAACGCTCAAAGCCTGATAGCGACGACGATGGCGACGATGACGATGTCTCGGGTTTCTCCAACACGCCCCCAAGTGCGAAGAAGCAGAAAAAGGCGCCCGCCACCAAGAAGTCGAGTGGTCCACCCTTAGGCGAGATCGAGAACGATAGCATGGTGCTCGATGACTCGAAGCCAGCCAAGAAGAAGACGGCTACGGAGACGTACCAGAAGTTGACACAACTCGAGCACATTATCAAGCGACCTGACACATACATTGGCTCTGTCGAGCGTACTGAGCAGCAGATGTGGGTGTTCAATAAGGAGACTAACCTGATGGAACTACGATCCAAGGTTGGCTTCGTGCCCGGTCTTTACAAAATCTTTGACGAAATTCTCGTCAACGCTGCAGACAACAAACAGCGGGACCCAAGCATGACATACATGAAGGTGACGGTCAATCGTGAAGAAGGTCAGATCATAGTCGAGAATAACGGAAAAGGTATTCCAGTAGAGATTCACGATAAGGAGAAGGTTTATATTCCGGAACTAGTTTTTGGACACCTCCTTGCTGGTTCCAACTTTGATGACGACGAGAAAAAGACCGTAGGTGGTCGAAACGGTTACGGTGCCAAGCTTTGCAACGTCTTCAGCACAGAGTTCACCCTGGAGTGTCAAGACTCTAAGAATGGAAAACGATACAAGCAGACGTGGAGGGACAACATGGGCAAGATGGACAAGGCCAAGATAACAAGCAGCAAATCTAGCGACTTTGTTCGTGTCAGCTTCAAGCCGGATTGGAATAGGTTTGGTATGCCTGAAGGCATCGACGATGATCTTGAGTCGTTGCTTTACCGTCGAGTTTATGATATGGCTGGCACGGTGCGCGGCGTCAAAGTTTACCTCAACGACACCCACATCAAGCTAGACTTCAAGAAGTACTGCGAAATGTACGCTAAATCCATTGCTCTTGAGCAAGGTGCCGACGAGGGTACCGAACCTACAGCTACGGTCATCCTCGAGGACAACAAAGCCCATGCTCGGTGGGAGATCGCCTTTGCGGTCTCAGACGGTTCTTTCCAGCAGGTCTCGTTTGTGAACTCTATTGCTACTACCTCCGGTGGTACTCACGTCAATTACATTGCTGACCAAATCTGCGACTCACTTCTGAAGACGTTGAACAAGAAAAAGAAGGGACACGCGCTGAAGGCCAACCATATCCGTAACCACATTTTCATCTTCGTCAACTGTCTGATTACCAATCCTGCCTTCACTTCGCAGACTAAAGAGCAGATGACGACCAAGCTCAGTCAGTTTGGAAGTAAATGCGCTCTGACCGAAGGCTTCCTCAAGAAGATTAGCCAGACGGATGCAATCAACAACATCATCCAATTTGCGGAAGCCAAAGCTGATAAGCTGCTTGCCAAGAGTGACGGCAGCAAACGATCAAGAATCAGTAATGCCAAACTAGTCGACGCCAACTTAGCAGGTACCAAGAATGGTTGGCAATGTACTCTGATCTTGACCGAAGGTGATTCCGCCAAAAGTTTAGCTGTGGCTGGCCGTGCCATTCTGGATCCCGATAAGATTGGTGTTTTCCCCCTTCGAGGCAAGATGCTGAACGTTCGTGATGCTTCAATCGACCAGATCATGAAGAACCAAGAAATTCAGAACATTAAACAGTTCCTCGGGCTGAAGCACAAAACGGTCTATACCGATACTAAATCTCTTCGATATGGTCATCTTATGATCATGGCGGATCAGGATCACGATGGTAGCCATATCAAAGGTCTTCTTATCAATTTTCTCCAAGTTCAATATCCCTCCCTTCTGAAGATCCCTGGTTTTTTCCAAGAATTCATCACGCCCATCGTGAAGGTCTGGCAAGGACCAAATCCCAAGAAACCCTTGAGGCTGAAATCATTCTTCAACCAACCTCAGTACGAGGAATGGAAGGAGCAGCACAAGAATGAGTTGAAACGATGGGAGTCGAAGTACTACAAGGGTTTGGGTACCAGTGACAACAATGACGCCCAGGTCTATTTCCAAGATCTCGATACCCATTTGAAGACGTTCGATGTGATGCGCCCTCAAGAAGCCGACTTGATTGAGCTCGCTTTCTCCAAGAAGAAGGCGGATGCCCGTAAAGAATGGCTCGGTAACTTTGTACCGGGTACCTACCTCGACCACGCTATCAAGCAAGTGTCATACGACGACTTTGTTAACAAGGAGTTAATCCTATTCAGCATGGCTGACAACATGCGATCTATCCCCTCGGTTGTCGATGGCCTAAAACCTGGCCAGCGAAAGGTCATCTACGCTTGTCTGAAACGAAATCTAACCAAAGATAAGAAGGTCGTCGAGTTGGCTGGTTATGTGTCCGAACAAACATCATACCACCATGGTGAAGTATCCTTGCACCAGACTATCATAGGCCTTGCACAAAACTTCGTCGGCTCCAACAACGTTAACTATCTCGAGCCCAGTGGTAACTTCGGTTCGCGACTTCAAGGTGGTTCCGATGCTGCCAGCCCTCGTTATATCCACACTCGTCTCTCTCCATTCGCCCGCCGCATATTCTCACCTCTAGACGAGCCTAAACTAGAGCATCAAGTCGAAGACGGGAAGAGAATTGAACCGAAGGTATATGCACCTGTTATCCCTATGATCTTGGTAAACGGCGCAGATGGTATCGGTACTGGTTGGAGTACATCAATCCCGAATTATCACCCGCTAGACATCATTAGAAACCTAAAGCGACGTATGGGGCGTATAGATGGCGAAGATGAAAAACCATTCGAGACAATGATCCCCTGGTTCAGAGGTTGGAAGGGTACCGCACAACCCGCCGAGACCCATCGCTATCAGTTCAATGGTATTGTGAGCGTAGACGAGAGGAGACCCAATGAGGTCATGGTCACAGAACTACCCATTCGCATGTGGACGGATGATTTCAAGGCGAAGCTAGAGGAAATAATCCGAGGTGAAAAGGTTCCTTCGTTTATCAAGGACTACAAGGAATTCAACGACCACAACACTGTCCATTTTGAGATTCAGTTAGACGAGAAGCATATGAACCAAGCCTTGCAGGAGGGTCTCCTCGAGAAGTTCAAGTTGGTTAAGCAGGTTGCTACATCTAACTTGGTCGCATTCGACACTCGTGGCATGATCCGCAAGTACGACAAAGTAGAAGATATTCTCGAGGAGTTTTACAACTACCGATTGAATATGTACACTTTGCGAAAGGTAAATCGATGATATCAAGGCTTTTCGAGTATTATACTAACTTCATTTAGATGCATTGGCTCGGCGTTTACGATGCAGACTTCCGCAAGTTGAATAACCAGGCCAGGTTCATACAAGAGATAATGGATGGCAAGCTTGTGGTATCCCGTAAAAAGAAGCAGGTCATCGTTGAGGAGCTTCGTGAGAAAAAATATGAGGCTTTCCCTAAAGGGCAGGATCCCAAGAAGACCAAGTCGGAGGAAGAAGAAGAGGATGAAAACAATGAGGATGAAGCGGTTGACGATACATCCGCAAATGACTATGACTACCTTCTTTCAGTAAGTTTATATAGTTGTCCTAAGAAAAGGTAGTTTCTAACAGCCTATAGATGCCGATTTGGTCCTTTACCCAAGAGCGGCTCGACCGTCTCAAGGAACAGATTACCAAGAAGAAAGCCGAGCGAGATGCACTCGATGCCCTCAGCGAAAAGGATCTCTGGTGTAAAGATTTGGAAGACTTCGAAGAAGTGTGGGAAAACCAGATGCGCCTCGAACAGGAGATTGCTACTGGTATCCGTAGAAAGGGTCGCCGCACATCAAAGAAGATCGGTGCTGGTGGTGCTGGTGGACGGGGCCGCAAGGTAAAGAACGAGGAAGACGACTGGGCCCCAGCAGCCGCCAAGTCGAAGCCGGGTCCTAAAGCCGCAGCCAAACCAAAAGAACCACCCAAAGAAAAGTCTGTTCAACGTTTTGCGGCCATGTTCAATGGTGGCGCCAAGAAGGACACCGCAAGCGGTGGCGGAGCAGAATCGGACTCGGATCCGTTCTCGGATGATGACTTTGCTAAGCTAAAGAATCCAGCGAAGAAGGAAAAAGCAACTACTCAAGACTCAGATATAGAGATTCAAGAGATCCAACCGGCACCTCGAGCCAAACGTACTGCAGCTTCGAAAGCCAAGAGGTTTATCGTAGATGATGACGACGAATCAGAAAGCGATGACGACAAGATGCTTGGTGATGTTGGTGATTTGGTCAAGGGTATTACGAACGGCAATACCAGTGCATCCGAGAACAAGACTGGCCGACTTAGTTTGTTTTCCATGTCGCGCCCGGATAGCAGCAGCGGCAACAGTACTGGGTTAAAGGTTAAGAGCAAGCCTTCGAAGGTCTTGGACCTAGATGATCATGATGACACCAACTATGAGATGCTGGCCAAACCATCGCCTCTCAAGAATAACCGTGGGAATGAGTTGGACAGTTTTCTCTCTGACGACGATCTACCCCCCGTCTCCAAAGCTTTGAGCAAGGCAAAGCCTTCAAAAGAGGAGCCTAAGCTCAAGCCTCGGTCCAAACCAGCCACTGCCGCTGCAAGCACCAGCGAGCCAGCAGTTAAGGCACGTGGCCGACCTGCTGCAACGAAGGCCAAGTCTAAAGAAGCTGCGCCTGTGAAGAAGGCGCCAGCATCCAAGGCCGCGCACTTGTCGCCAGCAGCGAAGGCCTATGCTGCCAAGAAAGAAAAGGCGAAGCCGAAGAAGGATGTTTTCGACATGGACGACGATGAAGACGACGATGTCGAAATGGCTGATCCTGACTCTCCTCCGCCAAAACCTGCGGCTCGTGGTAGACCTGGTCGAGCTGCTGCAGCCAAGTCAAAGCCAGTCTATGTCATTGACGACGATGATGAAGAAGAAGACGAGGACAGCCTACAGCTAGCTAATGACGACGATGACGACGACGATGAACCGAGTGATGAATTCGCCATGGACGACAGCGAGTGATTCTCATAATAACTAGCTTCACGTACGCTTGTGGATCATAGCTACCATTCTCAACAAAAGTCGGTTGCAGAGTCAGTTGCAGAATGCGGTTGTCTTTTCATAAGCGACAACCCTGATTATATTCATCTTGGTGTCGATGAGAGACGAAGCCGGCGTGGCGTAGTCTCATCAAGTTTTTGTGACTAAATAGGCGGAAAGGGGTTCTCTTTAGGGAGGGGGACGAACGAGGCTGAGGGTGACGATTTATCACGAGGCGTTGGTGGTTCATCTGACTTGGTCCCTAATTGCTATTTCTGTTGCTTCGCCTTTTCCTGATTTATGGCACATCATTTATGTATATGTATTAGGTACCAATAAGTAGGAGATGGCATCTTAACAGAATTATTCACGAATGAGTCCTGACTCCTGAATAGTGATATGTGTGTGAGATGCCCTTTTACAAATTTTAAAAATAAAATAACAATGCCATTCTTATTCCCTACAAATGCCTCTATCTATCTTCCCTTATATCGATACAAATCCCCATTCAAGTTTCTATGGCGTAGTTACTCGGTAAGTTCCTTTCATGCCTATAGTAAGGAAATTGGTAGTCGTAAGAAATACGATCCGTTGACCACCTACCTATATACCATTTCCCTCGTTTGATCAAGTTAGTGAATACACGTATGAGATCAGAATTAAGGACCTAGTATACTTCGTAGATCGATACATACATACATATGTATGCAGTGCTGGGCTTTGAGCACAGCCTACTACGTATATATAAAGTTACATTGGGTAGGTAGCATCTAAACAAGCAAAAGGAGTGAGAAAGGAAATATTGCTAGCAAGAATCTTATAAGTCAACTACTAATACCATCCATACTGAAGAATTAAGCACCCACTAAGAAGTATAAATTTACACTTACATAAGTTAGCACATATGTGACTAGTTATAAAATATTTGTAAACACAACGCATAGACACATCACAACGAAAAAACCCAATCAAGAATAAAAAGGGAAATAGTCGAAATTACTATCTTACTAAGCTCAGGTTCACCGCATCGCACTTCTCTGTCTGCACTGGACTGTTTATTCATACCATCGCGATCCCCGCCACTCACGTAACTAACACAAACATTCATCGATGGTACTACTGCTACTGCAAAAGCCATTCTCGTTTCGTTTCATCCATCCATCCGTCCATCCATCCACTCACTCACCCTGCCAACCACTGAAAATACCTATCGTCCGCCCTAACTAAATCACATGTTCCTTCTCTCGACCGTTTCGTTCTCGTTTCTCTCATTCTTACACCGCTGTCCACCGTCCATCAACAACACCACTCCAACGCCTATCACAGTTCAATGCTTGCGTTCTGTCTGTATGTCTGGTTGGATGCAGCATCGACTTATCGGGTGGGACTAGGACACCAGCCATCGCAAGAGAAGATTGCCAAAGCCGAAAAGAGAGAACCGATTTGTTTAGGTAAATTAAACCGTTAGCTCCACGTCAGAACCAAATCCCGCCTAGAGCGGCCCATTGCCATTGTCAAGGAAAGTCGTAGGCGAAAAAAAAACTATTTGGCCCCCATCCAGGAAGCTTTGGAAAATTCCTCAGTCTCGCGTATCTTTCTATGCCATGAGTCATATCAAGTCGCCGTGCCGTGCCAGTCGGGTCTTAGAAACAGAGGTGGGTGACAAAATTATGTATCTAGGAGATGGTCCATCGTCGGTCACACTGCTCAGAGCTCGTCTAAGCAGCGACCAGAGGCTCCTCCTCATCCTCAGATTCCTCTTCAGAAGATTCCTCCTGCTTGTTCTGGAAGGTCTCCTTGGGGGTCTTAGGGAAGTCAGACTCCTTTAGGTTGGTCTGAGTAGGCTTTGACGCAGCCTTAGTTTGGCCATGGAGAATTTGCTGGGCCTTAGCAGCGTAGTCACCTACGTATTGCTTAGTGAGCCCAGTCGCCTGAGAAGTGTACTTGCCAGCAACTTCACGTAGCTGCTCGGTTTGGCTGTCAATCATATCAGAGGCCTGCTTAAGGTAGTGGTCAATGAGTTCCTGGTTGGTTGCGTAGACTAGAGGCACGAAGAACAAGAGTGTAGTGGAGATCAAGGCAAGGCCCCAGTAAGGGACAATCTTAACCAAGTAGTAGGAAAGGAATGCTCCAACGGCAGCCTGTTACCGTACTGTTAGTCAGATGTACTAGAGTATAGCAAATACTGCTTGTATAGGGATACATACAACAACTGAGGCGGTGACATTCTCGGCAAATAGGATTCGCTGAGACTCAATAACAAAGAAGTTAAGGAGTTCATGGGCGTCGCCGATCAAGGCGTCAAGTGTCTCCCGGGGAATGGTGTAGTACTTGCTGGGTCGGAACTGGGTAGTAAGACCGTTGCCAAGGACAGCTTTTCCGGCAACTTCAGCAAGGATGGTAACGGCCAAGGCCATATATGAGAGCTTGAAGGTGTATCGGATGACGTCGAGGTATCTAGCCACGAAGATGGCCGAGACGATAGAAGCGTAGGCGATGGCAGAGGCTCCTATGACGGCTTATCAGTATTGGTGGTCCGATAAGAAGAGGGCGGTCTAGAACTTACGAGGGTTGTTCCATGACAAGAGCTCCGAGAAGAACGAATGATAATGGGTCAAAGGTTGACCGGTAGCAGCGACCTGCGAAGGTGTTTGCCGGGCATTGGCTAGGTTGGAAAACTCGGCAGATGTCTTCGCAGTCTGGTCCTTGACGTTCTGGGCCACAGGGCCTAAGATGTTGTTATCAGCCATGATAATTCTCCAAGTAAAAACGTATAGAAATTAGGGACAATAATTCACATACCGCTTGCGATCTGGTTGTAGGCAGCTGTAGCATCTACGTCAATAAACGTTAGTTGCTATGCTATAAACGGACCGACGGGGCCGACGGGGCCGAGGAAGGAAGATAGTTGTTGTTGTGGTGAGATACTGTACAAGGTAGAGCCAGTTAGCTAGGTGTTCTCCGGAGCGCGGGGGGGGAAGAATCATCTTTGGATTAGATAGACTTACCTTACTGCCTTTCAAAGAGTCAATAGAGCTGCCATTGGCAGTGGGATCATTAGAGGCCATAGTGAATGATCTTGGTGAATGGTCTTGGTGATACAAATTGCTATGTTGTTATCGTAGCTAAAGAAGATCAGATGTGTGTTCTATTCGGAATGCCGGATGCCGGATGCCTGATGCCTTTCTATTACAAAAATTGTGGGTGAGCTCCAATGTTACTTGGGTCCGAGTGCGAGTGCCAGTGCCAGTGCCAACGGAAGGGAAAGCGAAGCAAATCACGTACCTGTTATTAAAGACTGTCGGCGATGTTTGTATGTTTGTGCTGTTGTTGTTGTTGTTGTTTTTGTTTGGTAAGTTAAGGTGGGAAAGTAAAAAAGAGAGGTCGAAAGCAACAGATAGATAAGAAAGTCTTTGGGTCTTTTTTTCTGCTGCTTGTTTGGTGCGGGAGGAATTTCAGGTTTATTGGTAGGGGAGGTTAGTGGGATTGAGCGATCTGGTTGAAGCAAAGGCCAGGCAAATAAAAGGAGTGATTTCATCAAGACTAGCCCAGCGGAGCTGCTTTTACTGCAAATGTGGCTAGTGCGTTGGTCGTTATGACGCCACGCCAGGGCCAGCATGATGCACCTGCCTGACCGACTAGCACCCACCTACCAAACCATCACCTAAAACCACCCGCCGAACCACTTCTATGAGCAGGTGCTACAGTGACAGCCACACCTAAGGGGAACTCGCGTGCTTCTTGAAGGTTCCTCCCCCTACTTGGATACAACGTTTGTACATTGTGCGCTACCTGTTAGTTGCAGCAGGGAGACGTACCCCGAAGTTGCTTGTGTAGGTACCTATGTATGTAGTTTAGGTGTGATGTCCTTTGCAATCCTATCAAACGTCATGCTTCCGTCCCGTCAAGTCACGAATTTAGAATTGCCAAGCACGAGTACCATGTACATATCACTTGAGCTTTATTAAAATAGACATAAAATAGACATATGTCTTATCTCGAATATAACCTTAATTAACACATAAATAAGTTGGACACCAGCTCTATCACACGTTATAACTAATATGTAAAATAACAACAACTATTATGTACTAACTATATAAATAATGAAATTGTTGCATTGTTCTACCGTATCTCGTGCAACTCATTTCTAATCCGAAACATCCTTCGAGAAACCAGAGGCCAAAGCCACCCATGTCATCACTCCGCAATATATAGTCAAAACCTTGCATGTGATTATCCGCTAAGAAGCACACGATCACGTCCCGTTCCATGCCATAGCCCCAGATCTTCTGGCTACCATGGATACCAAATACCTAGGTTAGAACATAACCCTTCCGACACATCCTATCTCAAGTGTGATGGAACCCGAATGACGCATTCTACCATGAGCAGCCATCATCGTGGCCTTGAGATCATGCTTACCTCAACCGCGTCATCACTATGGTAAAACACGGTGCTTAGCGCGACCCGCCTATGTATCTAGGGCCTAGGCTGTCTTTACCTCCCTTTACCTCCAGATAGTGGATATCATCGTGGACATCATCGTGGACATCATCGTGGACATCATCGTGGATATCATCGTGGATATCATCGTGGATATCATCGTGCCGTAGTCAATAAGCTAACCTAGCAAGATCTAGACACATAATACCGGTGTTCAGACTGCTCGAACGCAGCATCTAAAGACTTCAAGTACTACATTAAAAGCTCACGTAAAATCTCAAAGTCCCAAGGGCGACAGGTAGGCAATGCTATATTTGGATATCATGATACTTTTCTTGCTGCTAGCCATAAAGCAAAAGCAATCCGCAACATGCCTTTCCAAGCTGCCGCTCTTCGGCTCTGCGCGGTATAGGTATTCTAAGCTCGCGTATACCTTCTCAAGCTAGGCAAATGTCGAATAGCAAAAGAAAAAAGTCGCCCAGCCAACCCCCGTCTATATACACCGGGCCGGGATAAGTAATTATGATAACTGAGATAAACATAATGTTCCGCCGTCCTACAGATTTAGTCTGTCCTGATGAGTCGACATAGAAATGCATATTCTTCTTCCACCCTTCCGTATAATATAATACTCGCTTCTAAGACTAGAAGAGCTGGGCCCAAGACATCCACCACCCACCGCGCAGTGCCATGCGCTATCTGTTCCATCCTCCAGTCTCCCACTATCGAATGCTGGACGATTATTATCGTCGCCAGCCCCAGAAACTACCATTATTAGTGGCAGGAGTCGTTGTCGCTGTCGGTGTGGTAGCAGGAGCACTCTTAGTACCATTACCTGCTTCTGACACTGTAGCCGTGAACCGCCCAATCATCCCCATTGCAGTCGAGGCTACTGTGGAAGAATCGGTTGGACCAAGTCCGTAAGCTTTCCGTAGGCTTTCGAGCTTCTGCTTGTACTCGTCGGCTTCTTGACGAGCCACTGCTTCGGCAGTTTTAGCTTGTACCAGCTCTAGAAGGAGTGCATCGTGTTCACTTGATACGATTGGCTCTGTTTGCGTCCTGAGCAATGACCCAGAACGCTGACCAAAGGTCAACTGCGTGTTGGGTGTTGACTTGCTACGTCCGAGCTTAAACTCCCGGAGACCACGGCCAGCGCCGTTACCGGTGGCGCTGTTAGCAGTCAGGTTATTTCCCGACGAAAACCACCCTCCAGATTCTGCCCCGACCGTCTCAGATGAAGCTCGCACACGCATAGTATGGACCTGTTTCTCAAGACGTTGCTTGTCCTGGTGGAGGTTTCGAACATGAACGTGACTTTCTCGAAGTTGTTCTCGTAGCGTGTTCGCCTCCTGTCCAAGTTCTTCAATGCGCCGATTGAATTCTAGAGATTTGGACATCTCAATTTTGAGATTATCTTTGGCTCTGGCTAGTTCGTCGCGGAGTTGTGCCTTGGTTAGTAATGACGACTCGGAGCGCTCGCGCCCTTCGTTGCAAAAGCGATCCTCAACTGCTTCTACCAATAGAGACAGCTGGTTCTGGGTAGGTGTCTCTCCTCCATCACTTTCGTCTTCTGTTTTGGTGTCGATGTCTTTGTTATCCTCTGTACTCTCGGTCGTCTCGTTGTTGGCCTTGTCTTTCTTCAATCCATCCAACAATGACTTTACAGCCTTCTTGTCCTCGTCCCTCTCTTCCCTTTCTTGTTGAAGCTGGGTGGCTAATAGTGCATGGTTTCGTTGCAATTCGCTAAGGGCGGTAAGGAGATCTTCGATCTGAGTGTGCAGATTCCTGTCGGCGGCATTGCGACTGGATTGCTGTTTTGCAACAACCGGTGTTGATTCGCGAATCGACGAGTCGTCAGCATTAGAAGTAGAATCGCGAGAAATGGTAGTAGCGTCGGTGGATGCCGAACTAAGGACGCTAGAAGAGCTGGCTTCCATTGAATTCAATGTCGAGGCCAGGCTCTGTTTCGATGCACTTCGGCGTAACATACTTAACGGTCTCAAAGGTGCGGCAAAACCTGGAGAAAGTGTTCCAGATTTCGGGGAGGAGATGCTCGTAGCCCATAAACGTCCCAAAAATCGGGAGGCAGCTGTGGTAACATCGGCCGTTCGCGCGGCATTGGCACTGGCGATCTTTTCCTCGCGATACCCCTGTTCAAGTTGGGCTAATTTCTCTCTCGATACGACCCCAGATAAGCTAACGAAATCATCGACAAATTCATCGGCATTGTAATGATAACAGTCCCACAGACCACGAGATAAAAGGAGCTGCATGACATCCTCCATCTCAGTACAGGCCAAGATGCGGCTCTTGTTCTTTCGCATAAGTGACAGGGCTACCCGCATGATCGTTTCCGACGCGCCTTCGGCAAATATAACATCGTAGATCCGAAACAGCATTGGCAAGGGGCATGTTACCGCAAAAAATGAGAGGAACCACTGTGAAACATATGCTGGATCAACTTGGAGATCCTCTAGATGGTTCGATACTGCGGGTAAATGCTGTTTGAGTAGCTCTCGGAATTGATAGATGCGGACATGTAGACCCGATAAGTCGGGTAGGAAACACGATCGTAGGTCATAATATTCCATCAGCCTATTTTTTTTATAAAAAAAAGATACTAATTAGCCAAATCATTTCTCAAGTACGGAATCGGGAAATAGGTAAATCGGAAAATAGGTACTTACCGGACTAAGACGCAGAATGCTTGACTATCCGGCATGTGCATCAGCAGAGGGCCTACTAGGAAAGCAAGTCCTTGGCAGTATCCAATCTTCGTATCGTAGAGACTAAAACATTTGAGAACTCTTCCGAGCATTCGCTGACCGTCGCCGTCTGGGTCTCGGAACATATCCACGCCAGGAAAGCTTCTACCCAGGTCCTTGCCGATGATGCCTTCATAAGGACTCGACTCGCCGCTGAGCCTGTCAAATTCCTCCAACAGATAACTATCGCGGGCGCTCGCCATACTCTGCCACACAACCCCTCGAAGCGGAGGTGGTACTCCTTTTCGAATCTTCTTAGATAGTAAAGTAGGAAGGCGGGCAGCCGTCTGCTGATAGTCTTTGACGAGAGCCATGTAGAATTCGAGATCGGTCATCGGCGGGGGAGGGAGAACAGAATATCGTAGAGCCGTGGACGGAGGAGCGTTCACCATGTCCCGCATTTGTGCCATGGATGGCGGTCTCGGCCGGCGGATTGGGGGTTGTTCGACAACCTTGACTTTGACGCTTTTTGGATTTGTGGCGATTTTATTATTCTCTTGTTCAAGTCGTGCTAATAGCAATGCTGTAGACTAAAATGTGAAGAATCATGTTAACATCGTCGTCATAGTAGAGAGATATCATGGTAGTAAATCCAGCCTTGCTCAGACCGGTCAACCAGTTGCAACATACATTATCGTCTTGATCTTTCACTTCTTCATCTTCAGTCTTTTGTAATTGGTCCCAATTGACCTCTTCTGTATCCGAGTCTTCCATCAGATCGTCGTCAACAACTTCCTTCTCTTCTTGTATAGTTGTTGTTGTTATTGCTTGAGTGTCCTTCAGCGGAGATTTAGGACTAGTGGGTGATTTCAAATCATGTATTTGGACATCTTGTACTTGGACATCTTGTACTTGGACATCTTCCATGTCGCCTTCCTCTACTTCCATTACGGGCGGCACACTTGGTGCAGTTGCACTTGTAGGCGTACATTCGTGTCCCCAGATGCTCCTTCTAAAAGGTAAAGGGTTTAACGGAAGGTCCGTATTCACCGATAGAGAAGGCGGCTCCGATAATCGAACCGTCACCATAGAATCGTGTTCCGGCATCCTGCGTTCTTCTTTCTCTGCCGGCGATTTGGGCGATGCCAGTGCGCTTGAGTCTGCCGAACTTGGCGCCGTATCGACCGGAGGACTTTCATTTTTCTGCTGGTTTTCGGAATTCCCCTCCATCATGTAAATTCTCGGATCGAAACTAAGGTGGTCGGTAGTCGGTGGTCGGTGGCCGGTAGTGACTGGAATGGCCGATCTACACTCCAGTGTCTCTTGTCTCTTGTCTCTTGTCTCGAGGGCTTAAGCTGTGAATCCCTCCTTGACCTCAGAATTTCCTTAGTCTCGTACGCCGGTGCATCGACAACGAACAGCACAAAAGCAAATCGAACGGCTTCGAAAAACGGTGAGAGCGTCTAGCGCAAATCGAGGTAACGGCGGTGTATTTTACACGCATTAAGACTCAAAATGGATTCGTTCAAACAGCTACAGCATCTATGTACCAGCCTTCGGGTGCCGCCCGCCAAGGAAACAGGGGGAATCGGGGACAGAGTGGGCTCGCTTCAGGGATTCGGGGATACAATCAGCTTAGACGTTTCCCTCTTAGGCTTGTCTAGGGTCGAAATCGTTACTTGATACGATGGGTTTGGTCTAGAAGGGGATATTTCAAGTTTATGCAATGGTAATTGCTAGGTTAGTCTGGCTGTCCGGGCTGTCTGGGCTGTCTGGGCTGTCTAGGTTAGGGGCCTGTCAGTTTGCCTGTGGATATAACTAAAGAAAACATATGATGGTAGTAAGGAGTGGATAGCCAGGTAGTTGCCGGTAGTTGAACGATTAAACGAGGGCTGGAGAATTATGTTATTATGATTAGTTATTATTAGTTTAGGTAGGGGAATTAGCGAATTAGCTAGTTAGGGATATAACGAGCGAATAAGAAACAATTCAAGACGAAACACGACGATATCAATTAAAAGTCGAACACTAGAAGGAGGGCATTCACAAGCGGCAGGAGGGTAAAGAGGGGGGTGGCCCCCCAGCTAAGGTCTAACTACCAAGGTTAATGTATGTAGAACCAATTCCCCTATCACGTTAGGTTGCATTCATCCCGTATCATCGGTTTAAATGAGTTACACCAAACCTTCGACGCGTTTATCCAATTAGAACCATGAATTGGTTAGTAATATCGCCCCGTCCCTGCATTAGCCGCTGTTTAAACAATCTATTTGACCCTGAATCCCAATGATCCCCCTATGTATGTATAAATAAAATATCCAACTCGCCACTACCTATGAATAAGCCCTAACATATAAATGTGAATCATATGAATTACATTCTTACATACTATATACAATTTAGCTATTTTCATTGCTTACGCGTAGATACCTCAAGTACCTAACTATTCACCTACTCAAGATATCTACATACATGATACATATCGGTGACTGGTTATGGAGATAAAATATGTATGCACGAGCTTGCTTCAACGCGAGAGGCGGTCTAGCATATAATGTACCTTATATACATATGTTAGGTAGTATACATACCTGCATGCATGAACCAACCTAAGTCTGCTCGTCTGCGGTCCTTAACCCCTGTTTTATACATAGAGTTCCAGAAGCGACTTACTCTGCATGATTGGGTTATCTTAAAGCCGCTTTCTCGCATAATCCCGCGACGTTAGCGCATAACCCTTCTCCACTGTTGCAACCTTCGGTCGTCGGTCGTGCAGCTCGACCTTCTATCATGTGCTTACTACCACTGTCCATGGAAGCCTGAGGTCAAAACCTACCTAGGTAGCAACTAATACCTACCTATGTATTTAAACCATTGATACGTAGACAAGACTCCTTCCTGGTGAGCTACAATTGTGAAAATGTAAGGCAGCAGTTGGATGATGGCAAGGAAAAACTGCAGCACCCCCACCGGAGCATATGTCATTCATGTAATACTTCAATATCAAATATAAATATAAATAATAGATGGCATGTATCATAGTTGGCATATCTATACTTACCTAAGATAGGTAGCCATTATATATATCAAGCCTGCTGCCCATTCTCCGTCACTCAATTCAAACCCGTCCCTAAGTCTTGCCGATAACATTTCGTCTTATTCATACATCTAGCTATATGGAGTGGATATGATATACAAATGTAAGACGATAAAACCCGAAAGATAGCTATTCAGTTTGAAGTTTTTAAAAGCCTTTGACCTTATGCGAGCTATACAGTGTTTTTGACTCTGGTATATACCATATCTAACGAAAGTAAAGCAGCATACCATCCTGAAGAGCAACGCCGACGCCCATAAATGTCTCTTCAAGGTCCCAATATCCGCCACGTAGCGTTGATCTTAGCGGGGTATTTTTCTATACAAAGATGCAACGTAACATAAAATGCCTTCGCAAAAAGAAGGCAGTCCATTCAAGTCTCAAACTTTCAAGGTCCGTATACTATATGCCCTCAAAAGTCGACCTATACTCAACTCTTCTTGAAATCAAATGCTTTTAATCAGGTTAAATCATTCTATGGCCCGGCTGCTATATTCATGACAGAAGATAGCGGCGCCGAAGTAGCCATCTTTGGAGTTTGTTGCCCACCTGGGCTAGGTTGACCAGGCGTTCGAGAGCCAGGTTTTATTGCATTCGCTTGTTGAGCGTTCTGTCGTCCGGATGAGGCCGTGATCGTTGGTTCCTTGTTCGGGTCAATGCCTGGGTAAAGAGCCTGAAGCTTTTTATACAATTCTTGAATGTATTTTGCCGTCTCCCTCCGGTCCGGGGCTTCTTGATTTTCTGATCCATCCGGACCCAGCATCATCCTTAACTTGATGCCAGTATTGAGTGGTGGTGGTTTTAGGTAACTGGGACACGGCCCAGCTGTGACATTGCCTTTCTTGTCGGCTAATGCCGCCAAATACGTCAAGTTTGTCTGAAGTCGTCGCATACAACTATAATCATAGGTCAGTTTCCGTATCCTGTCTAATACCGTGATCAAACTTACTGGAGGTAGTCTTGTGCCAGCATATCTTCCTCGGTGGGCTTCTTCTCCGGTTCGCTTGCAGTACCATCAGTACCATTGGCGGACGTCCTCTCCTTTTTCAATATTTGCTGCGTATTTTGTATTTGCATAGCCTCTAACAATAACTCGTTATTAATCTCCAAAATCACACCAACCCGTTCCTTATCTCTAGAATCTGGACCGGGACTTAACGGCGTCGACCCAGATGACGCGTTACTAGGTCCGTTATTTTGAACTGATGTCGGGAACGTTGGGGTTTGCGGTGTTGGGATATTATTAGGTGGTGGTTGCTGTTGCTGTTGTGGTTGCTGCTGCTGCTGCTGATGCTGATGCTGTTGCTGCTGCTGCTGCGCATTGTTCGGCGTCTGGTTTGGAGGCGTGCTATGCGCATTTTGCGGAGTTGACATCGGGTGTTGCTGTGCATTCGGCGCGTTACTCGGAGTCGGAGTATTTTGACGAGGTTGGTTTTGAAAAGATCGTTGGGGTGTAGGAGTTGACATTCCCGGTGTATTTGCTGGAGGCGGGTGCATACGCTGCATCATCTGCTGCTGAGGATTCATCCCAGGATGCATAGGGAAACCAGACATAGGCATACCGCCCCCCATCGCGTAGTTGGGAGGGATGTTCATCTGGGGCGCGACGGAGCTAGGGACACCAGCACCATAAGGCGAGTTCGTGTATGGCGGTTGGTAGCTAGGCACTGTATAAATTAGCGAATCAACTCATCGGTATAATGAACATTATCGAGTAAGGCGAATAAGCAGTAGTAGCTGTCCCCATGTCTGTTGGGCCAGCAAGGGAGCCGCAGAAGCACAGAAAGTACACGACCACCAGTGTCTTCCGCGCTGGGAGATGATGTGTGAATCTGCTATCAGCCGCCCTAGACAGCAGCATGGAGGATTACGGGGAATAGGGTGTAGCTAGGGAGACAAAGAAGCCCGACGGCAAGGAAAGGTGCTTACTCGGACCACTAGCCGCGGCCATGTGCGGCATACCGGTATTTTGCATCATTCCTGCAGGACCAGGACCTGACATCATGTTAGGGGCTCCAGGGAAAGCGATGCCAGCCTGCGTACCCATGGGAAACTGCTGATTGTACATCGAGACCTGGTTGGGAGGACCTTGACCGGGCTGCAAATGATGGTTGTGAGAAGCTGAGTGTGGGGCGCCGCCATTGTATTGTGATCCCGCAGGAGGAATGGCATTGGGAAGACCATAGTTGCTTGCGTACATGGCTCACGATAGGCTAGCACCACGGCTGGCACAGCTGGCAGGGCTGGGCGGCGCGGGCGTGACGTGGGCGAGGGCAGATCTGGGACGGGACTCGTTGGGGCTCAGATTTGTTCACCACAACAAGCGAATATGGTGTGTCGCGCGTTTGTGTGGGGTGCGTCCGAAAATAGCAAGGGTGTATGACGATGAAGTGCCAGCTATGCACCCCGAAACCCTCACCCGAGCCAAACAACGAGACCTTGGTGTCACTTTACTAAACGTTAAACCTTGAGCCAAACTGCTTCAGGCCTATAGCGGTAATCCTTTCTTTTCTAATCGATTGGTTTGGGATGAACGGCGTCGACTTGGGACCGAATTGATTACCCAATTCGAAAACCGCAAAGGGGGTTGTACAGCGCGATTCCAACGTATGTATCAACGTACGTATTGTACCTTAATCGGCGAGAGACAGGCACAACGCATCAGTACCATGAAAGATACTTAGAGATATTGTATAGATGTAGTAGATGAAGTAGATGTAGGCCCGATTAGTTCCGATGTACCTATATTGTACCAAAGCAACCGTACCGTGCGTATAGGGCAGGAAAAGGCTAACGCCAACTAAGTTCAGGTTTCTCCTTTCCAGAACAGACCTTCTCCGACGTTCGTTTCTCTCGTGTGTAGTATTGTCTAAGACGAGAGCCAAGGATTCGGTATGAGGATGAGCCAAAAAGCTAAGACAGGTAATAAGAGCGGGACCACAGTTCTGCGTAATAGGCGTAGGATAGTGCCAATTCGCCAATCTGCGAATATCAACAGTTCCCGCGTGGGCCAGCTAGGCTGCCAGGACCAGTAGCCAGGACCCTAGGTTGTGAAAAGACCGTATCGTGTGTAGGTACCTCTTTAGGTCGGTTAGGTATGTTAGGTTAGGTACGTACTGCGTACACCAGATACCAAACACCAGATGTATCGAGGGCCCTAACGCCTGATCTTGGAGGAGCCAAGAGGGCGCGACTAGAGAAACTACTAATAAAGGTTTGGTAGGGGGGAAAAGGCTGTGACAGGACGGCCCTATGCAGTTGTAACAAGGATTTGGCTGTGGGACGTATGTATGGCACTGCGGGATGGAAGATGCGTCAGAGTGATGGATGCTTGTGTTCCCATCAGGCTATCAGAAAAATAAAGCGAGGGTTCGTTCGGGGGTATTGTGATCTGTACCTCTTCGTAGGTAGCAATCAATAAATTTGGGCAGATTTGGGGCACACAGGGCCGGTGGGTGCGTCCGAAAGATTTGTGACTGGAAGATATGCGAAAAATAAGCGGGAAATCAGGGAAGATAGAAAGCAAAATGGAAAACGCCTTCTAGAAAGGTGCAGGTGCTATGGTGCTAGGTATGGTGCTGCTCCCTGCGGCAATTACCTCTGTGCAATTAACTTTGTGCAATTAACTTTGTGCAATTACCTGTTACAGGCCAGCTAGGCATATGGAAGTGGGGGCCACTAGTTGTGCTTATCTGTGCATACCCCGGTATAGTCCACTTTTATATATGCATCTTATCCTAATTCAACCATCAACTTGCTCGCATACTCCTACCTAACTAGATGTTAACTTCGTCTTTTACGACGGCCACTATCCGATATAAATTATTGGCACCGGTTTTCGTTCTAGCAGACCTTATGCTAGAGTCTAATTCGATATCCTAAGTTATCTCAAGCTGGTTCAGCAAGCAATGTTCCAGAGACCGAGGACACAAGAAGTTATATCAAATTGTGACGAGTCATGATCATCTCTCTATACAGTGGATTATTTCTCTAGGATGGACCACAAGAAACATTTCTGGACAGATACTACCCAAAGATGAACTCCTTCCAGTTCCTACCCAGTTTTTCAAGCCCCTCACGCAGTTCCCATCCCTTGACCTTACATATCTTCCTGCATACTTGTTCTAGATACTGGTCCATCTGTTCGCCTGCCGTGTGTAAATCACTCTCAACCAATATACGATCATCAGGGACGGCGCGGATTGCCTCCTCGGCTTTGTCTCCACCTCCCGTGCTCCAATTTATCACGATTGAGAACGAGAAGAAAACCTTTGCTGGTACCGAGGGATGAAGGTATTGCCTAACAACATCAACAGGACCACTGAAAGAATGCATACAAATCCGCGGGGGGTAAGGCTTCGGTCCCTGCTTGATACGATTCTGCTTCGCTGCTCTTTCTTTTCTTCTGTTGATAAACGTGGCATAGCCTTCATCTTCATCTGAAGATGAACTAGAGAAATCTTCCGCCCCTTCAGCAATCTGTTTCCTCTCTCTTCTCGATGTTACTGGTCTTTCGTGTCCTTTCCAGAGTTTGGATATGGTGTCGTAAACCACACCATGTGCCTGAACTCCGTGGACACTTACCGCACGGCCCATCTCACCTGCGAGCCGCAGCTGGGCTTCGAGAATTATAACCTGGTGGGTTATTTGCACTCGATAAGGGCTAAGTTTTCTGCCTTCGCGGCCGCCGGGCGTAAGGCCCGTATCGCGTTGAACTTCGTGGGTCGATGTCCAGCTTTGGGGAAGCCGAAATGCTTTATCTAAGCCGATTTCACCAACGAGGGCAATAGGATATTGTTCCAGGCGGGACTTGGCTTCCCGCAGAAATTCAGAAAGGGGCCGTGGCTCTGGAAGACCCTCGCTAAAGGATACATCTTTTGATGAAGGCAACGGCGTTAACACTTTGTCGTAGTGTGAGATTTTACCAGATGGTGTTCCATCATAGGTTGGGTCCGCAGAGAGGTCGTCGTAGAATTGGTAAGAAAACCACGGGTGCCAACCAAAACACGGAACTAAACGGTCTTCTGCGGAAGACGACGAGACAAGCGAGTCCGAGTCTTTAACGCCAAGCTTAGAGGTCACATTGGCCACAAGCTCTTGGTCTTGGGATCGTGTAGACATAACAGTTAGAGCACGTGCTTTCATGTCCGGTATACTTGATATCGACGTCATCGTGTCGGTTGGATGACAGTGGGCGTCGAAGACTCCAACGTCCCAGGGGAAAGTTTCGGAGACATCCGATCCATCGTGCACTGGTGGTTCCGAAGCAGCGGACGGTCCTTCCTCGCCTAACTGTTGACACATCGCTTGGGTAGCCAACCTTGAGAAGCTGTTCAACGTCTTTTTTTTTTTTAGCTTAGTAAAGCAGACCTCCAACATGCCATCAGGTTTGAGGGATCCTTTGCGGCGAAGGAGCTAAAGTACCTAGACAAATGGGCCAAGATAACGAGGGAACCCCCGATGTCGTAATCTGAGCCAGAGTAGTGTCCGGATTTTGCCGTCAGCAATATTTGTATCCTTGGATGGCTAGATTTGGGATTTGACGTTCGCGTATCGAAAAACCCACAGGTTTAAGCTTCAAACCAGTCGTTAGTAATCTCGCTATTGTTTGTAGGCCTGGATTTAGAGCCTCAGGGGCATCATTTTCCTGATAAGAAGTAATAGAGCAGTAATCAGCATAGTTTATAGCTGTGACTCACATGCAAAGGATCCAGACGGTAAGCAGGGTACTATCTAGAAACGTAGCACAATAATTAAAGGGCTGATTCGAGGTATGGTTTTTGTACCTGACCTGATCTGGTACGATTGCTCTAATAACTTCTGATAGCTGGTTGTGCTGTGCTTTGGTCCCGAAAACATTGACATTCGCCAATGACTGCGCATCTACACTCAATTGATGAATTATCTGAGGGGTTCTATTTTAGATCTCGTGACGTAAGGTAAGATCGCCGCCTTATCCCGTCTACATATGATAGGGCAGGTAGGTATCGTATGCATATGTTATGCATATACTAGTCCTATCCACAGCTCCGTAAAGCCGGGGAGGAATGGGGTTCTAGCGGAAAGGCATCGCGGATTAGTGCCGATCGATTGCCCAGACAATGTAAGTTATTTATTGGAGGAATTATATCCTTTTACCTTATCAAATAGACGGGTATGCGCCGTAGACGTATTTATAGAGTCATGGACATATACTTGTTTCGTTGATAGTATTCGGTATTATACTTGGCACCTTAGTGTTAGGTAGTTATCAGCTATTAGATGTTTGTATCGCCCCCCGGAGCAATTGGAAAGTTTTACATTATGTAGGTAGGTATGTACATAATGGAGATTGAAGTATTCAAGTACCTTACTAAAACACACCTTAATTCCATGGACACTTGGCATGTGAAAGTTGCTTGCCGTTATACTATGTACCTAACTACCTACATGCAACTTACAGCAAGCAGTTTATAATCGAAAGTTTTCATGCAGCCATGCAACCATGCAGCCATGCTACACCACACCCTCTCATGATCGAGACTATATCGAATAGAGTGTCTTAGTCTCGAGTTTCTTCATGTCTTATTACATATTCTCCATCGCTCCCCCCATTCTCTTCATCTGTGTTACCCTCCGCCGACACTCATCCTGATCCTTTTCTTTTCTTTTTTTCCCCTATCAAGTTTTCTAGCTCATCCTCAACGCTGACATATGCGCCAACACAAACATCTGAGATATTTGGATTGCCCTAAATCGCAATAACAATGTGATCCCGACAACTTTTTCAGCTTGTTAATCGTCGCTTAAGTGAAGCGAACAATTCCGCCAGACACAGTTTGCAGGACGTTTTCAATGGCGGTCTTCAGTCCACTACAGTTCTTCATCTTCCCATTCCTCTTCTTCGTCGCCCTTCCGCTTGCCCTCTGCGCCGGCTTCACGACTATCTTAGCATTCATGGTCTTATTCTTACGCTTATTCCTCGTATATTTCGACGTCGGTCTTGAGACCTTGCGCTATGTGTTGGTAGGCCATGCCGCACATCCTCGATCTATGGCACACCGACGGACTCCTTCTGGTACCCAGCCACACTTGCTAGAATCCTCCCCACCATCTTCGCCCGAAGCGCGGCATAGGCGCCGACGCAGCAAGAAACAAGGCAGCTTTAGTAGTGGCTCTGCCACGCCTAGTGGTGGCTTTGATAGTCTTACCTTGACACCCACCGCCGGGCTCGAAAGGGACTTCGAGGGTGTGGGAGGATGGAGATTGGATAGCGTGGATGTCGATGCAGATGCCACGGACCAACAGTGGTACAGTCTTAACTCGCGGCTCGAACTCCCAGACCGCCGCCATCATACCAGATCACACAGTGGAGGTGTTGTGTTGCCAGGAAATAGCGGATTAAACCTTTATATGAAGGGGGCGAATACATCGACGGCCTATGGTTCAGAAGGACTAAGAATATATACATCGCCCAACAGCTCAAGATCAAGAACACCAACAAGTAGCAGGCCACGTAGCTTTACCAAGGTCGACGATAACGAATATTTCCCCATAGTAGAAAAGAAGCATGCTAAAAATGGTCGGTGTTAAGAACAACGAGAAGGATACAACACGTTTGGGAGTTGTTAACAAAAGGGGTTATCTGAGATAATCGGTTTATGTAAAGATTGTCTTGCTGGACAAAAAGGGTTGGCGTTCTGTAAAAACTTTTACGTATGGGTTCGTGGGGGGGGGGGGAAGATTAGGAGTGCGGTCTCAAAATCAGAAGTTATGAACAACAGGGTTGATCTGGATTATCTGGCAAAAATGGGATCTGGCGCTGGTTTGTATCACAACTCAAATATGTTTTATATGTGAATTAGTATGTGTATAAGACTCGAGATAACCTGTGGTATTCCAACAACCAAAGACGCCGAACACCGTGCAGTAACTTTCATAATGTTCATCCCACATAAATCCCCAGAGTTGGAGACTCGGCTAAAGCTCTAACTCTAGAGCGTTTGCCAAAAATAATTAGCGTAGAAGAAGCGCGAGAACTTCTTGTCTATATTTATAACATGAACATCGCCTTTGCGATCGTTATGCACAATGGCTCTGGAGAACTCGCCGTCCTTTTCATCTCGCTCTAGATCGATTCCCAGGCTCCGATATACCTTTAAGCGCAGTAGTACCTCGTCATCGACGGGGTCCCTTCTCTTTGCTGCATCTTCAGGTGATCCTTCTAGTCCCTGCAATTCGAGCTCCTGCAAACGCGCTGCTAGATCGGCCTGTTGGGAAGATAGACGCTCTGCTTCCATCTCTAAATCGGAAACTGCTTTCGCGATGCGGAATTTCTGGGTATCGAGGCGCGAGATCTCGGACGCGTGTACGGATGACGAGTGTGCTGATGTGAGCTCTTCATGTTGTGCCTGGAGTGTGTTGAGGGAACGGCTAAGTTCTAATTTGTTTATGTCAATATGAATTCAACTGGTTAATCAGATGATAGAAGTATCATACTCTTCAGCGAGGTTTCGGCTTCTTTGATTCGAAGCTCTCGCGCTTGATTTAATGTGGATAGAGAATCACTGATGCGCGAAACAGCGAGCTTATCGGGGCCGATATTAAAATTGTTGATTGTATGGTGGATGAGCTAGATGGTGTCAGTAATTTGAATTTGAGATAGAGAAAGAATGGAGTTTCATTACAGTAGCTGGGTCCTCGTCTAGAAGCATCGTGACTGTGTATAACGAATTTGTTCCTTTTGTTGTAATCGTCAATAAGTCCTAAGTCTAGGTATTCGATGTGGTTTTCTCTATGAAGCTAAAAAGTTGGAATGTCGAGAAGTTGAACAAAACAAACCGCGGTATCACCAGGACGACCTAGCGTACATAAAATACCTAGGTACAAGTACATATGTACAATACATACCATGTCCCCCACCTATCGTTTTGCGTCATTAACGCCACAAACATAGCCCACCTTCTGACATGGAGGTGATGACTTGAGAGCTCCCGCCACATTTGGAGGCAGCCGTACTTAATAACTTTGCCGTCGCTAGGACATATTTTCAACAATACTCTCGTATGTTACCTACGAATACATATCCACCGTACGACAAGATATACAACTCGAGCGCGAGTCACATACCCTATAGTGTGTACCATTACTACGACTCTTCCTACTTGAGAAAAACCGCACAATCCGAGCTATACGCTAAAACTCTACCAATACCAATAAGATGACGGCTCTACCTTGTGAGTATGCCTGTCTGTTGCGCTCGGTTTAAGTCGCTCAGGGACTACAAAATTGCTAAATCATACTGTTTTTCTTAATTATAGATGCCGTAGACGCGGAAAGGTACAATCCTCTATAGTTATTCCCCCGCTTTGACTTGTCAGCTAAATTTTATTCCGATAGCCCGCTGAAAGATGCGGAACTCCAAACGTTGCGCGCACAATATGAGAAAGAGGGCGATATGGCCGGTATCCAAACAAAATTCAACTATGCATGGGTACGTCCATATACGCCTTCTCGCAAGAGATACCTCGCAGTATACTCATCATCTCCTGTAGGGCCTAATCAAGTCGAATACTCGAAGCGATCAACAACTAGGTGTACGTCTCCTCTCGGACATATTTCGAGTGTCGCCCGACCGCCGACGTGAATGTCTCTACTACTTAGCACTAGCCAACTTCAAGCTTGGAAACTATGGGGAGGCAAGACGCTATAATGATTTGTTGCTGGATAAGGAACCTGCCAACCATCAGGCGGCAGACTTGCGCAGATTGATCGACGACAAGGTAACAAAAGAGGGCCTTATGGGTGTTGCGATCATAAGCGGTGTCGCTATTGCGGTCGGAGTGGTTGGTGGAATCTTGTTCCGCGGCAAGAGGCGGTAGAAGCTTGGCGGAAGCCTTCGTAGGGAAAGCTCGGTAACATGATAGATCACCGTAAGAGGTTTACGGTTGTGTTGAACTGATGGCGTTGTAACGGCTGGTGTCGGGGAGCCGTATCCCTATCAATACATGTTATAGTAGTTCTGCCTAAGACGTAGGTGTAATCCTAGACCGTCGAGGCAAGGGAACGGTTTTACCGGAGCACTGGTGTTTGGGATCTAGCATCGTGGCATTATGCTACAGTACAAGTATGTCGATTTATATATAAATCACTCAGATCTAGTTCTGATTGGTGTCAAATTCATCGCCCTTACCAAGAGAAATTGGTGGTTTGCGTAATGTTGTTGATGATATCCAGATGACCTCGCGTGACCTTTTCTTCAACGGAATATAAACAACTTCAAGGGGTTAGAATTAGAAATTATCTACATTTGTACTTGATTCATTGGCAACCAAGTATTACAAGTAAGAGGTCTAAAAAAAATCAGTACGATAGGTATTTCAAGCAAACAACCTTGAATTCTGAAGATGTTGGAACCTGAGTCTACATGTAGGTATGTACTTAGGTACCTGCGGACTAATAAGGGCAGAGTATTCCGTACCTAGGTCCATGCACGTTTCTAAGGTTATGTGGCTGTTTAGTACCTAGGTACCCCGTGTGAGGACCTCATTAGGTTAGGTACACCTCATGTAAGGTTGCCCCGCGGTACGTGTATAGGTAGTACTTAGGTACATGTATGTGTAGGTGAACGGGCATTAAACTTTAGGCCAAATATCCACCTGTAAATGACGAAAGGAACCGGGCAACTGACCGTTGCTAACCAGTCACTTCAAAAACCTTAGTCTTAAGCTCCTTGAGGGCGCATTATTTAACACCAAGCGCCATTAAAGCACAAAGACCCTTTCGACTAGTAATATAAATAAGAATCCCCCCCGGCCATTGGATGATTACCACAGAAGCTAGAGCAAGGAGACGCTTGGAGATTCTGGCAGGATAACCCTTGGTACACATGGACTTCAGATCTCTGGCCTTCTAAACTTCCCCGTGGCAAGACGAATATCCTAGCTTCCTTTTCTTCTTCTTCAATATCTCTTGGAAGTTCTCTTTGCCGTCAAACTGCCAACTACCAACATACACAGGTTCGACACTACTCGTGTGATCTTCCGTGACATCCGCTGACGTATTCGTAGCTGGTGCTTGACTCCGAGGTGCGCCACATTTGATACCTTACGATACCACTCATCCAAATTGTTCAGCTGCTAACTGGTGTATAACAGCTGTCGCGAGCCTACCTTTGATATATTTACTACTGTTGCATTTCGTACACAAACTCTGGGTCTAAAATCTGCCTTGCCAGGTATATGATCAACCTAACGTTGCGGCTTGCATATGTATAATCCATACAATCCATACAATCCATACAATCCACCATATCGGACTTCAAACACCCCACGTCAGCCTCATCCAACCTCACCAATTCAACCGACTTCACTACTTCAGTCGCCACTTGCCTAACCAACCTAAGCCCTTTTTGTCTGGACGCGATAGCTTCAAAGAGTTCAGAATCGTCAAGCGATCAATACGTCCACCGTACACTTTGATTTGTCATTCTGGCGTTCCGAGCCCTTCGAGCAGCCGGCCTAGCTATTGGCCTCGGAGTCACTGCCCTCGTCGCCTATCAACAGTCTAGACAGGGTCAGATGGCGTCTAGAACCCACCATTTAGACGCGACGGGCGATCGCGAAGTAGTCTTCTGCCACGGCTGCGATAATGAGTGGTACCGAGATCAACGCCCCAATACTTTAGAATGCCCCCGATGCCACGGCGATATCACGGAGATAGTATGTTGGTTTGAAACATTATGTCGGAGTATCTTACTGATTAACGAGTAGGTTTCACCTGAAAGCGATCCTCGTAACCTAGACGATAACGATTCGCTACCTGGTTTCGGCCAGCACCGCCGCTTCCATCACCCTCATTTCGATTCTGATGAAGACCCCGACGAGGATGACATCGAGGAACACCTACTTCATGGTCCTGGGGGCTTTTATGGCCATCGATCTATATTGCGGTCCCCCGATAGCCAAGGCCTTAGAACCGCCCCCCGAACGGCTCCCGAGAATACCGACCAGATCATGCGCAGATTCACGGAGCTAATATCAGATATAGGAGGAAGCCCCTCCATTGGCCGGTCCGGGCCAGACACACTATTCGGAGGTAGTCAAGCCCCGCGAGTTACGCTTCAAAGGTTTTCCGGTCCCGGTTTCACTGGCGGTGTTAGTAGTGTTACCTTTACGTCCAGTTCCTCACGGGCTCGCCCCGAGCCCGGCCATGGACTTGGATTAGGCCCTGAAGATCCGTTTCAAAGGTAAGGTTTCCTTTCCTGATGCTCAACCTGGAGTATAGCCTGGAGTGTTCCAGGGTTTATATTACATTTGTATAACACATTTATTTTGTGACTTGCTAATATATATGACAGAGTCTTTGGGAATATAATGGGAGACCTAGGTCCTCCTCCCATGGGTCGCGACTCTCCAAATGGTTCAAATCAAACCGGCAGAGAGGGCAATCCCCGCCAGCCAGCAGATTTTTCGTTAGCTCTAAGTCAGCTAATAGCGAGCCTCATAAATCCTCACACAGTTCATGGCGATGCGGTTTATTCTCAGGAGGCACTAGACCGCATCATCACGAGTCTCATGGAGGCAAACCCGCAGTCAAATGCGCCAGCACCTGCTTCGGAGGAGGCTATTGCAAATCTACCAAAGAAGAAGTTAAATGAGGAGATGCTAGGGCCTGAATTGAAAGGCGAATGCACTATATGTATCGATGAGGTGAAAGCAGGGGATGAAGCCGTTGTGCTACCGTGTAAACACTGGTTTCACGAACAGTGCGTCGTCTTGTGGTTGAAACAACACAACACATGTCCTATCTGCCGCGCATCCATCGATGGTGAGGCTGCTGGCCGTCCCGTTAATGCGGCCTCGGATGCACAGCCTGGACCGTCTGGTACTTCGTCTCAGCACCGAAGACGAGATGGTGCTCCGTCGATAAGCCGCATGAGATCTGATCAGACTAATTCTCCAAGCCGAGCGTCAACGTTGAGACGAGACTCGAACTCGCCCCCGACGCACTCTGGAACGGGCTCGGCCAGGGTTAGAAGCCCTTCTCCTTCCAGCCGTCGTTCGGCGCAAAGCGATAGGACACGTGATGGAAGAGGTTCTATCGGCGGCCCATTTCATTGGATTAGAGACCAGTTCAGAGGAGACAGACGCTAGTAAATATATACTTGCTCGGTCGTTTCAGCCTTTCGGAGTCTTCTACTACATTTGGAATGAAGCATTTTGGCATTGTTTGGTGATAATCCAAAACACAACAGCGCGGGTTTAGCGAGGATCATAGGTATCCTAGATTTGATGAAGTTCCACGAAAAAGCCGCGACCTTATGAATCATGTGGCTAGAGTCTTTTACCATAGGAATGGCGTGTCCAATGGGTTGGATCTGGGTTTAGGGGTCGCCTAGATCACATCCCAGTATCTTTGCGAGGACCCCCTTCGACGGATCATTTCTTTTAGGGGCTTTCCAATTGCCCAGGCCGATGGATAATGAAGATTACTTGAGAACTGTGAAGTATACAGGCCTGGTAAGGAGGTTTAGGACGAGACTATTGTCCACGCGGCTTTCGGGGTAGCAAAAGTGGATTAGGGGTCTTCGCTGAGTTAATAGATCTCCACGCGTTCATGAGTACCTAATTAATTCTGCGGTGAATTAACGCAACACAAGTCTGCATTATGAGTCTTTGTCTACCTTGGTAATTAATATGACATGGTCGTTTCCGTAACCTCGTATTCTATATTATCTATAGACTATATCATCTACAGAGTTAGTTCGCCTACATTTTCCCTTAACAAATTATTAATTAATCAGGCGGTTACTTCACAATACTTCTGAGACCTTTCAGGAGCTATAATGTGAAGTATTTGAAACGCCGAAGGGCCGAGTCGTCTAAGAAAGTGTTCAACGTACATAATGGGATTGATTCTTTACACAATAGAGTTGTCGAGTCTCTAAGTCTTGCGTATAATGAATAAGTTCTTTATTCTATCATGTCGGGAATTAATCAAGGCTTGGCGCGTTTCAGCACGAGAAGCATCTTTCATCCATTGTTTTCGATATCTCTATATCTAGGCATTCTGCCCTTCGCTCCGGGGTTGCCGGATGTTTTCCCGGTCCAGGCAGACGATGAGTAGTGAGCGGCCATCGTGCTGCGAGCTACGAAGAGTCTGCCTTCTTTATATATACTATCAACTACCTCGTATATATGGGACGGGTTTCGTTGGTTTTTATTCTTATACTATACGATGGATATACTAGGTATGGCGCAAGCGGAGTTCTAATATCTACATCGAACGTATAAGGTGTTTAAGTGTATAGATATCTCGGAGAGCATGCACGCGCTCACTGGACGTTACGAATTCGTCATCACGGTCAACTAAGAACGAGGAAACCCCTACAACGATCTAAATAACAAAATGACTGGGGAAGTACCCCTAATTTTTTTTATTGATTTTCTATGGAATTTTCTAAACTTGGCTTGGTAAGTTGATACAGCACCAGCTGATTATACTCACCAGAAAGCCAGAACAATAACAAAGGAACAAGATAAAGAACAAGGAACAATGCCTTGAAGATCCATGGGAATAGGTTTGCATAAGAGTCCAGCTCCCGAACCCTAACTTATCTCTCGGTACTCACCCAATGACTTCTAATAGCAACGTATCAAGGTATGTCGGTGGCTGACATCACAGAATCGCACGTCGTGTCTTCGAGTATCTTACCAACGGGCCTAGAGATACAATAACGTGCTAGGCAAAGATTACAGGTCGATTTACTAAGTTCTGAGACGAATTCCTAACCGTTTCCAAGGATGTCGAAACAAGTTTTGCAAAGTTAGGAAATCGCCTCTCAGGACCGCCCTGACACGACGGCGTACGATATTACCCTTACCATAGTCGAGCATGAGTAGAGAGTAGTTCCAGGTACGTGCTCACCTTTCCACCGAGACAAAGTCGTCTCGAACTTAGCGCCGGCGGCACAGCTGCCGGTACGGATACGCAAGCTGCCGAACGAGGATCGGCGTGTAGGTATCGAGGGAGATATCAAAGTCAGAACCGTTGCCGGTCGGATTGACGCTGTAGTAGAAGCGCCCGTCGTGTCCCAGGAAGTAGTACCGATCGCGTAGGTAAACGATGCGAGCCAGCAGCTCCGGACGGAGATCCCAGCTCCCGCGGGTTATATGCACGCCGTCGCGCTCGGCGAGCTCGTGCAGGATCCGGGAGGAAACCCGCTCGCCGTTCTGCACCGCCAGCGTCACCCGCGCGCGGACCTCGTCGACGGGGAGTCGCCGGCCTTGGCTGTGCGTGTAGCACTCTCGCTGTCGCCGCAGCTCCTGTCGTCGGCGATCGCGCGCGGCTTCCCGGCGCTCCCACTCGCGCCGGGTCATGCCTGTGCGCAGGCCCATCATTCTAGCGATGAACGCAAAGGTTGCGTGGGTGATGCCGTTTTCGAAGGGGCGTCGGGATCGGGTCGAGGTAGATCGAGATGGAGGCATGGTTGTGAATAAGAAGCAAGGAGTCTCCGTAAGTTTTTTTTTTTTTTACTTTTCGTACAAGTGTACTTTATGGTGTGGTGTTGGGGTGTTGTTGATAGGAGTATGCTATCTTGGTATGATGCCGAAAAGAAAACTCCATGGAAGGGAATTTGCCTACGTATATGTAGGCGAGGGAAACGTAGCAGATACATTATCGTTATTCCGGAAACTGGAGATTGTTTTTGGAGGAGAGGCTTTTTTGCTAACATGGTGGGTGTTCTTCGACTTCGGCTCTGATAGTGGATAATGGTATTTGGAGGAGGTTGATATACGATGAAAGGGGACAGACTGGTTGTTTGGGAACAGCCTTCTGTACGCTGGGTATATATCGCTGGAATTTCCTCTGTTTTTCGAACCGTACATTTCTCGGGCAAGTATGGACTGGTATCTGGTTCTTTACGACGGAGTTACGATTTCATTCATAAGGTATACCTATATATTAGGTACCTAGGTAACGCCAAGGGTATCTTATAGACTAGGCGACTATCAAGCGATAGGGGAAGGGTTTGGAATACGGAGGGTCGGTTGGTTTGAGTTGGCTTTTGGAGAATTTCCTACTTTTTGGAAGGTATATACTCTCATATAGGGTGGTAATAGAAAAATATAACCATAAAGGGGGCATTGCGTCTCATTACATTGACGAGAGAGTTGGCTTCAAGCTACAATATAATACAACCACGATTGACACAGCAAGGCTGTGGTATTGATTTACTTTCTTGTATTACGAGGTTAAGAAGATAGAGTTGATATTATGCAACCTTAATAAGAGCCTATCTAACAGATATTCAGAGCCTTAAATACCTAGGTAGATTAGGTACTTACCTGTCAACAATTATTGAGCACCTCGGCCTTTACTACCCTCCCTCTGAAAAGAAATATATAAAGGACCTTACCTCGAGGCCTTACTTAGTTTCGAATCTGGACCTGGTTTCGAATCTAAGGCTTAGCGGTATAGGTTAGGACTCTTTCCGGTGAGAAGAGGGATGACGAAGAAAAAACTTGCTCTCGAGCACTCCTTTACTTCGCATGGTAACATATGATCTTTAATACTATTGTGGAATATTACGGCAAGTACACTATTCACTCATGAAGGGGTCTTCCATCTTTAGCAAAAAGAATCATAAAAAAAGTCAACTCATATCAAAAGGAAAATAGTTAGGCATGTTTCCCTCCAAGAATTACGACATGGGGTATTGCTCCAAACTAGTTCAACTAGTTCATCCTGAGTGACGTTTTCCGTCCTTGGCAAGCAAGTAACCAGTACCGTGGGATTATTGACTTCCTCGCTTCTTAGATGCCTTAGTAGTTGTACTCTGTGCGGGACTGGTTGAGGCACTGGTGCTTTCACTTTTCTTCCGCAGTATCTTTGGCCCATTGGAACTGGCTGTAGTGGCAAAGGCTGTGCCGGGCACTGGATTCCATCCGTCTTTTTCTAACTTCCATCCCTTAGACGAATCGTCACCTGCCATTGTGTTGGTAGAGGGGTTATGCTGAAGGGGAAGATGGTTCGATATGGTAGGTGATGTCCGTTGGGGGGGGGGGGTGGTTTGTGAAGTTGTTGCGGTGGTGTTATCCCAGAGGCTAGAGGTCAGGTTAGACGCCTACCTAAGAATTTATATAGAACTCCATGTGAAGCAATACTCATGATTCATCTATCTGGAAAAGTTTTAGTGAGATAACTTATATTACAAAAAACGTTGTTTCTAATTGAATTGAGCGGAGTAGCTACTCTCTAGTTACGAAGTCACAGATATATCCATAGACTACATCGTGACTTTTCACGAGACGAACCTAAAGAGTACGAAAACAACTTAGTTATTTTCCAGGTAACTCTTTACTATGGTGGCTAGTGAATATACATACCGGGAACATTCTTTGTTATAGATGCTTCATTAAGAGTGCTGATAAGACCCGGAAGAGTGCAAGTTCAAGTTCAAATTCAAATATTGAGTATACGTCCACAATCAAGAAAAGGGGCATGTACAAGCCGCAACGTGGCTGTGCCAGTATGTGATGACTACCTACCTAATTAAAGAACTGCCCCTATTCTTGGAACCCAACCTTTGGGGTCTTCCATATTGGGTCATGCTTCCAGCTTGCAGGGACTGCATAGGTATACTACATACAATCAATATGGTAGTATTGCATATTACCCTGGACGGTCCGTGTCCCCTATTTCTTGATTATCGACTGTACGATCCTAACGATAAATTAATTAGGCAATATATCGTCGTATGATTAAGAATAATTATTCATCGTCTATAAATACGCATATCGTACTATCCTACACGTGTAGTCGAAAAAAAGGCCACTCGGAAGACCGGCAGAGATGAAGACAATGACAATAAACTGATATATGTAGAAGTACCTAGGTTAGGCTAGCTGGTCAAGATTGATTGTGTAAGCTGGTGCTAGTGACGATGTGTCTATGTAACAACAGCCCACTCGCTGCCTCCAATCGGTCTCGGCATTTCTGTCAGATATCATGAATAAGTGCGTCGCCTCGACCTTCTTTTCGAACTCACCAGGCCGCCATTCTGTACTCCAGCTTTATATTACTGCTCGATGATACCCCCGTAAGCAGCCGCGCCTTGGGATCAGCCAATGGGCGCGTTTTTTTTCGGTCGAATTCGAGCGTCTAGAAAGATGCAGGAAGCACCACACTGCAGTATTGTCTTACTTACTTCTGCTTTAGCACGATTTCATATTAAAGTTGGTATTGCTGGCGTAATCTGAGGGCGGAGGTTGAGATAGTCTCTTCAATACCGCCACTCGGAAGCCCAACCAGGATGCACGTATGGTCAGCAGGGAAAGCCGGGATGCATCAGCATTGACGTCTAAGCCTGACCCTTCCCCCCGGAGTCGATCGATCGCAGAAGCCTAGCCTTGTCGGATACCAGCGATAGTAGTGCACACGGTTAATCTGAGCGGACTACCCCGGACTGGGGGGGTGAAACAGTTCGTCGCGGCCCAACGAGGGATTTCACACCCCCCCGCTTGCTACCAGCACCTTGGGCCGGCCTCGGCTGTCAATATGTGACTGGTTCATTCGTAGGTCGTCTTACTTGCATGTTCTTGGGCAGGGGTCGCTGTTAAGCTTCCGATGGATCGCTCTACTATCCGATGTGCTGGGAGTTGATATGATTGGATGTTGTTCTTTAAGAATTATCCTTGAGCTATTCGGAAGTGTTACAAGTCGAGGTCCTGCTTTGTAGTAGAAGATGTTGCTATACCTAACTTCTGAGTCGCGGTCCCGAGATGGCTTTTAGAACCCCCGTTCCAAACTATAAGGTAGATCTTGCATAACGTAGTTGGACTCTTGGACATGGCCCCTATGAAGTTACCCTCCAGTCATAATAATTCAATTGGTTAGGTAGATAGTCTGCTTTTTAGTCAACTTAGATTAAGTCACCTACATAGGACAAGTAAAATACTCCGAGCCTAGGTTAGTCAAGTAGGCAGATTTCGAATACTGATGAGTAACGAGGCACTATCCTCTAGCTCTGACTGTTAGGTTGATATGCTGCCCCTTAATCTCCGGTGATTTGAATACGCGTATACGAATGTATCTTACTGTCTAACAACTTATAGAATTGTCCTAGTTGGCATATTCCAACTAGAGTACTAGTCGTCCTATGCGCCATAGCTGTGCACCAGGTTGTCTTAGGGTAAACATTAGACCTGCTAGTTAGGGTAAATAGTTCTTTCACGTTTTCCGAATGTTAACAATTCCATAATCATGATCATTGTGACCATCTCATTCAAGTGCTAAGGCGCAGAGGACCATAATGAAGCCGCCCAGCAAGAGTTATCTTGCCCCAGAATCTATAGAACCCACAAACTATTCCAGATCTTGCTAACGTCTTACCTTCACATTTTTCATCGGAGCCCGAACGGCCGAGCATACCAGCTAACCCAGACATATTCACCGCCGTCGTGGCAAAAGGGCATATATGGTACCATCGCCGTCTCACACACCCTCTTTATTACCGATTCCTTTTAAACTAGGAAGACGCTCAACAGCTCGAAATATTCGGTATTTATTAGAGGCGTTATCGTATGGTCTTGAACCATGACTGCATCAATACCGGAAGCACAATATGGTTACACATCGATCGAATTTGGTGTTGAAGGTCGTCTATAGGGTGTAGAGATTTCAAGCTGTACATAACAGGGCGCCGTAGCGGTGAAATATCGGAGCCGAGGCTCTATAGAGAAGTCTCAGGGAGGTGGCAATTCCCATTCAATGAATTTAGTTATGGCGACCAGGCAGACGATGCTGATTCTCGCGAGGTTGGGCTTGGCCAGTAATTGTATGGAGCTCATCCACTTCTCCGTGTCGAATATAGAGGCCCCCCAACGCCGCCCTTAACTGAAGGCGACATTGTAACTTGACTGGGGCAACATAATGCGATCGGTCAAAAGCTACGAAGCTGTTTAGAATCGACGAACAAGCTTTGACATGGAAGAAGATATCTTATTCAGCATATAATATCGGTGTTTTGTTTTTAGAACGCTGAGTAATGCCTATGTCTTATATTATTCGTCAATGCACCATGTTTAGTCAACCCGACGAATGCAGAAGAGATGCAGAGCCTGACGCAACTCCAGAATAGGCAGCCCGACTTTACCATGAGGTCGGCTCACTACCAGACCCTCGGGGACGAAGTTATTGGTCCTTAGTGCTTAGTACCTGCGAGGCTAATACGATTCCTATAGCCATATAGCTAGACAGCGTGGCGGGATTTGACCAGGCTGATGAGAGCAAATCCCGTTAACGAGAGTCGAACGACTCGAGAAGAACTCTAGAAACCCGTGCCTGTCAGACTGAGTCCCGTTCCACATAATCGCCTGCATACGATTATACTTCTCTGCCCATGACATGCATGATTAAAGTAGTAACCAAGTCTCTATTTTATGGAATAAGTCGAGTGGAATCGGGATGCAGGCTGGGGGGCATCTTGTAGAAATCTTACTAATTATCTTAATAGAAAAGGTCAGAACTTAAGCCGTGAATCTATGACAAGGCCTGCGCCCTGTCACATTACGACTTGCCCCAATCAATATGCATTGACGTAATCTCGTTCTAGACTGGGTTAGCACGAGGGTAACTGTAACTAGATTCAACCCCTAGGATTGGATGTTGGACTCAGGGGAGGGGGGGCCGCCGCCGCCTAAAGTTACCTAACTGGAATATACTATTGTAAATACTATTGTAAATGAACGACATCGGTGTTTCGTCGTCGTTGAAGATTCTGCCAAGTTCTAATATTAGATTTACTTTAACGACAAGAAGAATATATCGAGTAACAATACCCGAGTAACGATAACTTGGCCGGCGATAACCAAACGGGTAACAGGTAATAACTATGCTAGGTTAACTAGTTCTTATCTTCCGGCTTAGCCGGGGGATACCATAAATCATCACGTATTGCTAAAGGCCATGATGTTTAGTTCTTGCTCACGATACTAACAAATCGGCGAAGATTTAGAAAGGCGACCGATAAATTAGCCCATGCTGTCATCCAGTTAGTAGTTGGTCAGTGTATCAGTCAGTTAGTCAGACAGCGCAATTTTTCGGCATTTCTAATCGAAGTTGCAGATTCATATCGCCCTCCGACTCTACGACTTGTCATCCATGACCCATTAAAGATCCCTACCCATTTCCATCCGCGGGCTGAATCCCTGTCTGACGCGGCACCCCTTCGGCACCTAAAGAGCTTAGCTAGACCGCTTGCGGGGGGGGATCCGTTAGGTATCCAATTAATGGGCTGTATTAAGTACAGTGTCTTAAAGTTATATTTATTAGTGCAATACACCGACATGCATGAGCTCAACTTACCTACTGCACTATCACGGTCAGAAGTATCTCACTACTCGATAAAGACGCTTTTATACGTACAAGTACAAACAGGCCAAGGCTTATATTTCATGTAGGTGTAGACCGGGCATGACGTGACGTCCCAAGGACTGCAGCAAGTGAGCCAAGGAGCTGGGCCAAGCAATCTATGCGTTAGCTTTCTATGTATGAGTTTGTATCGGGTCAAGGTTGTATTATAACAGGTACGGTATAGTATAATGATACAAAGCCTGTAATTATTGTAGGTAATAAGATGCATTTAGGTATGTAGCTCACCACAAATACATAAACCTCCATCCATGTTAAGGAGGCGAGGTAGAATACACAATGTACTTTGAAAAGTATATGTGTATGTATGTTGTATGTATGTTGTATGTATGTTGTATGTATGTTGTATGTGTGTGTCAACTGACATATCTAATATGATACATTAAATATGATACTCTTTTAACCTACCTATTATCTATTATCTATTATTTATCTATTATCTATTCCTATTCCTATTACTTATTCCTATTCCTATTCCTTATTCCTATAATAGCTTTAAACTATTTAACCTTAAGTAAGTTAAACCTTACCGTTAAATCGTGCCGAAACTCTTCCTGGTCTTTTCCCAAATCGAATCCCCCCAGCCGATCTTCTTCGATCCCCAATTAAATTTGCTAAATTCCTCGAAAAACGGGAACAAAAACAAAAACAAAGAGTCTTGGCTTCTTCCCTCAATTGTCACTTTGTGTTTCTTTATATCCATCCATTCCCAATTTCCGCCAACACCCCAACCTTGTCTAATCGATCAAGCCTCATTAGACGATTAGACGATCAGACGATCAGACGATCAGCTCTTATTCCCGGATGCGCCACCTGCAGTTCTGTGTTCAGCCTCAATTGAATCCTTCCGGGCAGATTGCAGCCATTGCAGCCATTGCAGCCATTGCAGCATACCAGAAACAGAACCAGAGACACCAGAGCAACGCGCATGTCGTCATCTCAGGTTCCGACGGATTTGTTGTACGGCAGCGGAGGATACTCTGCAAACTCTAGAAACTCTAGAAACTCTGGAAACTCTGCCAATTCCGCTGCCTCCGCAACCTCTGCTTTGTCGCCAATTACAATACTTACACCGACCTCGGCCAGCACAGTCTACACCTCGCCCGATTCGGCAATTCAGCCTTTTTTCGGCCCCAAGTCTGAACCTGAAGATGGCGACGGCACGAGCAGCGGAGGTAGCGTCACCGCCGTACCTCCGTTCTCCGAACCCCTAAAGAAGAAACAGAAGCGCAACAAACCGACACTATCGTGTTATGAATGTGTTGAACGGAAGACGAAGGCAAGTAAATGCTGCATGCAATTCTAACCATTAAACATTAAATTAAAAAAATATTTTCCGATGCCACGTTTCTGCGTCTAGCCAGTGTTAGACCACATTGATTTCCTTTTCCCCATGGTTGCGTCAGTATCACGTAGCACTACGGAGAAATAATGTGCATCAAATTATTCAAAATTTTATGCATTTCTTCTTCTTCTTCTTCTTTTTAATTTCCCATTGACTAGGTCATGTCTCGGGAGAGAAAACGATAACAACGGGAAACTAACGACTCTATTATAAGCCGTTGTTGAAATAAGTTTCTATAAAAGAGGAGGAATAGCAGTATAACGTCAAAGCAACACAACACCTTGGGGTATGGAGGGACTTCGACAGAGCATCAGCATGCGTTGTGTTGCAACCGAAACTAGCGTGACTTAGAAGAATTATCTTTCTACCTTCAGTCGACTGCTATGGTTCTACATCCGCAGCTACTAACATGTCCGGCTTCGAGTTTAGTGCGATCGAGGTAGACCTCACTGTTTAGCTTGTAAGCATACTTACAATCTTCGATCCTCTTACACGATCTTATGTTTACGAGGTCCCGTCAGGTATAAAACGACAAACGGAATGCAAATATGCGCACGTGGCAAACCTCCTCGAGTAAGCCGTTACCGTTTAGAAATAGCTTGGTTGAAAGGAGGCAATGCGACTAACACGTCCCAGAGAGACATCGCGGTCGGCCACCAACGGCCGCAGGATGACGAAACCACCGAAGAAGAAGGTGACGATGAGTGGGATGAGGCCTTCGATTCCAAATATAGCAGATAGAGGTATTCCCATCAGTCGGATGACATCTCGTGGGTCCGTAGAACTGTCAACAGGGCTCCTCTCTAACGTGTCTCTATCCCACCCAACAGCATCCAATGTCTTTGGGGTGGGCTCAGAACATCCTTTCGCCAACTACTGGACTTGCGAGGGTGGACTCCCCGAGGTCATCGGGGTTCTACCCGACAAGTTACAGACCGATATCCTCATCAGCCAGTACTACGATTGCGTGGACCCGGTCTATCCCATGATCGATCGCCATACGTTCTATCTCGAGTACGAGCACTTCTGGTCCTTACGAGATTCCGATAAGACCGATGCTGCTTTCGTAGGCTTGCTCTTCACCATGATGGCTCTGGGAACGCAATTCGTGATGACCACGAATCCTAAAGATCGCAAGCAAACTGCCGAGTTCTACGCCTCGGCGGGCAATCAGGCGTTACGTATGTCCTCTTATTTAAATACGGCTTCGTTACGCTCTGTTCAAGCTATGGTTCTAGTTGGCTATTTCTTGATAAACGACAACCATGCGTCAGACGGCTGGGCCTTTTCAGGCTTGTTATGTACGTGCACCCCCTAAGTGCCTAGCATTTCCCCCTTACGCTCTTAAATAGGGGGGCGAGATCCTCCATTAAAAATGACTAGGAAAGCCTCAAGCTTGTTTAGCACTGTCTATACCTTGTAAAGGGGTTGGGTGCACTAGGTTATTACATAGATAGCACGGACGGAGAATTGCTAACTCTAAGCGGTACAGTGAGGCAAGCTTATGCGATGGGTCTGCATAGGGACCCGAATATAGGTAGGCTGAGGTAGCTATTAGTAACGGTGCGCTCCGAGAAGCTGATGCAAAACTTCCAGTGGTCCCTGGCGCAAGCGAATTCGAAAAGCAACAACGGCGCAAGCTCTGGCAAGCCGTCCTCGTGCAGGATACCTTTCTAACGGTGCTACTCTCGCTACCTCCCAACGCCACGCACACGGACGTCAAAGTCGAGGACTTCGTCGACGACATATCCGGGTTCGGCGAGTCGAACCCGATCGACACGGCATACATCCGCGGGTCCTGGATGCTAGCAAACCTAGTCCAAGAAACCATCTCCAGCCCGCGCTCTCTCGACGTACCCATCTGCTCCACGCAGCGGCAGAAGTCGAAACTGGTGGCGGACTTCCGCGCCGTCTACCGTTCGTTCCCCGACGTGTTCCGGTCGTGGGACCAGGAGAGCATCGCGCAGCTCGCATGCACGAACAAGCGCGTGGTGCGGCAGACGCTGTTTCTGAGTAGCAACTACTACCACAACCTCATGCTAGTGCACGCCTCCGAGAGCCCCGACGTCCCTGTTAACATCCGCGCGACGCTCGAGGCCGCGCACGAGGCCATCACGTGTTTCTTCGTGCTGTGCACGCTGTTCGACCCCGAGGCGAGGGTGTGGTGGGTTTTTCACCACAGGGCGTTTTTAGAGGCCCTGTGTATAGGGAGCGTGCTGCGCGAGGCGGGGAGAGATCCGGCGACTTCGGATCAGTTCCTGAGAGATCCGCTGTTTGCGAGGGCGAGGGCGGATATAAGTACGTTCTCTCTCTTTCTCCCAGGTCCAATAGGCTTTTTGGTATTTGGTTTCGATCCTCGAGTGCTAACGGGCTTCCTAGCGCGGATGGTCCAGATCATGAAGATGATGGCGGATGGCGAGTGGGGCTCTGATGACGCGAGGACGAGGGTGGCGGTTTTGAGCGAGTTCTTGTAGATATTACGGTAGGTAGGGTAGGTTGGGTAGGTGGGTGGGTGGTTGTGAAGATGGGGTGGTGGTGGTAAAAGAGGGCGAGGGGGGGTGGGGTGAACTTGTATATAGACTCTAATGCACATTATGATCATCGTACCTGATATATAATTGCCGTTTTACAACAAGCCGGGCGTGTCGGTATGTTGTTTCCTGGGCAGGCATTAGATGATATCTCTTTTGACGTTGCGTATTATGAATTATTATCAGTCGCAAGGGACGTGGTTCATATCTCCTTAATGAGTACAATAACTTGTAATTTAAGGATGTTTAACCTGTATAGTTAAGTTGACAAGAGTTCGGCCTGGTTTTAACATGATACCCGTACAGCATTTAGTTCATCTCGAAGATACCTAAAGGGGGTTGTGAACAAAGCAGCTCATATCGTTTCACGTCGAGGGGTTACCGTTAATTCGTCTTGCCTATAGACTACCTCATATGATATTACACACTTGCTAGGTAGCCACATCTAGACCTGCTATCATTACTAGGCGGGCCTTTTAGAAACTGTCGTTGCTGATATTAGTTTCGAAGTCAAGGCGTGAATATAGATCCTGAAGCTGCGATAACTGAGTCCTGACTGGGCTACTTACTTACCGCCTCCGTACGCATATATAAACGGTAGTTAAATCATATCCTAACCGTAATCAATCAACGATACTACCATTATTCTAGGAATTATATGAATGTCTATCTCATGTATTTACCTTATCAGGTACTAGTGATGTAGTAGACAGGAGAGTCGACAATAAAGGAGAGAGATGGGTAAGAAACAAGAATATGGCATTAAGGGTTTATTGGACATGATATATCCAACTTAATCGGCACGAGTCCTCAAAAAACGAATTGAACAGATGGATCCTGTAGAGCTTGATCAACTCGAGTGTCAGTGGGTGCTAACAGTGGGAGTTAGTTGGGATATATCCAACGGCCATATCATACCTAGAACATATAGCCTTTAAACCAACAGTAATACATAGTAGATACGACTATATTTGCACTCCTTAGGTAGTTTGACGCACGATCCGAACTTACGTGAGTTAATACCACATTACTACCTACGTAAGGCCATTTCCTACCCATGAGAATAATATGGGACACCACCAAGGACGGGCTTGTTTCCAATAAGGGCTACGTACGTGGTGATCTTGTTGGTAACTCCTTCTTGTACATGGTTGGATAATTATTCGTTGGGTATCATTTTCCATACTAAGAACCACCCAGAGGCTCTTGACGAGCTTTTCCATGCGGGCTAGCTGACTTTTGCTCTCTGCAACCCCTTGTTAGTCGACCTGACGGTATAGAGTGAATGGGGGTTTGAATTCTCTAGGTTATGTACCTGTTCTACAAAGTATAAGGTAAGACCATTCTATCTCAAGCTACGAAAAGTCTTTCATCAGGTAATAGAGGAGCTCAAGGGGGGTGGTTCAAGAGATGGGATACAATGAAAGAGCAATCTAAGTCAACTGTTAACTTACTTTAAAGTCATGTAACCTAATATTTCTAATTATATGTCTATATATTAGAATATCACTCTAGATTCTCATCTCAACTCAACTAAACGAGATATCTTTAGGGAAAGGGGGTCTTGATAGCCAATACAACAGGCTCAAGTGAAGGAGGTCCGGAGAGTGAATAAAGAACTTAATTCATAGGCTGGGAGATTATGATAATACGGAACTACTTAGACACCATGAAAGCTCTAACATCAGTTCCCCTGATCTACTCGGTAATGTATAAGTCGTCACAATCCTAACCCCCTCTTATGTGTCCATATACACATCGAACCCACCTAATCAACACCAACGTGCGTAATAATATACGACGCGAGGACGTAACTAAAACATTCACCTAACCTAGGTTAGTCACGCATAGCCCGTCCGATTGATTCTCAGTCATCTAAACACAAACCAGACCACCGAGTCGCGCGTCAGGCACTCGCTAAGGAGGAAATCGTCCGAACCTCCTTATCAACCCGCAGCATCGAGCTGTCGGTAGATATTAAAACCCAAACCAACAGCACAAGAATCTCGCATTTGCCCATCACATCGACCATCAGTGTATCTGATCTAGAGACGACACCGCATTTAATCAATCAAGCAGTCCGCCAACCCCTACCGCGCCGCACGGACCGGTTCCCATCACCGCACCTAGTCGCGCCTCGCGAACCGCCAACTCACAAATGTACATACATACATACCCTTCTACATCCATCCATCCATCCCATCCCAGATCGCGGGACGGCCTCGTAAAGGCAACTTTCACCGACGCCCACAAGCCCGCCTCTGCTATCTCCCTTCGATTCGGCTCGGCTCGGACAAGCGGATATCGACCTCCAGGAAAGACCGGAAGTACTAAATCGGACCAGACCGAACCAAACCAATATTCCATGCCTTGGGTAATTTTGATCCCAGCTGGCTCGAGCGTACCTGTTGTATGTGGCCTCCCTGTGTAAGTAATACCATATACAAGACCTAACCTAGTTATGTATTGTATAATACGACGTGACCGTGAGCACATGTGGGTTTTACGCACCGCACCGCACCGCACCGCACCGCATCACCCCCCCCAACCTCCTGAGCGCTGAAACTCCGCACACTCCGAGTTCTCCCTTACACAGCCGAATCTTGGCGAGCGTCCAGGCGGGCCGAATCGGCATCACGAATTGAAATCGATATCGAAATCGATATCGATATTTTGTGCATTACATACATGCCTAAGGTAAGGTACCTGATAATGGATGCGACACGGATATTCCCTTCTTTTCCTTCCCTCCCTTCACTTTTCCATTTCCATTTCCATTTCCATTTCCACGTTAGGTACTTCTTATCCTCGTATTATATTAACATTAGCATTAACATTACAACGCACAATTTCATCCCATCCATCCATTCATCCAATTAATACGGTGCCCACAAAATGCGGCCGCACCTTTCTCGCCACCAACGGCTCTTCCCGTCGTCCCCTTACTTTATTCTAACGGCTCGTGGACAAAGCTTTGACAATTGTGGTCAATTCGCACATCATACACGGAACGTGAAACAACAGAATCTAAACAATTAAATCCGAATAGGTACAGTAACTTATTCATCATCATCATCATCATCATCATCATCATCATCGTCATGGACATCATAATCAGGTAATCCAGTTTAACTAGTTAGGTAGATATATTATTAGGCTTGTTAGTCTCTTGTGTACCAAACTTTTCAGCCCCTCCATAACAACATTAACTGCTGGGTCACCTTTATTCTCCGAAACCCCCCCAGCTGCTCATTATGAAAGAGTGGCCGTATTATCCGGCATTATTTGATCCGCCCCCTCCAGATGAAGCTGAGAGAGGACGCATTGATATAGCCTTGTATGCACATGTTTGGTTCGCGGCCGTGAGTCCCGTAAAATCGTGATAGGTGCAGGTAAGCACCATAGTAGAGTGATCCCAAATGTATTCAAATCCCGTCTGGGCTGTTGATGTTAAATATCAAAAACTTTCCCCTGTATCCAACTCCAAGCACATTTTAAGACTCAAAAATATGTGCATGCTTTTTATCTGTCCGCACCCCACACGAATAAATAGAGTTATATATAATTTTCAAGGTGACATTTCATAATTTAGGGGGAAGTATGTAGTCCTGTCGCAGTAGCATCCAATAAAGCCGTCATTCTCTGTAATCCAACTCCGTCGCGATGCTGCATGCGAGCAAACAATTTTGAATGGTTGAGATGTGGTTTGTATATACGTAAACGACGGTGGTAGGTAATAGTAGTAGGGAGACTACTTAATGTGCATGAAGCATAACAAAGCAAAGGGACCTCGTCATTCTAAGACGTAGGTCCATCTATTTGCCCTGTCGGTTTGGAGATCGGCTGGTAGTCGTCCATATCCTGTATCCCTTCGTCCTCCACTTCAATAACATTTTGCTTGATAACTTCTTGCTTAGGAGGTGTCTTTAACGCTGGCGTGCCCATACTCTTCCGCATCATCGTGGGGCGATAGCTCCGGGACTGGATGGGCCAGGGCGAGGCTAGCTCGAGAGTGTTTTCTGTATCGGGACGTGCTAGCTCCTTGTCGGCAGCCTCCTTCGTCAACGCAAGGCGCGCTTTAATCTTCTCGATCTCCTCGGCGCAGTCACCGTCTCGAAGAAATTGATGTGCTCCTTGTTCACACATACCCTGGACGAACTCCAGGCCTTTGTCTAGCTCTTCCCAAATATCGCCCCTCTCCTGGAATGCGCCCAGTCCGCCATTAAGACCTGATCGGGCCACCCGCGCACTCACCCTACCGGCAACCACGTTTCGCGGTCCCATCTGTCGAGTACTTTTGAAGCGCAGCTTAATATCTTCCGCCGATTCTTCCTTTGCGGCCGTGGCGTCGGCGGCGACGGCGATGAGATTATCCCTGGGCTTCAGTTCACCATTCCTACTACCCGGTCTGTCCTCCTCGTCGTCATCGGGCATCTCAATCTCGGCCAAACGCCTGATGCGGGCCACCTTGGCAGCCATCTTGGCTTTGCGCATGGCATTACGCTGCATCGACACGAACTTGACCAATTCCTCAAAGAATGACTGTACGTAACTGTCGTAGTATACAATGATCATATTCCGTGATCTATAATTTTGGACGGTGTTCTCGGTGCTCATCATGGATTCGGTCTTCGGCTTCTTCCGAACAACAGCACGCGCTCGTCGCTGTGCCGTTGCCATAACCTCGTTGGTCTGACGTTGAAGGGAAGCATTCGATCGTGGCTCACTCATGGGACTCGAGGGTACCTCAGCACCGTCATTTGGCTGTCGAGTTTCAATCGGGGTTAGGGGAGGTGGCGTCGAGACGCGTATCGTGTCTAGTATTTGGCCGGGTGCGCCTTCGTCCCTCGGTCTTAAAGATTCTGTTGATCCCTTATTCCTAATTGATCGAGCTGAGGACTTGGGCTGGTTCTCAGGTAGCATAGCCAGATCCTGCTGGCGCTGATCGATTTGTCCATTGAGCTCCTCGAGGCGTTTAAGCCAGTCGGGAATGTTAGTAATTAGGGCTTTCAAGGAATCTGTCGCCATTCCGGATAGATATGAATGTAAAATATGTTGTATTTAGTTCGAGGTCGAAGCTAAGAAGCAGATATGCAACCGTACCCTGACATCAAACTCCTACTTGGGAGGCAGAGGAGTCGGTGAGGAGGTGAACAGGGTAGGTAAAAGGGAGGCTAGGTGGTTATTAAGTTGATATGCCACTGGTCATGACATCTAGCCAAGCCCATGCACGATGGGCACCTGAGCTACCTAACGAACTCGACGCTGCAATGCTGCAATGCTACAATTTAGACCTGGGCAGGCCAATTCGATGTCTCGTCTCTCGAATATTAACCAATTAGAAGATTGTTTAGTCGATGTAATATAAACGTCACGATAGTTTGATCAATTGCTCTTCGAATCAAGAGATGGGATGGTTAATTCACGCGGATATGGCGGGGAGAAGAAAGGAAGGAATCGGATCGAGTGGAAACAGAGTTGAACATCGAAGGAAGATTATGAGAATTGGCAGTTCTGTGGGGTATCGAGATACATATGCTGGTTGGTTTAAAAGCAGCTACGGTACGATTATTTATGGGCTTGCTTCCTAGGATCCATCATGTACGTTTGCTTTTAGTACATACGTTAGGTAGGTAGGTAGGTAGGTAGGTACCTATTGGGATGTCCATGTACTACGTACATATGTATCTTAGCCTGGGGCTTTGCTAGCCGCGACATGTTAAATGCCCAAGGAAGCAGGGGACTAGGTACCTAAATTGTTAGGCTAGGGTTGCGTGGAAGTACCTAAGTATATTAGGTACGTGCATACTCGATCGGGACTCCACGCCGAGCAGGTGATCATGTACATTTAGCGGTACCTTACGAGGTACATCTTAAACTAGAGCTACGTGTAGTACCTAGATGCACGACCAGGGCCACCTAGCGGTAAAGAACCCTTGTCCACTGACGCCCGCCTGCAAGTTCTTCTCTTTTAACAGGTTGATCGGCGACTAATTAACGGGCTGCCGTTCTGGTTTATTAAAAAGCGACTTTGGCCCTCTCGAATATGGACGTTCTCTTATTTTGGACATCCTCTCCTGCCCGTGGTAGTAATTCCTATGGGAGCGGCTGGGAAGATGCTCATGCTTGCGTTACACGAAATCTGTGAAGGAAGCAAAGCTGTATTGCATTTTGCCACTTTTTTTCGGCCGTCGGTCAGAAAAGGGAACGTCCACATGGCCGGTGTGGTTTATGCTTCACAGTACATAGCCAAGTACAGTAGCCAAATACAGTAGCCAAGTTGAAGGAGGGTATCAACGTGGCCTTGGTGATTGATTGACCTATCTGAGTAATGCGAACAGCCTATTCCTCAAAATGTGTCTCCATTCCAAGAAGTAGATCGGAAGAGACGTTTCGAACTTGAGCCGGCCAGCCTCTAGCCAACCTCTACATTCTCACCTATCACTGATACTGTCACTGATACATATAAAACTCGTAAGGTCGTTAGCAGCTTTGGGGGCATACCACTACAATAATGCGTACGTGCCACACGCAGCACGGTCTTCTTTGCAGATTAGAGGCAGGAGACACGCATCCGTTACGGGATTTCATGTAAATAATGAGACCATAGTGGAGAAGACAAGAAAACTCTTATACAAAAAAGTCTTACGACAAGGCTTGGACAGAGCAGAGACCTTTCGGACCCCATCGGAATACGCCACTGCCAAAAGGAGGATTCTTAGCCTAAGGATAAGCCGGCCGCATCTGCCTTGGATCAACAAGTTGCAGTTGACATTTGGCGATTGGCGGCAGCTCGGCGCCGGTCACCATCGAGTTAATTCGTATGGGGTCCATAACAGGTCGCAAAGTTGTAAGCTACATAGGTAGCTAACACGATGCATGTCACCGCACACGCGGGACCGTCTTTAGCGGTTGGACACTACTGTAGTAGACGCTGGGGGCGTAGTGTGGTATGAGCATGAGAGAGGACGGGAATAGCCTTGTGTCGTAGTACTAGGTACTGCACATGTAGCTGCGGCATAAGATGGAGGGTGACCGGAGATGCAGTGCCTAAACAGGATATAACAGTGAGTTGGCTTGCATCGAGAATATGCTTTCCGAGATCAACGAGACATATCATGTACATTTGCTCATATGATAGGTTGCTTGTTTGCCTACTTGCCTACTTGCCTCGGTATTTTTAGTAGGATAGAATTGAGAGCTGATGGTGAATGTGATGATGATGATGTTTCGGCTATAATGAGATATATATCTGCTCTATTATTGTGTATGCGTCGTATACTAATACACCAATACACTACATATGAAACTGAATAACTACCTAAGGTAGTTATCATTTATTAACTAAGTAGTTAACTAAGTAGGTTAGTTAACCAACTAAACTCATTCATATCTATCCTAAAGGACGCACTTACATAAATAAGTACTGACCCTAACCTAACATGACCTCTTTACCCAGCCCTATGTACTTACGATATTTGCATACGTACATACAGCCTCTGACATCACCTGAGCATTCGTCGTCGTATAATATAAATTATAATACTGATGCCATTGCCCAATATGGTTGGGGAGCCATGCATATAGTTGTCTTTGCATATATGTGCATGAATTAAGCGGTGAATATGCACAGTCCATCCTACCGATCGAATTCGTGCCATACATATTCGCATTTATATCGGATTGGCTTATGCCTGAAACATGACCTAGCAGTGTATATGAAAATGCATACGTATAAGATTACTTCGCTATTACCTCTTCGCTACTTCGCGCCAAACCCCGCTCGAAAATCAAAAGCTCTATATACGTACATACGTAAGCACATATGTATACACTACATATTCGTGTCATATGGTAGGTAGTACGATTCGCCTCATAAAGGGTTTATACGTAAAATATATAGGTATACGATCGTTGTTATTAAGACGCTTTGCTCATTAACAATACATATCTACTATTAATAACCTTTAATAATTTAACAAAACGTATACAATAGTTTGTTTTATAAAACTCGAAAGCAAACCCCGTTTTATGAAAAAGGGCATTCCCTAAATTTAAATCACGATGCCTTTTTGCCTGCCGGCCGGGGTCGCGGTGGGGGCAATCAGTCATTGGCAAACTGCCAGATAAGGAAAAGGGGTTGCAGTCGGCTATGCGCATTCCACATCCGGGAGCAAAACAAGGCGACAAAAGCAAGCACAGATGTTCGGATAATTATTTTGGATTACTTTGGACATGTTATTCTAGGCCCCAGCCTCATAATAAAACATGTACATACATACATACATACATACACTAGGTATCTATCGCCAAGACTCGAAAGACTCGATTTGTATTTTGTAGCCGTCACATTAACTACATATCACATTAACCCAACCCCTTCCTTCTTCTCTTCTTTCTCCCCCCCCCCCTTCCCACCCCGCCTCCTTCGGCACGGACCCCGGCTTTGAACACGTGGGAAAGTCGCGATGGTGCCCCCATGCTTGAGACAGAACGCCTAAAAGCTTCCAAATGGAAGCTTTTTTGTTCTACTGTCCCCCACTCTTGACCTTCTACGCTAAAACATTCGTAGATGCTGTGTATTAGATCCGGAGTCTAGCATTCAAGGATTAAAACCCCCGTACTGAGACATCACGCTCCCTAATGTTATGAGGTATTCCACAATACATAGTTCTATAACAGAAGAATTGAAAGAAATATAACAGGTACCTAACCTATCTAATCTACCTCCTATCCACAATTATGTTTCTCCTATACCGTTTCCGTAGTAATTCGTATATACGCCAAACCACCGAAACGAAACATCTACCTCTGTTAAGACCTGCGAAAAGAAGCATTGGTTTTTCGAACCGTAAGCACTAGACGATCCTTCCCCTAGATCCTCAACCCGGTGTCAGAGTTATCCTGCAGAGCAACAGTACATACATACATACATACATACAATAGACATTCTATGTAGGTATGTATGCCCACCGGTCATGGCGCGATTAATCTCACTTACTACCCAAATATTAATAGCAGGGGAGACAAAAAAAGAAGTAATGTGACATTGTTTGATCAAAGGCCAATTTAAAAAATCGCCGTTTTACCCCTACCTAGCCTCGCACCACGAGGTCATAAAACCGCAAGGCTAAATATGGGATCATCTATGTATGTACCTCATATGTATGTATTCCGCACGTACATTACGTAGTATGCCGAAGAGCAACAACAAAAAAAAACACGCGGTAGTTGCCGGAGTGTAATGTCTAGGTAGTTTAGCACACGGCATCCTGTCCGCGGATACATAGAGCGAGACTGATTGTCATGTGCTCGGCCCGAGAGGAAAAGCTTCTGCGTATCACATCACATGTTCGAAACCTGCAGGGCTGTAATAGATCTAGCCATGCAGAATAGCGTCAAAAAATATGCCCCATACTGTGATGGCTAGTATGGGGTATCTTTTTTGACGCTATTCTGCTATGCCAAGACTCCTACACGCACATGTATGATACTGCCCGTAGGTAAGGGGTAGTAGAAGCACCTCGGCAAGACAGAGCTACGCATATACACCACTATGAGGTGACCAACAAGGTAATCAGATAGATATTTCACAATAGGGGTTTCCATCCCTCCAAGGGCCTCTTCTACGTACGCAGCCGTCGTAGACTCAGTCTCTTGCTCGTCTCTTGCTCCCGCACCAGCTAAGGCCACACCTCAACCTTCTCCCACCCATCTTCCACCAGCCCGCCCGGCGCCATACGCTCCGACTCACCTCCAACAAACGTATACAACCACCTACGGCCGCGCTCCGGATCGCTCAAGTCGGTGCGATCGACCCCCTCCGGCACAATAACCACGACTCTGAAATTCGCCCTCGCAACCTCGTCATTAAGATCCGTCACCTTCTGCCCCAACCCCAACCTCTCATCCCCCACCGGCAGCGCCACCGACGTGCCGGAAGGCGGGTTCCGGAACGACCCTCTCATCAGGGGACTCAAATTGCCAAAGTGCGCCGTGATTTCCCGGCTATAACTCCAGTCTTTGCTCGCGCCCTTGCGCCGCATCCGCGCCGCCAGCGAAGACACGACATGCCTCCCCTCCGGCGAGTCCTCGACGTCCGGGGCCAGAACATACGCCTTCCCGCGGACGCGCCACTGCGTGCCCATCTCCCGAGCCCAAAAAACCGCCTCGACCGGCGCGCCGCCGCCCGAGCCCCGGAGCCCCTCTCCAGCCTCCTCCGCACCAAAGAGCTCCGCCATCTTGTCCATCCGGCAATCCGTCGTGAACGACAGGAAGTCCGTCTCGTAGACGTCCGGGTTCAGCTCAGCATCGTTCTTAGGATTCACCGGCAGGTCCGCGAACAAGCCGCGGAAGACGCACGTGCGAGCGCGCGGTGATGAGTAGACCGTGCCAGACGGGGAAGATGTTTTCCGGATTGTGCTTAGGGTGAATTCCGGCGATGCCATCGCCTGGACATGGTCCAGGAAGAGCTGTCTCCAGGGCGCTGGGCCTAGAGGGGATGATGATGTTGCCATTGTGCGGTAAGTGAGTAGTTCGCAAGCAAAGCGATCTATAAGTCGTACGAGTCGCGGTGATGAGATGATTGGGTGGTAGGCGAATCGGTTCATCAGCCGAATAAACTAAGCGTGGTGATTACATTCAAAGTACCTAGCGCTCCTTGAAAGGTAAATCGTAGTACGTAGGGCTCATCAACTGCTAGAGATAGATTGATGGTGATTGAACTGATTGAACATTTCTATTGGCGCGTTTGTGTGTATTAGAGGGGTTGTTTTAATCTTGGAGAATAAGTACCTACATTATAGTGTAGGTACACTATGATTTCTATGATAACGTAATTAGTCGCTGCTAAAGTAAACGCTGCTATGTGGGTATAAAAGAAGACGAGCTACTTAAAACTTGAACAGTTAAACACCAAAACGAGACGAACACACACGCATGGCCGAAAAATAGAATTATGCAGCTATATACACAACGTACATACGTACGCACATGCATACAATATATACAAAATATAACTAGTACAAGGTATAACTACATAAATACATACATCCAAAACAAGCTTCGTAGACATATACAAAGCATACCTACACATACGCCAAACCAATGCCTTTAATACGTTAATCATGCACTCATGAGCGGCGTGAGCCTAAATAGTGTCTAATGCAGTCTTCCTATCTATATGTCGAGTAACTTATTAAAACCTTACGGAGGATGGTTACGAAGTAGCTATCTAACTTTTTGAGCTCCTAGATGTGTGCCTTACGTTTCGTCGGTGTATATAAAACATTGACTACGGATGCGAAGGCGGCCGGTACGCGGAAATATACCGTTCTCAGCCCGACATGACCAAAGCTAGCAGGGCCATTCGGCAGTAGAGGCCGTACCTCATCTAGAGACATATTAGTAAATATTTCTGAAGCGTGGAAGCTCGTTCAAGCACCTACCTGCCTGAAATAAGCTGCGCGGTGATCGTAATCAACTTCCTCCGCAACTTCTTCGTTCCTCGGCAGGGGATGCAGCACGCGGGTAGTCTGCTTCGCATGCTTAAGGGTCGCGTTATCGATGCGGTACGAATTCTTGACCTTCTCGTACTCTTCAATGCTTGGGAAGCGCTCCTTTTGCACCCTAGTGCAGTACAACACGTCACTCCTCGACAAGATCTCTGGGGTAAGCTCCTCAGATTCGCAAAGTAACTGCCCAGATTCCTTTAGGAGGCTGCGAACTTCTGCTGGCAGTGCTAGCGACTTCGGCGAAACCAACTGAACTTGGACCTGGTAGTGCCGAAGTAGATATACTAACGAGTGTACTGGTCGTCCGTAGAGGAGATCACCCACAAAGGTGATAATCAAACCTTGCACGGTACCAAGCTCTTCACGAATCGTGAAGAGATCAAGGAAGGCTTGCGTAGGGTGTTCTTTACTTCCATTTCCACCGTTGATGATAGGGACCTTGCTGTACTTCCTCGCAACATCTACCGACGTTTCTTCCGGGTGGCGTAGAACGATAGCATCACCGTAACATTCAAGTGTTCTGAGAGTATCTTGAAGAGTCTCTCCTTTCTGAACCGACGAATGTGTTGTGGTGATAGGGATCGTCCTGCCACCTAGTCGTTGCATAGCTGCGTCGAAAGATGCCGAGGTACGTGTCGATGGTTCATAGAACATGGTGCATAGAACCCGGCCGCGTAGGATATTAAGGACACCTTCTCGGTCAACACCGAGGCGCATCTCCTGAGCCACAGTAAACAGCAGATGAAGATCAGATCGCGTGTATTGCTTCACGGAGAGCACATGCGAGCTTTTGAAGGCAGAGGGTTGCATAAGGAGGTCATGCAGGGAATCAACGAATGGTGCTCGTGCGGGTCCCGGCAAACTGAACTCTTCTGTAGCTGGCACATTCCTTGAAGCAGGCCGCTGGTCGTCTGTCTCGCCGTCAGTCAACCGTGACATGCCCATTGGTTTTCCAATGTTAGAGAAGCGTCGAGTCCGGAGAGCATCAAAAGAATGTGTTTGTTGAGGCATAGGCGGTGACATTGGTGCGGGCATACTGCCATGGGTGGACATATCCTTCCCGAGAGGTGCCAAAGGAAGAAGTTCTCCATCGAGGCAGACCGTCTTGCTGTTGAAAGTAACCCTTTGTACCGCACCACGCATCGTCTTACCAGCAAATGGCGACCACGACGCTGTCTTGGGTATAGTGTGCGGGCGGTCAATCTCAATTTCAACCGAAGTTCCGACCTGCTCATGAAGCTCGAAGATCTCCTTTGGATTGTCGTACAGCCGCGTCTTGACGTCATCCAATGTTAACTTGCCTTCCGTGACAGACGTTAGCAGAAGAGGTAAGGCATCAGCGATACCAACTGTAGGGTCTGCATTGGATTGTATAGAATGCGCAAGCTGATACGGGAGACTGCCGATAGAGAAGACATCAATCGTGCTAAGATGATCCCAAAGCGCCTGCTGGTCGGCGGGTTTGGGAAGATACTGGCATTCTGGGAAATCCTTCCGCGACAGGTACAACGAATAAACCGACACGTCGCATGTGACACTCAGGCCTTTCTCCTTGCTAAGAGCAATGAGCCGGATGTCTTCTTTAGTCGTGACACTAGTGACATGGATACGCCTATTATGAAGGCTCGCAAGTAATAAAATAGAGGCGAGGTCCGTAGTCTTAGCATCAGTCAGAATAGGCTTGTGGGTAGGCCAAGAGTCGAAATGTGCAGTAACCGCGGCGACCTTGCTAATATTATCTGACAAATGGTTAAACGGGATGAAGAGCGATCCAACCTCGCTGGTTACTTGGCTAATCTGGTCGGCGTTACTAGATGTGGCCGACACGGAAAAGTTGTAATCACAATAACCTCCTTCTTTGTTACTCTGCTGAGCAATCTTCAGTGTTCTTGCGTCGGTAATGGAGCCGTCGATGCCCATAGGTATAACTCGTATCATGCTGAAGCCTGAAGCGATTGAAGCTTTTGTAACAGCCTGAAGGTCATGGCTACCCTGAGCACCAATTCCAGGTACGAAAGCAGCGATGTTGATCAGCCCTGGAAGAACTATCGTGCGATGGCTTGTCTGGTAATCACGATTGCTAATTTCTAATTCGAAATGTCTTGCAATAGCCTCGATTAGAATCTTAGCATTCTTCACGTTCGTTACCAGCGGGATCTGGTAATCCACAGCCATTCGTCGGGTCTGGTATCCTTTGCTCATATAATTGGCAGGGCGGCGGTACTTGTTGTTTGACGGAAGGTTTATGTAGAGGTTAATCATGTTCTTTGCCAGATGCTGTGTGAGTGAGAACTCAGATCTCTGGTCATCTTCCTCGTTGCTGAGGACCTCCAAAAATTGGACAGGAATACCGTGTTCCTGAAGAAAGTCCGCAGTACCTGCAGTAGCAAACAATTTATATCCCATCTTCTGCAACTTCTGGACCGATGGAAGCATCTCCTTTTTATCCTTGTAAGAGCCAATTGACAAAAGGATATTACTCTTTGGAATCTTGAATCCAGTTGACATCAACGCCTTAAGATATGCTTCATATTTATCCATGCCGAAGCAAGCAACCTCTCCGGTGGAAGCCATTTCTACGCCCAAGACTGGGTCGGCACCAGACAGTCTTGAGAAGCTGAATTGCGGGACCTTCACACCGACGCAATCCGGCTGAAGAGTCGTCGGCGGGTATTCAGCGAACGGAACTCCCATGATTGCTTTAGTTGCCATCTCAATCAGGTCAACTCCCATGACCTTCGACACGAAGGGGAATGAACGCGAGGCTCGGACGTTACACTCGATAACCTTGATATCATTGTCCTTTGCAATGAATTGGATATTGAACGGGCCAGTAACGTTAAGCTTAGCGCCGATCTTCCTGGTGGCCTCTACGATACGTTGGATTGTAGTCGGCTCAAGATCCTGCGGCGGCAGGATAAGAGTCGCATCACCAGAATGGACACCGGCGTTTTCGACGTGTTCGGATATAAAATGACCCACGACAGTTCCGTCCTTCGCAACTGCATCCATCTCAATCTCCTTGGCGTTCTCAATATATTTTGTAATCACCACAGGGTGTTCACGCGAAACCTCTGCAGCCTGTTGCAGGTATAATGCGAGATCTGCCTCGGAGTACACGGTGTTCATCGCAGCACCTGACAAGACGTACGAAGGTCGAACTAGCACCGGGTACTCGACCTTTCGACAGAAACTTCTGGCATCCTCGAAGCTTGTAAGCTCTTTCCAGGTTGGCTGGTCGACAGCTATTTCATCCAGCATACGTGAGAATTTGTAACGGTTCTCAGCTCTGTCGATCATCTCCGGCGACGTTCCTAAGACTTTAACACCTGAACGTAACAAGGGTAATGCGATGTTGTTGGGTGTTTGACCGCCCATAGCACCAAGAACTCCGCTGGCGGATTCCATTTGATAGATATCAAGAATGGTTTCCAAATTGATGTTCTCGAAGTACAAACGATCTGCCTCGTCATAATCAGTACTGACAGTCTCGGGATTGTAGTTGACCATGATAGTCTTGAAACCAGACTCCCGAAGTGTGCGGATCGCTCTGACTGAACACCAATCGAACTCGACCGAGGAACCAATGCGGTAGACTCCTGATCCGAGTACCATTACACCATGATCATTGAAATCAATGTCATGTGTTGAAGCATTATATGTGAGATAGAGGTAATTGGTATAGGCGGGAAACTCGGCAGCAACAGTGTCAATCTGCTTGACAAAAGGAGTTATGCCGAATTCTAGCCTCATACGTCTCACTGCCAGCTCATTGGAGTCCCAGAACTTCGCTAATTGGCGATCGCTAAATCCAAGTCGTTTGCCTTGAAGAAGTAAGTCTGGGCGCTGGGAGATCTGGCCGGTGGTATATGTGGCCATTTCCTTGCTGAATTGGCTCAGGCCCATCAACTTGTGCAAGAACCACTTGTCGATCTTGGTGAGCTCCCATATTCTATCTACCGAATATCCAGCGTGCATAGCATTTGCAATAGCGAAGAGGCGCTGGTCAGATGGTGTTTGTAGCTCGTCGTCAATTGACATGAGCGCCTTAGTTTCACCAAAGCCAAGATTGTGGAAGTCAATAGCTCGAATTGCCTTCTGAATAGCTTCCTCGAAAGTTCTTCCGATACTCATAACCTCGCCGACACTCTTCATCGACGAACCGAGTTGCGTAGACACCCTAGTGAACTTCTTCAAGTCCCATCGGGGCATCTTGACAACAACATAATCCAGAGAAGGCTCAAAGCAGGCGCAGGTTACCTTTGTGACTGTGTTCTTGATTTCTTTTAGCGGAATACCAAGCCCTAGCTTGGCAGCGATAAACGCGAGGGGATAGCCCGTTGCTTTAGATG